ACCTCTTATTCAGCTTAAAATCATCATCAACCACTATTGCAGGCAACAACTTCATAGGATTGATTGCCGCAACAATACCCAAACGCGAAAAAAAAACAAAAAATGCTTGAGAAAACAAAAACAGGAAAGTGATGCCGTCTTGCCGAGGGAAAAACCAATTAGTGATGCCGTCTTGCTGAGGGAAAAACCAATTTTAAATTATAGTTTGAACATCCTTTCTTTCTGTACAGTAACCTTTGTAGATTTGCGACAATTCATAAAAAAGAGTATTTTTTTCAAAAAGATCACCTTCAGATAATTTGAACTCGCTAGAGATCAAATCTACAGATCTGAGGTGATTTTTGTAATTGTCTGCCTCGGATATGCTAACATAGTACTCCCTTCCCATAATTATTGTTCACTTTGCCAAAAAAATTTTGTCCCAAAATTATTGTCCAATTTCACTTTTTATGGATCAAGTTACACATTTGTCCTTAGTAAAAAACATCATCTATAAAATCTTAGTGGTTAAACAATTACTTATGTAGGGGTATATTCGGTTGGTTAAGGTAAAATATAGTTAAGTTTGACCAACAATAAAATATTTCATTTTAGTAAAACTGGACAATAATTATAGGACGTAGGGAGTATTTTTCAAGAAGCAATATGTATAGAAAGTTGTACAAGTATTTATTACAGAATACAGATGCGAATCTCTTGCTCGAATGCACATAGAAAACAGACTACTGGTTCATTTTACACAGACGTTTGTCTTTCATGCTGGACATTGATTTGGTTGGTCGAGATCTCGTCAAATGTCATGGAGGCAGGCGTCTCACTTCAAGTGAACATCGACACCTCCAATCCAAATGATGTAATGTTGTGTTCAGTTAGCCTTTGCGCTACCACTTTCGGCTCCAAATTGCTTTTGCTTAATCATCTCCTTGACTTGGAAGAGCAGGGTGTGAACTTCATCAAAATGAGGCTGTGTCGCATTTTTCGTGTCTTCAACCCACTTCAGAACTTTCTGATGAGGGCTCAAAACACGCTCGCGTATTTTATCATCCACAAGCTAAATCAACAGAGACAGTGACATGAGATATTTGCGTTAAAGAACTACATGCAGTCAGAAGAGTGGGTGAAAGAAACCTTGATGAAGACTTAAACCCTCTATCGCTTATTACAAGCAAACCTGATGTGGATTATCCAGATTCACTAGAGTCTATTTTTATGCATCACAATCTTATGTGCATACTGCATAGCTAGCAATGAAATGGAGAACTATGTGATTTTTTATATAGATACAATCCACTGTAAGGAATATATCACGATTCTTTTTTCCATAAGGTTCACAACTGAAGCTAATGCTCCTGGAGGAATTTTTTCATTTTATTTTAAAAATGCGTTATAGTTCCTCGGTGAAGAATCACTTGAGATTAACAAGAGAAGATTACAAGACACAAGGAAGTGGGTTTTTACCTGAAGTTGCATGATTTCGCAGACCAAAGACAAATCTGCAATGGAAGGTTGGGAACTTCCCAGCAGAAAAGGTCCATCATCTTTCAGCCAAAATGTCTCAATATGAGCCAAAGAACGTGATAAGAGCTTTTCACCTTCATCTGCTGCTTCTGGATTCACAGGTAGACCAAATAAAGGTGCCAGAGTACTGTGGAGGACTAAACCAACTGCACACAGAACCACCGCTTAGAGTTATGTCCAATTAGAAGCATCGCAGACGCCAGCAGACACAAAAATACAGATGAGGATCTTGATCTTAGAAAAATAGTGCGGGGATGATCATTGATGCAACTTATTCTCATTAGAGAAGTAAATATTTCTTCAAATAGCTCCCTTTTCTTATTCACTAAGGACTTAGGGAAAAAAAATGAGAGAAGCAAAATGACGATTACCATCTTCTACAGTAGCAGACATAAAATGAAGCTTAAACGTTGTACAGCACACAGATTACTATGATTAATGATTATTTAATTGTGACATTTCGACAACAGGAATGAACATAATGAATTGAATGCCTAAAAGTAATGTGATGACGGTTAAGTAGTCAAGATGAAAAGAAGGCAATACTGCATTTTACTCACACCAAGATCAACATTCATAACACATGGCTCTTTGAAATTCTCTTAGGACCTTGTTAAAGTCTTTTAGAAATTAACACTTAATGGAATAAAGAAAACCAATATATACCAATATGCTTTATAAATGATAGCAAACTCCCTAAAGAATGAATACCTGAACCACGGCGTACATTGGTGTGATGCCAATCTAGGATTGAATTGACTTGTGCTCTTTTGAACAGATCTTTAGGGTACCTTCAAATAAGACCCGTAAAAGTGGAAAATAATTAGGAACTTCATTAAAGGCTTAGAAAATAGTATACAATCATTAGTTCATGGGTTCCACATTCATGTCCTATGGAAGTCATCTTTCATCCAAGATACATTGAATGAAAGAGACCCTAATAAAGAGTACCTAATCCTCTCCAAAATAGTGAGATACACAGGAAATGAAAGAGCACATAGTCAAAAAGAACATCCAAGGCCTAACTTCTAAAAACTATAAGTACAACACATGCTCATCTTATTTCCCAAATTATCTAAGAACATTAGCATGCTGTATTGAGGAGGTTCATCAAGTTTCACACATAAAGAACCGATACAGGGTATCAGTTTACCAAGAGCAGATGCAGAATATGGGTCATAAGACTCACCAGTGATCGGCAACTTGAGGGTACGCCTCTGCGAGAAACCGAAGAATGGCATGGCTACAAAAGAGATAAGATGTGTAAACGCGACTAATTTAGTAATTTTGTCACAAGATGTTCGGGAAAATTAGTCTATAACAGGAAAACAAATCGTGTGATACAGCAAAAGACACAAAAGGAAAACAGTAATCCTTGAAATATTGATGCTTAAGAGATTGTGCCAATAACATCTGAAGAAACCTCGTCTTCATCCATAAATGTCGTTCGCTAAAAACAAAATTTTCAAGTTCCTCCCCTTCAAATCAATGATTTATCTTTTCTACAATAGTATATTACTTGTAGAAAACATTATTTCTATAATGACTTATCTTTTAATTAATATTCCCTCCATCTGAAAATGGTTCTCATGTTGTACTAAAAATGTACAACAAACGGGACAATCATTACAGGACGGAAGGAGTATTAGAGTAAACAACTTGATGCTGGCGACTAAAGTGAAACCAGTTCGCATGTGGCATGACACGCAATGCAATAATTGACTTTTTCCACTTTGATCTTTAAACGATGCATAAATTATGTCAAATTGCAATTAAATTTCCACAGACGATAACTACTTCATTTGAAACTCATTATTTTATTATCAAAGACTAATGATCATCGGAACAATTCATCTTCACAATCTGTCAACTATTACCTCTCATTCAGCTTGAATTCATCATCAACCACAATTGCAGGCAACAACTTCATAGGATTAATTGCTGCAATGATACCCAAATGGGACCCAAAGAAAATGCTTGAGAAAAAAAAAAACAGAAAAAGAATTAATTGGTTGCGCAATTAAATCGATCACCTCACCTGCATATTCAGGAGACTTGTGCTGCATCTTGGAAATTTCAATGGTTACTTCCTCAAATTCAATCTGGTTCGACCTTTTCAAAACAAAATACCGCAGCAAAAAACCAAAATCAAATCAGAACTATATCTCCATTTCACAAAAAAAAAAAAAAAGATATAAATCAAGAAGTAAAACAACAAGGAATTAGGAATGTTCAGAAACGACGAAAAGCGGAAATTTTTACTTGCAGAAGATGATAATTGCCCGGGATGGCTGAGACAGGCGATCTACATAAACTTGAAGCTTCATCTTTGTTTTTTTTTTCGTCTTCTTCTTTCAGATTTCACACACTCACACAGTGACTTCAAATTATCAAATCGAAACTAAAGACGGAGTTAAAAGGCAGAGAGACAGAGGGGGAGAGAATGAGATATAGAAATAGAAATCCGCCAGCATGGCGGTGTGAAGTGTGAACACGAGGAAAACAATTAACAAACGGCGGGACCCAACTGCTGTTAGTTGAAAGTTGACCGATCAATTGAATCAACGATTTTGGGCCTTCAGGGCCGAGATATTTTCTCCGGATAGGGCTGAGATATGGGCTGAGAAATCTCCAATTAGCCCATGCCTCGATTTGGGAGACAGATACGGGTATGGACCAACGGTGGCCCACTGAATAGGACGTGGGAAAGCAGGAAATGGAGCTAGATGATTGGCATTGAATGAACAAAATCATTTTAAAGGGGGATCCTTCCAATTTCGGTAACAGGAAAAAATTAAATTCGAATTGACTATCTCGTGACCTTAGACCGATGATCAATATTTTTGTCACCGGACCCAATGACCATCCCATATCCATGCATTTCCAAGTTCCAATAATCCAATCTCCTTCATGAGTTATTCCACACAACCTCAGTTAACATGAAACTCTATCAGATTATTACGTGTGTAAATTTCGAATCGTGTTTTCATGTCGCGACAAGTATTAATACTACTTCGTTATGATATTTAAATTTGTATAGTGTATAGGATGGATGAACGTACGTTCTAATGCTAACGCTACAGTAAAATGTGACCGAAATAAAATCATCACCTTAGTATATGTAGTACAAAGTACAAATAAAGAAATACCAATTCAGTCTTACATATCAGTTTCGTTTCGTCCATTCAATTCCGGTCTACATCCTTAAATTAAACCCAACCCAAACTCTTATCATTTATGATCACATTTATTGAATTTTTAGCCCCTTTCCATTTCGAGCCATCAATGGGTACATTTAAGTTGATGCCATTCAATATTGCCCATATTGAAGATTTAGACGAGCACTGTTGTGAATTGAATTCTGATGATCTTGTAATTATGGTTTCCCTATTCTGTCTTCAGTTAGTTTGACTGGTTTTTTAATCTAGTTCTTGTCTGATGAGTAGTATTTTAACGTTAATGGTGATGATAATTACACCATCATTTTTTTCCTCGGATAACTTCTTCCCTATCCTATCCCTCCCGAGTCAGTACAATAAAGTTTTTAATTGTTTACGCTTATCGATGCAAATACATCTGACTGAAAATGGACACATTTTCCGTAGCTGCAATCTTGCTCCCTTCACTCACCCTCTTCTCCTTCTCTTTTGGCTTCACATGCCCCCTCTCTCTTTCTAATAAATCCCCATTTCCTTGAGGATTAAAACATCTTTTTCCCTCTCTGGGTTCCTCTGTTTTTATAACCTCTTTCAAGTCAATGCTTAGCTATATGTCTTCGTTACTGGTAAAGATGGAGTCTTTATGAAGCTCAGGAATGCTGGAAAGTGGGAAGTTCTGAAGATTTGAGCTGAAGGAGTGAAAAGGGTAAAGCATTTTTTGGAACATGGCAGCTCCTGCATTTTGCCAACTTTTTTTTGGTGGGGGAATCCTTTTTATTCTCTCCTGTATATGGGACAATGTTGGGTGTTTTGGGGGTTCTTGTTTTGTTGTTCCTGCAACTCCTGATGAAGCCATTGCCAGCATTTGCTTATTGTTTAAAATTTTCAATTGAAAAAGCTGTGAGACCCCATTTGTTCAGATGAAGTACATTAGTTTTCAAGTCCTCAAAATCCCACACTTCCTTCTTGTTAGTACACTAGTTCCAAACGAAGATCCATCCTTTTGGAGATGTTTAAACCCCTTAGGTTTGAAATGGAGCTTAGATGGGTTGTGGATTGGGTGAAGCTTTTCAATCTTTTTTACTCCAATGTAATCTTGTTTAATTATGTGAATCCAAGAGAGAGAAAATTCTGTTTTGACTATATTATTTTAAAGTTGGTGACTTTTTTTAAGCTCTAATTAAAGGGATCTTGTGGCTTTTCTTTTTGTAATTTTGTGGCATGGCTCTTTTCTCCTCCTTTCCATTGTTCCCCTTTGGCAAGAGGAACGGAGTATTTCGGAGCCATTGTGGGTTGTAAAGTCAGTGCAATCAGATGTGAATAAAGTTCATATGTCTTTATCGGTACTTTAGCTTGAAGCATGTGTCCAAACTTTTTAGTACTACCTTTTTTTAGTTTCTTATAATTTACTTATAATTAGTTCTAAATTGTGATCCGCGATACTTGTATACATCTACCACAATGAGGAAAAATGGCACATGGTCCTTAATTTTTATTTTTATTTTTTATAAAAAAATGAAAAGTGTTAACCTGTTTTTTTCTGTGCTTCTTGACTTATTATGGTCTTAAGGGCTCTCTTTGGTCTCTGCTTTTTAATCTTGTACCTGGTTGGGGAATATCCTTAAAGTTTTCTTTATTGAATTAAGCCTATGAGAATGATATGATCACAAAAAAAGAAAAGCCAAATCTTATGGTTGTCTGATTCTAGTATAGCTTTAATATACCCTCTTGATAATGGCAGGATTGGGTGAAAATGTTCTATTATTTTGTCCTATTAGGCACCAAATATAGGTTTTGGTTTCTCCTAGTAGATCTTCATGACTACTAAAAACTGTATTTCTACTTATTTTTTATACTTCTTTAAATGCGGAAGATGTGTTGATTCAGTTCAAATTGCAGATATCACGGTTCGCATAATATGCTTTATGTTTGCACCTATGGTTGTTAGCAAGTAACAAACATTTTCCTTGTTTTGGTTGACTCACTCTCATCCAGTGAAGCTTGATCCTTTTCATTCTTATTGTGTGTATTTGACTTATCAAAATGCTCAGTCACTTGATATTGGAAAAATCCCACTTGAGCTGTTATCATTGTTCTTTTGACTTTAGTTTAGTTAAAGGATGTATAAGAAGACATTGGACTTTTTCACTGTAAATACTTTTCTAGGTTGTGGCCGTTAATTGATCGTAAATGGCTGTTTTCTTCGCAGATTATGATCTGCAATATTTTGACACAAGTTAATTGCTTTTCCCTAAGGCACATTTCCAACTTACTGCTGCAAAGTGCATTGTGTTGATTAACAAAATACCTGACTGCTGTGCTGATATATCTTTATTCGTGTCAGGTTCTTGCCATTTGTTTCATCTGAGCTAAAATATCAATTCCATTTTTTGCTGGCGCCCAAAATGACTATGAGCAACCTCAAATTGGGTGTTGAAGTGGTTAGCGCACACAATCTTCTCCCCAAAGATGGCCAAGGTTCATCCAGTGCTTGTGTAGAACTGTACTTTGATGGTCAGAGCTTTCGTTCCACTATTAAGGAAAAAGATCTCAATCCAGTATGGAATGAGAGCTTCTACTTCAACATTTCTGATCCTTCAATTCTCCATAATCTCCATCTCGATGCTCACATCTACAATATTGTTAAAGCCACTCAATCCAGATCTTTCCTAGGAAAGGTCAGCATCAGTGGTACTTCATTTGTCCCATATTCAGATGCTGTTACCTTGCATTATCCTCTTGAAAAGCGCGGCTTGTTTTCTCGAGTGAGAGGAGAGCTTAGCCTTAGAGTTTATATAACGGATGACCCATCAATAAAGTCATCCGTACCCATTCCTGATTCTGAGAACAGTCCAGTACAAAATGGATCAATTGGCAATGTGCAACCGGTCAATGTCCCTAAAGTCAAATCTGAGGCGAGGCACACCTTTCACCATCTTCCGAATCCCAATCAGAGCCAACAGCCGAGTCAGCCTCCTCCTGTTGTGCTGCCACAGCAGCTAACAAAACATATGGCTGATGAGATGAAGGCTCCTGAGCCAATGCCTCCAAAACTAGTAAGAATGCACTCTGCATCCTCAGCTCAACCCGCTGATTATGCCCTCAAGGAAACCAGTCCATATCTTGGAGGTGGAAGAGTTGTAGGTGGCCGTGTTATCCGTACAGATAAAAAAGCTTCTTTTACTTATGATCTTGTTGAGCAAATGCACTTCCTTTTTGTTAGAGTTGTCAAGGCTCGTGAGCTACCAGCCATGGATGTTACCGGTAGTTTAGATCCATATGTGGAAGTGAGGATTGGAAACTACAAAGGCATTACTAAGCACATTGAAAAGCACCAGAATCCCATGTGGAATGTGGTATTTGCATTCTCAAGAGAGAGGATGCAAGCTTCAATGCTTGAAGTTGTTGTAAAGGACAAAGATCTAATGAAAGATGATTTTGTAGGTATAGTCAGATTTGATCTGAATGAGGTTCCGATGCGTGTTCCTCCAGATAGTCCTTTGGCTCCAGAGTGGTATAGGCTTCAGGACAAGAAGGGAGATAAGGTCAAGGGTGAACTGATGCTTGCAGTTTGGATCGGCACCCAAGCTGATGAAGCTTTCCCTGATGCATGGCATTCTGATGCAGCCACTCCTATTGACAGCTCAGCAGCTACCCTGGCTGCACTCCGCTCTAAGGTTTATCATGCTCCCCGTTTGTGGTATGTTCGTGTCAATGTTGTTGAAGCTCAGGACTTGGTTCCAGTTGATAGAGCCCGCTTTCCTGATGCATATGTGAAGGCACAGATAGGACACCAAGTTCAGAGAACAAAGCCTATTCAGGCTCGAAACTTCAATCCCCTCTGGAATGAAGATCTCATATTTGTAGCACCTGAACCATTTGAAGATCATCTTATTCTTTCAGTTGAGGATCGTGTGGCTCCTGGGAAAGATGAGATCCTAGGGAGGGTTATTATACCGCTGACCATGGTGGAGAAGCGTGCTGATGATCGAATTGTGCATTCCCGCTGGTTTAATCTGGAAAAGCCGGTGCTGGTGGATGTTGATCAGCTCAAGAAAGAGAAGTTTGCTAGCAGGCTCCATCTTCGAGTCTGCCTAGATGGCGGCTACCATGTACTTGATGAATCCACCCATTATAGCAGCGATCTACGCCCCACGGCAAAGCAGCTATGGAAACCACCAATGGGTATTTTGGAACTTGGCATCCTTAATGCTGTAGGTCTTCATCCAATGAAGACGCGGGATGGAAAAGGCACTTCAGATACATACTGCGTAGCCAAGTATGGTCATAAGTGGATCCGAACTAGAACAATTGTTGATAACTTGAGTCCAAAGTACAATGAGCAGTATACTTGGGAGGTTTTTGATCCAGCTACAGTTCTTACTGTTGGTGTCTTTGATAACAGCCACCTTGGGGATAATGGTTCTAATGGTGGTAGCAAGGACTTGAAGGTAGGAAAGGTTCGAATTCGAATTTCAACACTTGAGACCGGCCGAGTGTATACTCATTCTTATCCATTACTGGTTCTCCATCCAACTGGTGTTAAGAAGATGGGTGAACTACATTTGGCAATTCGCTTCACATGCACATCGTTTGCGAACATGATGTACATCTACTCAAAACCGTTGTTGCCGAAGATGCACTACATAAGGCCTTTCACTGTCATGCAGCTTGACATGCTGCGACACCAAGCTGTAACCATTGTGGCAACAAGGCTAGGTCGAGCAGAGCCCCCACTGAGAAAGGAAGTGATAGAATACATGTCTGATGTGGACTCACACCTCTGGAGCATGAGGAGAAGCAAGGCAAATTTCTTCCGTTTGATGTCAGTTTTCTCAGGATTATTTGCTGTTGGGAAATGGATGGGTGATATCTGCATGTGGAAGAATCCGATCACGACAGTGCTTGTTCATTTGCTGTATCTCATGCTAGTTTCCTTCCCGGAGCTGATTTTACCAACAATTTTCCTTTACATGTTTCTGATCGGAATATGGAATTTCCGCTACCGCCCTAGGTATCCTCCACACATGAACACAAAGTTGTCTCAAGCTGAGGCTATTCATCCTGATGAACTCGATGAAGAATTTGACACATTTCCAACTAGTCGAAGTCCAGACCTGGTTCGCATGAGGTATGATCGACTGAGAAGTGTAGCTGGGCGGATTCAGACGGTTGTGGGGGATATCGCAACTCAGGGAGAACGTTTTCAATCATTGTTGAGTTGGAGAGACCCACGGGCTACTGCAATATTTGTTACATTCTGCCTGGTGTTTGCATTGGTTATGTACGTGACTCCTTTCCAGGTAATTGCTGGCCTATTTGGCGTGTATGCAATGAGGCATCCAAGATTTCGCTATCGTGTACCTTCTGTGCCTATCAACTTCTTCCGCAGGTTGCCTTCAAGGACCGACAGTATGTTGTAAATCAGTCTGTTGTCATAATAATTGTTTGCTAGTCTAGATATTACTATCTGGTTAGGTCACTATATTAATCTTTTCCTTCTTTGTACTTAATTCTGACCCTTTGAAGTTTGAAGTAGACATCTATATCATTCTCTATTTGTACTAATAAGTCATACTTAACGTTTCTGGTGGTAGTAAATTAAGTGTTTTTCATCTAATGGTTTCAGCATACATGATGGCTAATGCTACAATAATGCATTATTGACCGAAATTTCACCATTGTGGAATGAGGTTTAGTAAACAATGTTTAACGATTTTGTTTTAATCATAATGTACTTGCAATGATTGGCTCATCATATCACCTTGAGTAAAATAATAATTCCTTCATCCTATAATTATTGTCCAATTTGAGTTTTTATTTCTAATTCAAATTGTACTAAAAGTGAAATATCAAACTGGACAATAATTTTGAGCCAGAGGGAGTATGTCCTTTGATGAATGAACAGTTGACCCTTTTCAACAACCTAGACGTGCCCCCAAGTAGATGGCCAAAAAGCTAGAGTAAAGATTACACATTTCTTGGAGAATCTTTTCTGCTGCTACGTGCTTCCATGTCTAAATGTTCTGCTGAAAATGCAAATGCACTTTTTCACTAGAAAAACTCAATGGAAGTTGCAAACAGAACTAGCACTGATTGATTCTTGGATCAATATGGCAACCATTTCAGTTCCTAAGAGGATATCTAGATCATCCCAAATAGTTAAGGCAAATGACTTCACTTTCTCCCTTGGGTTCTTAGCTGAAATTCTTTATCGCATTCCGGCTGCGGTTATTGTCTTGATTATCATCTTTCTGTGGTGCACTTCCACCACCATTATCTCTGGCAATATAGTCCACGTATGCTTGTCATCTCGAAAGCTCAATCTCTACTGCATTTCGGCAGGGACACAGCCAAAATTTGATATTCCTACTAATTCATTGGTCAATGGAAATTCAATTTTGAATAGTGCAGAAAAAGCTGCAGACGAAGGCTCAGTTCTTGCTATCCATAGTAGGGAGAAAGCTGAAAATAAGGGCATGGAGACTCTAGTCGACGATGGAGGTGGGAAAATGGATCATCTGCAAAATGATGCAAACATTGCGTTGAAGAATTCAGTTTCTACATCCAACAAGGTAGATGTCAGTGGCAAAAAGAATCATGTGACAGATGATGGAAACATTGCGCCGAAAAACACAGTTTTTATGTCCAACAAGGTGGATGGAAGTGGCATAATGGGTCATGTAAAAGATGATGGTAACATTGTACCAAAGAATACAGTTTCTATGTCCAACAAGGTGGATGGGAGCAACATTATGGATCGCACAAAAAATGATGAAAACATTGTGCAGAAGAATGCAGTTTCTATGCTGAACAAGGTGGGTAGAAATGGCGAAATGGACAGCGTGAAAGGTAATGGAAATATTAAGCTGAAGAATTCAATTCCCATATTCAACCAGGAGCAAGCAAAAGCATTAACCAAAACTGAAAGAAGGAACAGAACTGAAATAGTGGAAGTTGAGTCAAAGAATGCAATGCCTACCATCTATGAAGGCAATGACAAGAAGACAGATGAGGAGTTGGCGATCGCCTTGATGGATGTGAAGGATCAGATACGAATTCAGCGATCGTGGATATCTTCAAACCAAAGGAGCACAAACTGTGATGGAAGGGGAGTTTATGTATATGATCTCCCTTCAAAGTTCAACAAAGACATATTAGTCCAGTGTAATGACATGATTCCATGGGCTGATCTCTGCAATAACTTCAGCCACGACGCCTTAGGCGAGCCGATACAGAGGCTTGGTAAAGGATGGTACCAGACTCACCAGTATGCTTTGGAGCCAATCTTCCATTCCAGGGTTCTAAAGCATCCTTGCAAAGTATACAACCAAAATGAGGCCAAGCTCTTTTATGTTCCGTATTATGGTGGACTCGAAGCCTTGAGATGGCATTTCAAGAATGTCTCCAATGATGTTAAGGACTCTTTATCTCAAGAACTTATTAGGTGGCTGGAGACACAATACAGTTGGAATCAGAATTCAGGTAAAGATCATTTTTTCGTATTAGGTAAAATTTCATGGGATTTCAGGAGAAACAATGCATCTGCATGGGGGACCAAGTTCCTGGAGCTTGATGAAATGCAAAATCCAATCAAGCTTTTGATTGAAAAGAATCCATGGCATGTAAATGACATCAGCATCCCACATCCAACCTACTTTCACCCTCAAACAGACAATGACATTATCACATGGCAGCAGAAGATTATCAGCTCATATCGCAGAAAACTAGTGAGCTTCGCAGGCGGTTCAAGACCCGATTCTCCCAACAACATCCGTTCGATATTGATTCAGCAATGCATTTCCATGGCCAATGGAGATTGCAAATTCCTAGACTGCAACTCAGGCTCTTGTGATCAACCAGAGACATTGATTGAGCTCTTTACGGAATCAGAATTCTGTTTACAACCTCCTGGCGACAGCGCAACGAGAAAATCAGTGTTTGATTCTCTAATATCAGGTTGCATTCCAGTATTCTTCGATCCCTTTACAGCTCACTATCAGTATCCTTGGCATTTACCAGAAGATCATGAGAACTATTCGGTATTCATAGATCAAGATGAGGTCAGAAATAAGCAGGTCAGTGTTGCTGAAAGGCTTGTAAAGATCACCAAGGATAAAAGAGATGACATGAGGAGATACATTGTCTATGAACTGCTACCTAGATTAGTATATGCAGATTCAAATTCAAAGCTTGAGATCTTTCAGGATGCTTTTTCTGTAACAATGAATAATCTGATTGAAAGGATGAACAAACTTTAGTGTACTGTATTAGATAGAGTCGATAACACATAATTGCTCATGTATGTTTTTAGTTTTCTTTTTTCTCAATACATTATGCACCTGGTGTCCAAAATCACTATCTAATGAGTCCAGATTTAAGTGAGGTGTATCCGAAACTCTTTGAATAAATATTTTAATCACTTTGGTATTCAAACAATCTGATTTGAGTTTGAATCTTATTTTTCTAATTTCGAAACTTTTAAGGACAACTTTCTTGGTTTCATATGTAAAAATACCACAACTATATAGTAAGTAAGAATACAAATCTATATCAAACGTCAAAAGACAACACAAATTCAATCTGATCAATCTGATCAATCACAGAGAATAATACAAAGTTTGTAGCCATGAATTTGCGGCCATAAATCTTCATCAAAACGGCTTCTGGAACTAACTAGGATAGTACAAAGCTCAACCCAGTCTTTCCATCCTGGATGTGACAAATTCAGACAATCAACATCAACATGGTCAAATTTATGTTCTGTTCACATTTAACGTTCCCATTTTATAATTTATACCTCATTGTGAACGTCATAATAACTCTAAAAATGTCACCTTCTTCCTCATCGTTTTTACATTTTAGCATATGATCAAAAAATAAGTCAAACCCACAAAACGTCACCCGTTTGGACAATACAATCCCACGTTAGTGTTGTTGCATATTCGCCACCTGTAAAATAGCGGCTGAAAATAAGCCAAACATCGTCATCTCTGTATCCACAAATTATATAAATTCTGGAATAAAAAATTCGATCTTTTTATCTTCAGAAAAATTTAAAAAAAAAAAAAAAATCTACTTTGACAAGAAGCTATATATAATCTGAGGTTGGCCCCCTTCATATTCCTCATGTTTTCTTCTTCAACTCGCTTTGCCATTCGGAAGAATCTTGGATTGCCAAAGCAACTTTCTTCAATTTTGACCAGAACCCATTTCAATTACATCCATAGTTCTTCAGTGTCACCGTTTTCTCGGACAATCAACCACGGGTTTTTGAAGTCCGGGTCTGTAAATTATACTCCCTCCTCTAAAGGATCAGCAGCTCTTTGGGTTTCTAGACTTGATCATACAATGGCCACCCAGTCCAACGCTCCTCAATCAGTCCATGACTTCGTTGTCAAGGTTTGAGTTCAGTTCTAAGATTGTAACTTTTTTTCATCATCTATTTGATTAGTGTTCTGGTTTGATTTTTATTTGTTGACTTATACCTTGATTAATTGTTTCATTTCGTTTTTGTGCTTATCCGGTATATGTCATGAATCATGATCTCGGAATTTGGTTTGTTGAGGGAAAGATTCCTGTACTTTTGGGTTTCTAATTTGATGTTTTGACTCAGTTATTACAAGGTTTAATGTTCTTTGGGTTGTTTCATTAATCAGCTGTTAGATTGGGTACTAAATTCATTTTGCTAACTTCAATTGTTAATCAAATATTTTAATAGCTAAGAGCTGAATTAAGTTTGACTTTCAGAATCTGCGGATTGTTCATGATGTGTTATAGCTTGCAGTTTAAGTTGGATTGTCTTTTATAGTCTCATCATTTGTTGTGGGGTTATTTCATAGAATTCTTTTGTTTCTTACAAGTCTCTTCCAACTCTTGTTATTTTTGGTTGCAATTTACATGTCTTTTGACTTTTAAGTAGTATGTTTTGCTGATCATTTTACTAATGATTTGGTAATTGCAGGACGCGAAAGGAAATGATGTTGATCTTAGCAAATATAAGGGAAAGGTTCTTTTGATTGTCAATGTTGCATCTCAATGGTACGCATGACCCTGACTTTTGGCATTGAAATGGTTTTACTTTGGAAGAACTGCAATACCATGAGAAATTCGGCCTCGAGTATTTGGTTATTGGTTCATCATTCTGTGTTCCACCATAGCTAAATAGCGAATTAATTTAGGGTTGTCATATTCGAGACACTTTCTTTTGAAATTTTTGAAAGTAGCTGTGTTTTGTCAAGTTTACATTTGAGTATTTACAAGTTGTGAATTTCGAGTGCCATGTGAATTTCCATCTCTGTACTTGGGCATACTTTGTCTGTGATAAGGACTATTCATTTGAATTGCATATCGTGGTTGCTTTATATCATTTAATTAGGAATCTTAGATTCTTGTTTAGACTAGTGTAAAGTCCAAACTGAAGCAGGCTTTCAATGAGATTGATGTCCTCCCTAAATTTTGGTGTTTGTACTTTGTCTCTGTTGGCTCTAGGGTGGTTTGGGATTATGTTAGTGCTTGATTGTCATTAAATTTTCTTTTTAGCGATCTAGAATGTAGGATTGAGAATCCATTATTCAAAATCAGCCTTGCCTTTAGGGGTGCTGGTGCTGTTTGTTTGCCTGGGCTTTGATTGTCAACTGTTTTTGTGCTGATTTGTTTCTCAACTTCGTTTACTAATTGCTTTCAATTTCATTACTCAAAAATGTTGCATTTGTCGCTGTTGCAGTGGTCTGACCAATTCAAATTATACAGAGTTGACAAAGCTGTATGAACAGTACAAAGATCAAGGTATGATTTCTCTCAGCTTTGTACAGCAACCATATTGGACAGCAACTTTAACTTCTTCTCTGTTTGGTCCAATGTAAATAATTATTGCATTTTGGCCGCGTACAGGACTTGAGATTCTTGCTTTTCCATGCAACCAGTTTGGTTCACAAGAGCCTGGAAGTAATGAGGAGATTCAACAGTTTGCTTGCACCCGCTTTAAGGCTGAATATCCCATATTTGACAAGGTAGGACTTGCTACATGTTCTTGTCAATTTTTAGCGCGACATTTCTGTTGTCCCAATCATTTCATTCCTCCTATCTCCCATCACTTTAACTGACAGCTTCATGAAGCTAAAAAATCATCATGTGTTGTTTATCTCCATTAGTAGTTTGAGACAAAAGCAGCGTGCTTGAGCATTTTGGCTGGCAAGTGGAATGTAGGACTTGATTTCATTCACTGTCCAATTGAGTTTACTTGAGTTGATATCCTTCTTTCTGCTGAAAATTTAGGTGGATGTAAACGGTCCAACTGCTGCTCCCATATATAAGTTCCTGAAGTCAAGCAAAGGAGGACTCTTTGGAGATGGTATCAAGTGGAATTTCTCCAAATTCCTTGTTGATAAAGATGGCCATGTTGTTGACCGTTATGCTCCCACCACATCTCCTTTGAGCATAGAGGTAAGAGCTGCCCGTTCACCCTAAATGTTATTTAAATTTAAGTTCATGTAACAGTTTGTAACGAGGATTTCTTCTCTCATTGCAGAAGGATATCAAGAAACTACTCGCAAAAGCTTGAGTGACAGAGCCGATGCGTGTGGATCAGTCAGCAGTTTTCGTTCAAGCTTGTGTCTAGTTAAAATCAAACACATTTGCTTCCGTGCAAGAATTTGTTCACCAGGAATAATGGAAATAGCAGATGTTGAAGTTCGTTTCTTTCAAGTTTATGTAAACATCGCCTCTATAAATAAGCAGAACTGTGATGGAGTTGAGAATGTACACTACTTGCTGGTCTCAGTTTCTGTACAATTATGATTTTGAATACGGTAGTCTGATGCTTTTCTTGATGATCATTATGTATAAAAGCATTGAATAAATTTGTTTTGCTGTATGTTGCATAAGGGCCTCTAGGCTTTATTGGCTAATAAAAGCTCCAACGATTGAAATAACTGCGTTCTCCTGTTTTTGGTTCAAGGCAAAATTTGCTTGCTTTTCTTGCTTTTGTTTGACCAAGGAACCCATTATCTGGCCATGTTTATACTTCTAAGCTAAAATCTCTTTTCCGTCAGTAAATTTGTTCCAGGTGTTCGTCCCTTTCATTTTATTGCCATATGTATGTTATTTCCTTCTTTCATTATTTAAAAGAATTAAGAAAAGTAAAAAAAAAAAAAAAAAAGAAATCTTGATCGTCGATCTCTTCGTCGGGGAGCAAGAAATCGGCAAGCGTGCTAAATAAATAACCTCATCATTTTCAGTCAACTCTTCTCCATTTCCCTCCATATACTTATATCCCATCAACAACAGGAATTTCGCATTCACAATCATACAAAATAATCATCTTTTATCTGTCTCAAATCTGATTGTGTATCTTTGAGAGGAATCCAAGAAGTCAAAGAAATTTACTTGGCATCCTCTGCAGTTGTTCTGAGTCCAGAACAATGGAAACCCAATCTAAGGAAGACCCTCAATCAGTTTTCGACTTCATTGTAAAGGTTCGTTTCTTTTGTTTGTTTGTTTTTTTTTTTTTTCCTTCCTAAGCTCCATGGATATGCTCAAAGTGATCGTGATTGCTCTAGATTGAACCATTAGTAGTTTAGTACAGAGTTTGTGTTACTTAGTGACTGAACTCTGATTTTAAACTGTTTGATTATTTCCCTCGTTCGTTTCAGAACAAAATTGTGGCGATTCATTTCCATTGTGTGGGCGCTCTGAAAATATCTGTAGTTTTGGGATTGAAATGGAGTTGAAAATGTGATTTCTTATCTGCTAAACATACTAAATGGACAATCAAGATCAAGTCTTTTGTAATCTGGAAGTTCAGTTCAATCATGATAGTTGAGGTTCTGGAGAGTAATTTCTTTTCGAAAATGATCCTGGGGGTTAGGATACTTTATTTTGACACCATCCTTTTGTAACTAAAATTTAATGTATCCGCACAATTCTATCTTTCCATTTCATGCTACCACTTGGAATATGTTGGTGTTTAGTCAGTGTTTAAAACTAAATTGCAGGATGTTAAGGGAAATGATGTGGATCTCAGCATGTACAAAGGAAAGGTTCTGCTAATTGTCAATGTTGCTTCCAAATGGTAGGATTGTGTTCTGTGTTCTGTTTGGCCTTCCACAACGTTATATCTTTTCCATAAATGCTTAATCTTCCTTTTGGTGGTGTTCATTTTGTTGATATAGTGGGATGACTAACTCAAATTACACTGAGCTGAATCAGCTGTATCAGAAATACGAGGACCAAGGTTTGTGTGTCTGGCATATCTTGGATTTCTGTAGAATAACGAAAATGTTATTGCACCTGCAATAGATTTTCAATGTCGAATGCCATCCGTAAAACCCCTGACGTTGTTTCCCACATAGGTCTTGAGGTACTGGCATTTCCATGTAATCAGTTTGGTGAAGAGGAACCTGGGAGTAATGATCAAATCTTAGATTTTGTTTGCACTCGTTTCAAGTCCGAGTTTCCAATCTTTGACAAAGTAAGTCAATTTGCCTAACCAGTTCCATAAAAGCTACTTCAATAGTTTGTTTGGTCCGATGGTCACAGCACCAATTAATTTGCAACTTAAATTGACTTGCATGTATATGATTGTAAAAGCACTTTATGAAGGTATACTCAAAATTCCATTTTTCAATCACTAAGCTGCTTGTTTTGAATATGAAGCGCTTTATAGTTAAGTATATCCATGCGTATTAATGGCATGTTCTCGCAACAGATTGAGGTTAACGGACCAGGGACTGCACCGATATATAAGTTTCTGAAGAAAGGAAAGTGGGGGATATTAGGAGATGATATTCAGTGGAATTTTGCAAAGTTCCTTGTTGATAAGAACGGACAGGCCGTCGATCGCTACTACCCTACTACCTCTCCTCTTACTATAGAGGTAATACCCGCTCCTTATATCCTCCTGTCATTCTTAAGTTCTGATAATGAGTTCACACCTTTAAAACAAAGGCTACCAGATAGTGTCAACTCCTGTTAGATCAAACTCTTTCACTGTAATCGCCTTTTTTATGCCAGTGTCTGCTACATTTAAGGCGTGTTCTAACCTTCTTTTCTTGCTGGCAATTGCAGAGAGATATAAAGAAATTATTGGGGACCCTGTAGATGTCACAAGCAACAAGCATTTGGTAAGGAACGGCATGTTCGTGTATGTCATGCCCCTACTTTCGTATGGATCACCTTTGGTAGAGTGTATGCAACGTTAGAAAATCGGCAGTTGTTGTACCCAGATACAGTGTAAGATTATGATGAATTTGTTTCTGAAATGTTGTTTTGAATCTATTTCTGCTGGAAAACCATGATCTAATTTTCAAGTCCATTTGGGAAACATCGTTGAATTATCCAACAAAATAAAAAAGTGGTTCATGACACAAATATTCCAAAAGCATCTTTATCTGGTGGTTAGGACTGAATTAGAATCAAACTGTTGGGAACAAGGAAATTTTAGAAAGAATGAGAATCAAATGGTTGTGGATACAATAATTTTGACAAATGTCACATCAAAATGAACATAAATCCACTCCTTATTACAGCCCACGACAAAGTGAACAAATGATAATTTAGCTACAAATCTTTTTCTCAATGGTCCAGCAGTAGGTTAATAGAGCATTATCGTGCTCTTTTTGTTTTTCAGGCTCAAGAAGGCCACAGATGACATCCTAATTTGACGTCCCTTTTTGCGAGCCCCTGGAATATGATGATTTTTGTAACAAAACAAGATAATTCAGACAAGGAAATATATTGGACCACAGGCAGTCAGTGTAGACCCCCCCCAAAAAAATCACACACACAAACTGTTCTTTGGAATTCAGATAAATGGAGTGCTTCAGAGTCCATGACAGCCTCATCGGCCATTCCATTTAAACTTCAAAAGTTAAGGAAGAAGCTTTCATTTCCCTTTTACTCTTGTTTTGAATTGTTGCTGTCATGGCAAGCGAATCTAAGAGAGACCCGGAAACAGTCTATGACTTCACTGTAAAGGTCAGTTTTTAACTTCTTGTACTATCATGTATCTGCAGAAAGTTCTTGCACATCAAAATTAGTGTAAACAGGCTTTTTGTAAGCTTTAGAGCCAACAATTTTAGTATTTGCTCTATAAGCATATGCTTTGTAGCTCCAGCTTTAATAAGCAGATTACTGTTTTGCAAAATTTGAACCTTTCATGCAAAATCAGGATTAGATCGTCGTATCTGTCGAGGGCCATTCTGTCATAACCTTATCATCCAATTTGCGCAGGATACAAAGGGAAATGATGTGGATCTCAGCACTTACAGGGGAAAGGTTTTACTGATTGTTAATGTTGCTTCTAAATGGTAGTCTACTTTGTCTTCTCATCCGGAAATGTTCTTTTATTCATGCATCTGTATGACTGTATCCATAGATTTCAACATAAGCGTGTCCAGTTTGGTTTACAGAACAATAAGCAACAGCAGATTCCTGTTTCATTTGTGATTTTTCGTGTTATTGAAAACTTCTCTAATAACATTTTTTTTCTTCTCTATCTTTTGCTCTATTCGAATTAGTGGTTTGACGAATTCAAATTACAACGAACTGAATCAACTCTATGAGAAGTACAAAGAGCAAGGTTTGTCACTTTATTGTTTCAAATAATGAAAATTTGGTTGATTATTAGTGGATTTAATGTATTGACCATTCTTTAAAGTGTTCCCACTTCTCAAAGGTATATCTGCTTCAAATATTGGCCACATTATTTCAGTATATTGTCACAAAAGGTTCTTGCACTTCATATGATATCCTCATAGTTTTCCTTCTCCTTTCTCATAAAGGTCTGGAGATTCTAGCATTTCCATGCAACCAATTTGCTGGACAAGAACCGGGGAGTAACGAGCAGATCTTAGACTTTGTCTGCACCAGCTTCAAGTCAGAATTTCCCATATTTGACAAAGTAAAATTCGCAACTCCTTTGTCTTTATCTCGCTTCTTCGGATTTATATGAGATTGACTACATGAATCACATCTTCACACTATGCTATGTCAAAACAAGTCATAAGCTACTCTCTATGAAGGATATAGAAATCGCATACTTTATCTCGCTGCTCTATCGCGTAAAACTTCATACAGATCCTTCTGCCAGGTGGATGCCAGAGTAATTTAGAGCTAAATCGTTCGAAACACTGATTATGATATTGGACTTTGTTTCGACAGATTGAAGTGAATGGGGAAAACTCTGCCCCACTTTACAAGTTTTTGAAGAAAGCAAAGTGGGGGATATTAGGAGGTGATATCCAGTGGAACTTTGCCAAGTTCCTGGTTGATAAGAATGGCCAAGCAGTTGATCGATACTATCCAACAACTTCTCCTCTCACAATCGAGGTTTTTTCGCCTAACTCAAGTTCTTTTTAGTTCATTTCTTTAAGCTAAAACGAAATGAAAAACAATGTGCACACAGAAACATCAAAATGATCTTATTCTGAGTATGATTTTCCTGTTCTTCTTACCTTACTGTGGTGTTCAAATTGTAGAGAGATGTAAAAGTTCTATTGGGAATCTCCTAGAAGCCAGCACATAAAAAGGGTCGAGGTTCATGAAGTCAGTTGCCGTGAAACGATCTGTTCTGTCCTGTTCCAAGTCTTCTCAATCTTAGCTACTCTAATAAAAGTTGGAATTATGAACTGAAATGTTCCCAATCAGTTGTATCCTTGTGTGTTTGTATGTGTAATTTCAAGTCATATTTGATGGATGATGTGATTTGGTCAAATGTAAACAAATCATCTTGCTCGTCCTACAACTCGCTCTATGTTTCAATCCTCTCCTCTTCCCTTTAAAACTGATCAATGGAAACTAATGAAAAGCATAATTTAGTACAATGTTCAAGTGCAACGTTTCATAGAACCTTCATCGCAGGAATACTCTCATACACATTTCGTCGGCTTTTATACACATTTTTGTCAGGGTTAGCAACATCGACGAAATAGTCAAACACGGGTATTTTATGTTTAATTTGTCTAATGTATATGAATTGACCATCACACTTGCAAAGTCAAAAGAAAACTTGTTACAAAATTTTGTAAGACACCAACCCTAAACAGAGTCAATGTGGGTCTTTAAAGCGAAATTTTTATATTTACTCATTTAATTGTCAGAATAGTAATAGTAACTTTATGCAGCTACGTAATCGGGAGCAAAAAATATTTCCTTATATCGACTCCATCATTGTACTAGCAAAGTATATCGACAAGTCGATGCACTAATTTAGTTTAAATTAAAATATGTCAACTTTGTCGTCTGTCTACCAAAGTTGACAAAATAGTCTACGAGGATCTTTATACAAATTTTGCCTTGTGTCGGCCTACTCGTCGAGTTAACAACCTTGACGAATAAGTAGACGAATATGTTTTGAAATGCCTTAATCAATGATCGGGAAAAGCCTACGAATAACAAGTTTAGCTGGGAATAATAAAATGTGGATCAAATTATCAAATGCGGGTATTACTATATGGACTATTTTGTCTAAAGTACGATTTGATAATCACGCTAACAAAGTTAAAGTTTGTTTAAAAAATTTAAGGTGACGACTTTGAGTAAAATCAATAAGGGTTTTTATCACAAAATTTTTCTAAACATCAAAAAAGGAATAGCAAATCCACGCAGTTATTTAATATGGAGCACAAATTTTTTCCTTAAATCGACTAGATCATTGGACTAGCAAGGTAGACCGAGTCGATCAGGTTATTATTAAGTTAAAAACAATATATAATAAAAAAAATAAATAATTACTCGACTTCATCATCGGGCTACCAAAGTCAACCAAATAGTCGACACGTTTCTTTATATTAATTTTGCCTTGTGTCGGCTTGATCATGTAACAAGCACAATGAAAATGTCGACTCAGATATTATGCTGAAATTGAAATTAAAATAAAATATCATGAACTCCGGGGAAAGTAGGGAAAATGAAGACAAAATAAATATGAAAAATTTTAAAAATTCTATATGAGGGTGATATAGGTAAATGACAAGATTTTGCTCTCAATCTAAAAAAAGTGCTCTCACTTATCACTTGCCATTCATGAAACTACTCCATCAACTTGTTTACATCCAAACGCGATGCCAATTTTAGCAACCTTAAAATCACTCAAGCTACCTGAATTTCGTCCACATTTATTACTTATATTTTGCATTATTATTGTAGTATGTAATTCCTTTTTAAATCAATGAAAATAGGCAATTAATATTTTACTAATCCTAATACCAAGCCAAGAGAAAATGTGAAAAGAAAGCAAAAACCTTTTCCTATTCATACTTGGTTTCAACTATTCATCAACTCCCCGTCCTATTTATAAAGTACGCATTAAAATCACTTTTTCTTATAATTTCTGCTTTATAAATAAAACCCAAAAGAGTAGTATCAGCGGCCTTTAAATTTGTCCTATTTATTATTATCATCAAACGTGTTTCCAATTTTGAATCACCGACTCCCTTAAGTACCCTTCTTCCAAAAGAAAATTATCTCTTGTTTCCCACTGTCAGATTAATCAATGACAACACATTATACATCAGAAATTCCATACTCTCAAATGGATCGTCGTCCTGATAAGCGTCCTAAAATAGAGGTTACCAATGTGTCAAACTTTGATCACTCAAGGTTATTACCTCAAAATCATGGTGATATATATTTAAAGGATGAAAGTCCGCAAAGAGGAACTCCCCGGCCCAGTCGACCGGAAGATGACAAAGACGGAAATTACGTATTTCAGCTCGGAGAGAACTTAGCTTCTCGTTATAAGATTCAGAGGAAAATAGGACGAGGCACATATGGCCTGGTTGTGGAATGCTGGGATAACGAAGCCAAGGCAATGGTAGCTATAAAAATCGTCAAGAACATTAAGAACTGTCGGGAATCCGCCGCGACAGAAATCGATATCCTCCAGTTGCTCGGAAGATACGAGGATCGTAACAACGGGAGGTGCAACTATTGTGTACGATTACGGAACTGGTTCGAATATCGCAACCACTTCTGTCTAGTACTGGAGAAGCTCGGGCCGAGTTTATTCGATTTGTTAAGAAAAAACAGCTACGGGGGATCGCTTCCCGTGGACCTAATCCGAGACGTCGGAAAACAGCTGTTGGAATGCGTAGCGTATATGCACGAGATGCGTCTCGTTCACACGGATCTAAAGCCAGAAAACATTCTGTTCGCGTCTATGTGGGTACAGAGAGGCGGCGCACTTTTGCGAGGGTTGCGAGAATCGACCGCGGTCGTCAAGGTCATCGACTTTGGCAGCGCGGCGCGTGTGGTCCAAGGAGATTACAACAGAAACTACGTCGTCACGACCCGGCATTATCGGGCGCCGGAGGTGATTCTCCGATTAGGGTGGAGTTATCCTTGTGACATTTGGAGCGTTGGGTGTATATTATTGGAGATGTGTTTCGGGAAAGTTGTGTTTCAAACCCACGACGATTTGGAACACCTGGCAATGATGGAGAGAGTGTTGGGTCATCCGGTGCCGGTTTACATGTTGTCGAAAACCGGGGACCACCACCGGAACGCCGGAAAGTTTGTGAGAAGAGGTGGTAGATTGAACTGGCCGCCGGCCGAAGGAGGTGCTACGAGGGAAAGTAGCATTGAGGCGGTGATGAAGTTGACGAGGATTCCGAATTTGGTAATGAAGAATGCGGATCATTCTGCTGGGGATCTCATTCGCCTTTTGGAAGGGCTTCTCAAGTTTGATCCTTCTCAAAGGTTGACGGCTCCTGAAGCTTTGAGGCATCCTTTTTTTGCTAGAGACCAATACCGGAGAAATCTACTTCTTCCTCATGGCCAATTTTGATTGCAATATTATATACTCCATATAACTATAAACACCTTTAATTAGCTTGTTGTAGGGATATATTCTCCAATGTTACGTTATTTTGGAAATTTGCACCAAAATATTTCGGCGTTCTTGTCTAATCCTTATTTTGTATTTCCGTGCCATTGATTTTTTCCACATGTAATTATGTATTTGGTGTTCGAAATCATATCCCAAATAATAATTTAATTTCTTGCATATCTAGGGTTTATCAAGTCCATCCCAGCTTCCATCTCAACTAAGACGTAACGAAAACCCAAAATCGACCATTTATTGAAAGGGAAAAGACAAAGGGAACAAAAATAATAAACGTGATTTTAGAGAGATACTCCCTTCGATCCTTAATAAAAGGCATTTTTATTTGTCCTGGATTTCACTTAGTATGTATTTTTAATTGACCAAAAAATCTTTAAAATATTTCATAACGATCAAGAGAGCACGACGAATGTGATGATATTCTTTTAAGATTTTTTCATCAATTAAAAATGCATACTAGGTGAAACATAAGACAAATCAAATTGCCTTATATTAAAGACCAGAGGGAGTATTGAGGAAGAAAGAAACCTCAAACTACTATAAAAAGAGTAGACTGTTTATTTTTATATTGCCTGGTGTTCAAGATCAAATTACTATAACAAGTGACTTTTAGTATCTCTATTTCTTACTCTTGTCCCAAAATGATTATCTTGTTTTGGGATAGAATGATATACAGAAATAGATTCATAAAATTTAAGAAAATGAAGGAAAAGAACCGAAACATTGGTCGGGTGACACAAATTTGAAAACAATTATCAAACATCATCTTAATTATCATCAGCCCAGAAAATATCCATCTCTCCCCAGTTATCCTTTGGCACTTTCAAGGCCTCCCAAACTGCTTGAGATGCATCAACAATATGATTCCGGCACGGTGGCTGAAAACCGTGATCGTCGTCGCACCCTTTCGTCGAATCACACTCATCAACCACCATAGCCTTAGTACTTCTCCCGTTACCAAAAATCGTAATATTCCTATGACACCTTTTCCTCCCATTGAACCATCCAGTCGACAGTGCGACCACCGGTATCTTGTTAGAATGGAATTTGTTGTCACATTCAGAAGGGCCACCACCATCCCCACCTTTTTCAAAGTCATTTATTGTCAGAATCGCCTTAGTGTGACCGGAAACCGGCGGTGAACACTTGAAGACGGTGTAGAATTTGTTTGCCTTGCAGCAATCATCTACAGAAGGATCACACTTGTCTTTAGGTGCTTGTGTTCCTTTGACTCTTCCACTTGGATTGCATTTTTGAGCTTCCACAGTAATCGTAAACAACATCACACAAATTAAGAAGAAGAAACCCATGATTAGCCCGAATTGAACTTGGTTTCTCATCTTTAATTTATGGAGCGTTTGCTATATTTAGTGTGTTAATGGTGCAAATGAGTGATGGAAGTGTATGGTATTTATAGCAGAGAAGTGATTCCAGCTAGCCAACTAGGAGACAAGCTTCATAGCCTAAAACTTTACGACATTGATGTGACCATATATAATGCATTGCGACCAGAAGTACCCCATTCGTCCTGAACTGTTTAAATTGTTTTCCGAACAAAAAAGAATGGATTGATCAACGAGAACCGTGAAAACTACAATTTTCATTCGGAAAACGCTAAAAGGAAATACTTTCTCTATCTCGAAATTATTGTCCAGTTTGGATTTTTATTTTCAATACAAAACATATTAAAAGTAAAAATTTAAACTGGACAATTATTTTAATACAGATAGAGTATTATGAGCATTTCAAAGTCGATAACAATTCCTTCAAAACTGGGCTAAACTTCCAGACAAATAAGGTCTCGACGTCCCGTAGTTAACTTAGAAAGCTATTACTGTGGCCAATACTTTCAAAAATATTACTCCATCGGGTCTTAAATATAAATATAAATTTTCATTTGTCTTAATTTCATCTAGTATATTATTTGAAATAAAAATAAAACTTTAAATAGATTTTATCATAATTGGGAGAACATAATAAATGTAAAAATATATTAAACAAAATTTAGGAGAAATCAAAATCTTGGGATTCGGAGAAGTATTATTTATAGGAAATTTTTATATTGTGGGATGGAAATATAAGAACAGAAAATCGAAGGAATCACGTGCTAACATATATATATATATATATATATATATATATATAGATATATTTCAAGAGAATGTTCCAAATTATAAAATGCATATTATTAAATCATTAGGCTTGCATACAAGCGCTACCGTTATGATGCAAGAATCACCCCTCCTTCGTTACCATGATGAAGTTAGTTAAGGTTGTGACAAATGGCAAAGATATTGTTGATTCCTAGGCCTTCTTCTTCATAGGAGTACAAGGTAATGCCGATGCGATAAAAGATAGGTTTGGCATATTATGTCGAAGTTTCTTTCAAGTGTTTTCGAATCTTCCAATTTGGATTCTTGAAAGATTCAAACCCCTCTCTCGGTAGGAAGGAAGTGCGGCTTGGAGCCTTAGAACATATAGTAAAAACAAATAAGAATATACACATTTTATGAGATTTATTAAAGCTACAAAAATTACCAAGTTTAATTTTGTTCCTTTTTTTTTTTTTTGGTTTAGTTTAATTTTGTTCCTTATCAATTATCAGGTAGCAATAAACTCTAGTCCGACCGGTGGATCTCCTTGTCAGACCGACTCAAGGAGCCAAATGAGAAATTTTCTTCCTATACTTTCTCTATAGTGAAGGCATAAGAATATTTCCCCTTTTAGTAACTACAAAATTATTCCTCAATAATCTCTTCGTCCAACAATAAACGTCCAGATTAGATTTTCTTCATTAGTGGACAGTTATTACCTTCTGTCGCAAAATATAAGTACCTAGTGGAGAAACTTCTTAATAGGTTCTATGAATTTCAAGCCAAACGGGCAATAATTGTGAGTGTTTATCTTCATTGTGCTTGTCATTCTCTTCTATTCTGCTTTTTCCCGTCTTTTTTTTTTTTTTTTTTTGTGAAGAAAACAAATGTATATTAAAGATTACTGAAAATGGTCCAACACCAATTGAAATACAGAGTTAAGAGATTCACTCTATAAAGTTTCAATTACAGAAACATGCTTAACATATTTTGCAAAAGAATGAATTAACGTATTTATTTTCTCGTATTTTCTCGGAATCCATGATATGTGACAAATCTGAAGATCCTGACAAATATAAATGATGTTCTCTAAGATCAGAGAGCAAGCAGAAGAGGCATCATTCTCCTTTCGTGCAGCGGATATAATGAGGGATAGCAACATGTGTGAATCCCATCCTTCAACATAATAGCAAGGCTTCGCGGAATGCCAATGCTTCCGCTAATTCAGAATCAACAATGTTTGGAAACTGTCTTGACAGACCATAAATGAAATTTAATGAAAATTAAAAGACTAAATTGCATGAATGGTCCCCTATATTTGTCTGATTTTAAATTTTGGTCCCCTACATCAACATGTATATGGATTGAGCCTTTACATTTCATTTTGAAACTTTTTGGTCTCTTTTCACTGTTCTCTCACCATTTCCGTCTTGATGACCGTTGACCCTACCAAGTCAGGGATATTTTCGGAATGACACATATAAGATCAAAATAACAAATGTTTAAATAGTCCCCTATATTTGTCCGAATTTAAATTTTGGTTCCCTACATCAACATGTATATGGATTGAGCCTTCACATTTCATTTTGAAACTTTTTTGGTCTCTTTTCACTGTTCCGTCACCATTTCCGTCTTGATGACTGTTGACCCTACCAAGTTAGGGGTATTTTCGGAATGACACATATAAGATCAAAATAACAAATGTTTTTATAATAAAATAGAATAAAATATTAAAAATTATTATTTTATAATAAAAAACTAAATAATGTAAAAATAAAAAAAATTACAATGATTTCAAATTTCAAATTTCAAATTTTTTTCACTTCTCACCTTTGTGGGTCCCACATGCTAGTCAATTTCTCCTTTTTTTTTTTTGCTACAGTAAAAAAAATTAAAATTAAAAAACAAACTTACCTTCACCCGTCTTTTACCTTTATTCTTAAAAATTTTATTCTCATAATTCGAAATGCCATTTATTAATTTTATTCTTACCAAGTCACTACTGGAACATGTAAAAGACAGGTGAAGGTAAGTTTGCTTTTTTATTTTGATTTTTTTTTACTGCAGAAAAAAAAAGAGGGAAAATTGACTAGCATGTGGGACCCACAAAGGTGGGAAGTGAAAAAAAAATTGAAATTTGAAATTTGAAATCATTTTAATTTTTTATTTTTATTTTTAAATTATTTAATTTTTTATTATAAAATAATAATTTTAAATATTTTATTCTATTTTATTATAAAAACATTTGTTATTTTGATCTTATATGTGTCATTCCGAAAATACTCCTGACTTGGTAGGGTCAACGGTCATCAAGACGGAAATGGTGATTTAAAAGTGAAAAGACAAAAAAAAAGTTTCAAATGAAATGTAAATGCTCAATCCATATGCATGTTGATGAGGACCAAAATTTAAATTTGACAAATGTAGGGACCATTTAAACATTTGTTATTTTGATCTTATATGTGTTATTCGAAAATACTATTGACTTGGTAGGGCCAACAATCATCAAGAGAAAATGGTGATTTAATGTGAAAAGAGACCAAAATGTTTCAAAATGAAATGTAAAGGCTCAATCCATATACATGTTGATGAGGACAAAATTTAAATTTGACAAATGTAGGGACCATTTAAACATTTGTTATTTTGATCTTATATGTATCATTCGAAAATACCTCGACTGCAGAGTAGCCAACGGTCATCAAGACGGAAATGGTGACGGAACAGTGAAAAGAAACCAAAAAAGTTTCAAAATGAAATATAAAGACTTAATCCATATACATGTTGATGTAGGGGACCAAAATTTAAATTCAGACAAATATAGAGAACCATTTATGCAGTTTAATCAAATTAAAATATCTTGTAATAAGAACCAAAAGCAATACTAATAAGCGAATTCAAATTTCCGATCATTATTAACCATTTTTAACAGAACCCACCGAAATTCATCTTTACCAAAAGACGGAACTTTATCTTCCATTTTCGGTGCGTCCTTCGTTTTCGCGATGACCCACCTAAGTTAAACGAAAAAGCTCTCACAAATTTGGCTGTCTCCTCCTCAACTTCTGTTACAATATTGTTGCCCTCCTGTCCCTCTTTCCAAGAGGTGTATTACTTTCCAATGGCATGAAAAAATCGAGAGATCAATATGGCTATAGGTGAACATGAAATACACATTTAAAAAAAAAAAAAAAAATTTAAAAAAAGACAGGAATGAGAACAAAATCAAAACTCACACGCCTGAAAATCTAACTTAACCCGCAGTATTAATCAATGAGTTTCACAATCAAAGTAATGCAGTTACAAGTTACAACAGAGATGTAAAAGAACTCAAAGAAGTGCTTCAAATGATTTTGTTTTTTTTTTAGAATTCCCAAGTTCATAATGAAGAACCATAATTTACTCCTACCAACCACCCATCATGACATTCTAATCTCAAAAATCATAAATCTATCGCTACTAAAGACAACTAAGAAAAATAGCTTTGTTACAGAATATGTTAGCACAAACCAGCATCTACTAGTGTGGCTGCAGGCAACAACCACAAGGTCAAGAGTTTGCTCGTCTCCCAGGCGCGTTTCATTTACAACAACAACACATATATACAAAACTTTGCCATGTGTCAATTGTAGCAAATTGTATTATCCGCGCGTCAAGTCAATCTCTGTTTGGGGATTCCTCAAATCTTGCCGGGAAACAGAAGGCCAGTTACCTATTCCAGAATTAGCAGTATGACCCTGACTAGAAGCAACTGTAACTTGTAGTGACGGCTTCTGATCAAGCTTAGGCACCAAGCTCTTTTCATCTTTATCACTGGATTCAGATTTGGTCTTTCCTTTGGTACCACCAAATACGAAACTGCATGCAACCACCTGATACAGCATTCAACATTCATTACAAGAGCTTCTATAGCCACAGTAACCACAAGCACCAAGTTATTCATCAACTGTCCTACTTTATTCACAAGTACAAATAAAAATGAAAATAACGAAGGGAAATACTCAACATGAGGAGACCAGAAAGGACAAAAGATCGCATTCTCAAACATAGATAATTCTATCTTCTCTCACTCCCGAGCCAAGGTTCAGAAAGAAAAACAAAATAATTTTGGCAGCACCAACTGAAACACAAAACATTGAACAGCAAGCAAGCGAATTTAAAACAAAATATCTGATAACAAGACAGCATAAACAGTAAACAAACCTGAGCTGGCGTCGAAGCTACAAGTTTTCCCCCTATCGCACCACCAAAAACCTGTCCATCAGTACTACATACAGAGATACTAAGACCACCAGTTCGGTTACGAGGACCACCACTTTCAGCAAGCAAATAAGAACCTGACAAGCATAATATCTCAAACCGGCCCTGAAATATGAAGAAGACATCACTTATTAGCGACATATGCAACTAACACATACATCAATAACAGTCTACAAATAAAGATGACTAATAATAAACATCTGCGACGAGAGGCATTTAAACACTCATGTTAGGACAGCTGAGGACAACTGAGAAATAAAAATTCCCAAAAAGGAGAACGCATCACCATAAATTTACGCATATAGCCTACAAATAAAGATAACCCATTATAAACATCTATGATGTTAGCCACTTAACACACTTCTGTAAGGACCACTGAGGTCGACAGATGAATAAAAAAATTCCAAAACGGAGAACCCATTACCACAAAAATTTATGCATGCTGGGTTTTCTGAAGAATGACCCAGAAAAGGGGAGTATATTTGCAAAAGACAAGCAAGGGAAAATAATCAGGACGATATCTTTTATCCCCACAAACTTCTCTAAAAATAACTGTGGATAATGTTAAGTAGCAGACCAAAAAAATGACTAGTAAGAAGCAGCAACTGGAGAAAGTTACTGACCACTGGGCAACCCGCACAAACTTCATATGGAAGAAAACATGGTTCTAAAAGTAAAAGTAAGACTTATCTGTTCCTATTTATAGCCACGATTTTGAAATTGTTTCACTTTCAAGATAAATAGCATGGACCAAACCTTCTAAACAAACATTCTATGTTAGTCAAATATATGTGTTTGCAATACATTTCTTAAGCAATTTTATAGGTTCTAGACACGGAAATCAAGCGGAGAAATTATGCTAGATTATTAACCTTCCAATGGGCTCAGACTTCCATTACCTTCATATAAAGTACGACACGCAAATATTGTACTAAGCAATCCCGCAAAGGGAATCCCGTGTTTATATAAACACCTACCAAATGATGTCAGGGAAGCATGCCAAGAAAATGATCAGTGAAACATTTCACTGGAACAAGCTTAAGCAGAAAAAAATTACTAACGTATTATGCAAAATACACAAGGTGAAAGCTGAAAACATCATGCATAAGCTCTAAGCAGAACAGTTCTACATTTAACAGATATCAATATTGAACTTTGAAAATAAACACACAGGTAGCTTCTAATTGATGCCCCCAAGGTCAGTAAGAAGAAAATTGAGTTTGACCTCGTATGTCATGGTGCTGGTGGTTGTTGGTTGACGTAGAGTCACAGCAGACACAATACCAGTAGCTGACAAAATGCACAAAGCTCTCGGTCTCTGTTGCGCAAATGACATTATCTTTGCAGCAATATCCTGCGGTTACGAAGCAATAAATAAAACTCTTTACACGGCAAGTGGTTCAAAAGGGAAATAATTATCACCTCAACATATTAACAACAGATTGACCACTTAAACAATGGAATTACAAAAAATGAACAAGCGGTGAGTACCATCAGCTGACCCAACCTTTTTTTTTTTTTTTTGCTGACCCAACTTTCAATTTATGAACAACATGGCTTAGCATTAAAAACCAACAGAAAGCAGCAAAGGATATATAGTTAGCAATGAAAAGACAACATCATGCAGTGTAATGCTGAAATCAGATAAAAGACTTTATAACAAATGAGAAATTGGAAGTCTGCAAAAACAATCATTTTAGCCACAGGCCACAAAAAGTAGAAACACTGGGCAAAGATGGTGGTGAAGAAATAGAAGAATATCACGTACCTCCCCAACTGCAACATGAATGACATGCGGTGTGAAAGCCAGTCCAGCAGTACTGTTCATCCAATCACCTGTGAGACACAAAAGCCAAAAGAAGAGCAAAATACACAAATTAACAAAGGTTGTAAAAATACTTTCAACTCTTATAGCAAGTTGAGCTTCCTAACCAAATTTTAAATGTCCGATCCCCCTATATCTAATAGCACCATCAACAACAAAAAAATTCATCACAATTCTCATTTTCACTAAATTCAAACTGCAGTGGTTGCAGGTTCCATAGCTAAGATATTTTAACAAAACTTCAGAGAGGAAACGCCGCTCAACCTATTCACTTTAAAAGGCCGACTTAACTATAAATGCAGCATAATTGCATATTCCATTATTATCACAATGATCACATTCCAGATTGAACTCCAATGCTAATATACAGAAAAGGAGCTGCAAGATTTGATTTTGAAGCCAAAAAAATTAAGAAACAGAGCCTACAAAATTAACTACATTTACTTGAAATTATCAAAACGAAACGAAAACACTGACCTAGTGGAGCCAGTCGCTGTTTCCACCCACTTCCAGGTGGCCTCCCGCGGTTCTTTCTTGAGCCGCCGGGCGTAAGTGATTCCGGAGATGGCTTAGAAGACATTGGAGAAAGTCCAAGCTTCATATTTGCCCCATCCGGGGCATATTTTCGAGGCCTCCCTCTTTTCTTCTTACCAGTTTCACTAGGGGAAATACTAGAGGCCATAGACATGGTGATGCCGCCATGAGGGTAGCTGGCTGAAGGGTTCTCTACATGGTATGCGGAACCCATAATGGGAACACCACCACCACCACCCCCTCCACCACCGTAATTTGATTGAACCGAAATGTTATTGGGGTTGGAAAGGGTTTTAAAACCGTGGGGAGAAGCCAATCCAACCCCAGATTGGTTCATAGAACCCCCACCACCAACATTAGAACCTGAAGCAGACCCACCAACCCCACCACCCCTGTTGAAGTAATATGCAGCTGACCCAGATAGAGCCATTCCTTCTCTTCCATCCATGCATTTATTGATTTTATTCCCTAATTATTCACCTCCTAAAGACTCTAATTCCAACGCACTTCCGAATCAAAAATCCCAGCTTTGAAGCAAACCCCAAAAAAAAAAAAAAAAAAACAATCTTTAAACACTCCTTATGCCAAATCTAAAGCTGACCCACTAAATTCATCTGAAAACGCAACCAAAATCTCACCAAACAAAACCAAAAAGACAATTCAGCACTACCCGGGAAACCTAATCAAGGGTTTAACATGGGTTTTGCAAAAATAACTGGAAAAAAGGCCCTTCTGCTAAACAAACAGTAGTCTTGAACTTAGTACTCAACAAGGCAGAGTAAACTACAGAAGAAAACCAACAAAAACTGAACTTACACAACCTAACGGCTAAAGATCACACTAATTAGAACTCCTCAAGAAGAATGCAGAAAATCCAAAGTTGCAGAGGCACCCCAAAAACCACACCTCAAAGTTGTACCAGTTGTCAAAACATTTCTGAAGCATAGAAAGGAGGAAAAGGCAGGAAGAAAAAAAGAAAAAAGAAAAAGCAAACCCTAGATTTGAAATTGGGCAGAGGAAATGAGAGAAAGGGAGAGAGAAAGAGAGGAAGGCAGCATGAGTTTTTTTTTTTAGGAAAGAGAGGGGAGGGAGGGAAGGGTAAAGACAAAAGTGAAATGAAATAACAATAGAAAATATTGAACTTTTTGAATTGAAAGTACTAAAGAGAAGAGAAAGAAGGCCACTTTTCTTTCTGTATTTAAATAGGAAAAATAAGTTTAGGCTCTGTTTGGTTGGTTTTTTTATGATTTTTTTATATTCTATTATTATTATTTGTTTTGTTCCAAAATATATTTTTATATTTTTAATATATTTTTTTATATTTGTAATACAAAAAATACTAAAAAACAATTGAAACATACGCTTAGTTACCTTATACATAAAAAATATTACATTATTATGAGAGTAATAATTAATTATATTGGGGGAAGGTTTTATAGAGTCTAGTTATCTTATACATAAAAAATATTACATTATTATGAGAGTAATAATTAATTATATTTCTGGGAAGGTTTTATAGTCTTTCATCAGGACAGGTTTTGGTGCAAGTTTTCCTCTGACTTCAGGGGGTGGAAGAAGGTGCTTGTTGGAGGACAGTTGGGAGCACCTAAGAAGTACCTACTTGTCCATATCACATGGACATAAATATTTGGGTTGCAAATGTGTATTGTATTGTTGTTACAAATTTTGTGTTGAATTCTTGATTTCAACACAAAAATCTAATAGCGTACTCAAAATCAGATTAAGGTTTTGATATGTTTACTGAATTATTTGCGTTATTATTTGAATCTGTGTTAGTAGTAGAGAAATAACTTGATTCATAGATCGGAATTTATACTTGACTATAGTAAGTCTAGTAGGAAATGGTGAGAATTCACTCTGTTTTTTATTAGAAAAATGAGATAAAATTATTTTTACATAGTTTTAGAAACAATTAATTACAGTACTTAAATTTCTAATCTTAGACTTATCTTATTAAAAAATGAGAAAAAGATGTCGATGAAAATATGTATTTCCTCTGATCCTGACATCTTGATTTGTTTTAAGTTTCATTTAGTATATTTTTTCAATTGAAAAATAACACCTTAAGACATTTTATTATGTTTGGAAGAAAATACATTTTCAATGTTTTATTTTAATTAAAAGTACATACTAAATTAAATTTTAGACAAATCACAATATTTTAGACAAAGGAGTATTTGATAACGGAAAAAAAATATTGTTTATATATTAGGCCAAGGCATCCCTATTACAGTACGAGCTTGATTCTTCCCTTGTTGTGCTACCTTTGATGAATTTAATGTAAGACCTTTTGGTGTGATTGCTTCATTTTGCTTTTGGACTTTAGATAGTTTATAGAAAAGAATCCAGAAGGGAAGGGGGGAGTGATGAATGTGAGAGAGAAAGGTGGTCACTGGTCAGTATTGAGTCAAAAGAACTTTGAAAAGGAAAGGGAAAAATTAATCAGGTTTGGTAATTCAACCCCCAAAAATTATTTAATGATTGTATGTCAGCATGGACAAATAATCTTGGTATTTTAATTTGCTGACAAAACACCTTTGATCTTCCTCAATCAATTTGCTTCTTGCATTATATTATGTCTTGTGAAGTACTATAAAAAATAATAATCGCTATTTTCGCTAAGGAAATGAAAAAGGTTATGTTAATCTTATAATTTTAGTGATTTACAATCATGATTATTTGTTGAAAAAGATAAAATAATTCTGGTTAGATTGGTGCATAAAACACATGGAATAATTCTGCCTATTTTGATTTTTGTAACTATAGCAAATGTATCAATTAAGTAATAATCTAAAGCTTTAAGTTTAAGCCTTAAGGTATCTTCGTCATAGAAAAGATTGACACCAGTTATACTATATATGCTTGCATGGATGAAAGGCATTTTGACTTTCCGTCCATTGTTTTTAATACCCATTTCTTATCAAAATATAAGTCGTTGTAAAATTTCAGTTAGGCATTAACAAACATTATCACTAAACCGAAATAAAAAATCTATGACCATTAAGTTAAAAGTTTTGGTAATCTATAAGTTGTGTTTCTCTGAAATAGATCACATTGATGTCACATTTATGAATTTAGATACAGCCTAATTATCGAAATGTCTCAAATCCAGCAGAATAATTTTGCAAAAGCCAATATGAAACGATATATATTGCATTAAGAAAACGATATATATTCCAATAAACTGGAACTATATGCTCTACAGGAAGCGTTGGCTTTAAGTGTGCAATCATGTCGGGTTTTTACTGATTGTAGTTTGCTAGCAGAAATTAGGAACAGGATTTGCAGATTTACCAATAGAAATTAAGGATATTAGTCGTGATATTATTAGTATGATGGATATGTTTAGTCCTTGTAATGTTATTAAGGTTCCTAGAGATAAGATAGAAAGAGTAGATCGGTTAGCTAAGCAGCTAACCAACCATGTACATGTTCCTGTCTGATTTCTTAATATATGGTGTGTTCTATTCAAAAAAAAAAAAAAGGGAGCAAAAGCCATACAGCTATTGCAGGGAAAGTCTAAGAGGGAATGAATATTCAAAACTCAAAAGAGGTAAAACTGTGTTGCAGATGTTCTGAACGACCAACAAAGTTTTTTTTTTACAGTGGATGATGGAATACTCTAGGGAAACTCTTAATGCTAGATGTTATTACTACATTTTAGAGAGAATCGAGGTTAGTAGGAGTATGAACATCACAGAAGCATTCCTTCTACTCCAGATGAAAAGATACTTGCACAGCCCGACACCTCCGGCGCTAGGACCAAAGGTAGAAGCAGAGTCTGCTCTCAAGCCTGCAATAAGACTAAAAGGAAGAATGAATGCATCACGCTCTGTCCTCACTAGCAAATCTTTTATGGCTCTTGTTTATGATAAACCCAGATTTGTTATACTATTAAGTGTACTTCTATGGGAACAATTCATTTATTAAGGTTACTTACATAGAGATATTCATTGGTTTAAAAGGAAGTGTTGCTTGGCAAAGTATGACCTCTATTCCGAGGATGCCTCAGACGAATCTGAACTCTGTATTCGGTTTACAAAATCCAAATATCCCTGTTAAATAACAGTTAAATATTAGATATACAGGTAGAGAAAGCAATTAAAATGGAACTCTAAAATGTGCAAGCAAGTCAACTTATAATGAAAGAAATTCAAAACCTGTAGTATTGCAACAGCAGCGAATTTGTCCATGGCTGTCTTCTTATGTACATGGTGCAAATCCAATGGGTTCAACACAAATCCCATACTCTGTCAATAAGCGGTAAACATAATACTCAATTTATGCATCGTACAAAATGGCTATAGAAAGAGGAGGATAAAAACCATAGATGAACAGAACAATAAAGCAAATCCAGTGGCAATTGTCAGGAGAAGCCAAAAACTCATTCAATCGAGAGAAAAGAACAACCACGGAGTAATATTGCAAATACTGTCTAGTGTTGGGACTAAAACCAATAGTGTAATCTGGCCACTGTTATAAAATATTGGGACTAACTTAACATCAACCAGCCAAACTAAAGATACAGAAAGTTGGAACCATCATCAGTTGCTAGGTAAGGTCATCGATTTCATTAACTGCATACTCCACAATTTATCTATATCAGTTGTGATTAGCACCCACCTTTGAGGAGAAACATTCTTCCCAGATAGTATAATTCACACCTTCAAGTTTCCCTGTAGCACAAAGATCATTGATGAAAAGGTTCACTTGCACAGCCTGCAAGGATAAAAACAGAAAAAACCAATTTGTAAAAGAGAAAGTAATGACGGCATACAGAGATATCCAGACTTCACATCAAACCTTCAAAATCTTTCATTTTAGAAAATAAATACTAATAGCGAGGGGAAAGAAAACTAACGTCTGCGCTGTTTTTCTGCTTATTGAAGGGGTAACCAACTACAAAGCCCATCAAGGAAAGTCTAGAGATCTGTGAGGAGAAATAAAAATTCAGTATTCTATTTTGGAGTATGGGAGAAAACTGTTTTCACAATGTTGGTCTATAAATGACGAAGAAAACAAGAACAGATAACGGGACGGACTCACCAAAAGCTGGAAATCACCGGCCATCAAGTCAATGTTATCTTTCTTCCGTACCAGGACACTATAGAAGGACAACAAAGAACATATTCATCAAACGGTGCATTTTAGGAACCGATGAAATGATTGTAGATTTCCATCAGTTAAATTGGTTATTTACATCAGAAGATTCAAAATTTGTAAATTTCCTCAGAATCAAAATATCTTACCTAGATGGGGATGCGACCTTGTTGTGAACATCTGAAATGGCCAATCCAACATATTTATCCCCAACATCTAAACCAAGTAAACGGTTTGTCTTGTGTTGATTGGTCTTGAGAAGTTCTTGGAACAGTTGAATTGGCTTCAAATACTTCATATCTATAATTTATTAAAAAAATTAAAAAAAAAAAAAACAAATCCCAACACACAAAATTATGACAAGTTCATGTAGAGCGAGAGAGAGTGTGTGTGAGCACCGAGCAATACAGAGCATATAAAACCAAAGCATCATATACCCAAAACCAAAGGTGAACAGAGAAGTTCTTGGGATGTATTAAAACATGCAAAACCTATGTGCATTTTGCCCTTGGTTTCAGATGGACATTCTAACAAACACATAGTGAGCATTATTTTTGAAAAACGCACGATCATCAATCCCGCGAGTTCGTTTGTTCCAAATCCATGGAGAGACATACTAAAAGAGACAAATTAACCTTTTTTTTTAGACGTGGAACACAGCAGCAGAGTTGATGGGAGCGGGAATTCTTCAGCTCTCAATCAGTTTTTGTATTTCTCACGCGCGGGCGGCGCAATTGGATCCTTCCGGAATCAATTAGGGCATAAAAGGTGAATGGTCTTATTTTACAGTTTTTATTTTATTACCATTTTTTTTTTTTGTGCGAAATTCGATTCCAGATCCTTTTCTCTTCATTTAACTTTCTTTTTTTTTCTGTCACTAAATTATTAACTAACAAAAAAAGAGTTGGAATGGGGAAAAATCAAACAAAACAGAAATAGGAAAATTTTGATTAAAGGCATATAAAACTTTTGATTTATTATGAAGGGTATGGATATTTATAAAATACTTTTACAATTATTTTGTCTATCGAAAGACCATCCTGACCTTCTTCCCTGGCTTCATCCAATTGATTCTTTTTCTTCCCAATTCTCCAACAGCCGCCCTGCACCAAATTGCTCCAAATTAAACCATTTTGCCATATTATTTAATTATTTTGCTTTCTTCTCTGGCAAACTAATCTGTTTGGAAGGTTTTTTTTATGGTTTTTTCAAAATAATTAAATAATAACTGTCACATCCCAACATATCTTTTTATATTTTTAATGTACCTTTTTATATTTCTAATATAAAAAACACCTAAAAACAAACACTGAAAAAACGATCTAACCATAGCCTAAATTTTTGCCTATTAGTACAAAAACATCAGGGACGAGAATTGCCTAGAATCTAGATTATGGACAAAAGGAGGTAGAAGAAGAGGAAGACTAATAAAAGCACTGATGAGAATCAAAAGAATGAATCAATTAGACTATTTCTAAAAATGCCTATCTACGTTATTGACAATCATCTACTCGTACATTTCAAAATTGGCACGTTTCCTTGCTCGTCTTCTGAAAGGCTTCCCATTTCTCCATGCTCATCTTTCCATATCCCTACGACGGCTTGAACCATCCATTCTTGCCACCACATCGTCTTTCCATTTGGATCTTTTTCTCAAATCAGAGCGCCTTGGAGATGGCGTTTGGGGCTCTTGGACTTTGGCACTAGTCATCTGTGCAGAAATAGAACACCGTTGTTTTGTCAAATCAAAATCACTCTGAACATGATTGACAACAGAACTAAGATGATTTCACATGTCAGAGTTTCTCACAAAAGGGGGAAAAAAAAAAGAAAAAATAAACGAGACTTGCCTCTCTTGAGTCCTTCTGGTTAATCCAAGGAGTAAAGAGAAGTAGAAATCAAAAAATATTTAAAAAAGTGAGAAGAGATTTTTTTGGTATTTTTACAAATTTTTAGGTCATGTTTATAATTTTTGAAACTATTGAGATATTTTGTAATTAAAACTAACAGAAATCTGTTAAGTTAAACGAACATTGGGCTAATTATACAAAATCGGCTAATGTTTAATAGATAAACGTAATACTAACTAATCAAAAAAGAATATGATAACATTGACGAGGCATGTAAAGATTTGGGTAGATCTTCCCTTAAGATGTAATAACTTTATGGACAAAACACTTTTTTTTTACCACCAAAGTGATGCCAAATTGCACACCTAACCACCAAAAAAAATCCGTATCTAGTTTTGACCACCATTAATATTTTATTCAACACTTTTGGTTTTTTATAAAGGCAAAATGATAAACTAACAAATCTTATATTAAGATATAAAAAAATTGAACCCATAAGTTTTGGGCAAATATTTATTTGTCACTCAAAATTTTAATACTATAACATTTTATTTTATTTAATGACTTTTTTTTAAAACCTGTTTCATCCTCTTTTCACTTTTTCTCTTTTTTTGCAATCAAGTGAAACAAAATTGTAACTCATCAAAGAAAACAATAAAATTGTTACACTTGAAATTATATCACATTGTTTGATGAATACATAATAAATTGTTATTCTAAAAAAAAAAGATCATAATGTAATTAAAATATTTAACTCTATTATAATAGAATTTCGTTGTAAAATCTAAACCCCCAAAGTATAAAAAAGAGAATGGTATCGACTATATTGACAGTGGTTACTTCTTTTGCTAAATTGACAATGATTAGTTCAAATTTGGTTGTAACTCATGAGTTATTGTCAAATATTAATAAGAGTGAACTACAAAATATGTCATTGAACTATTGAGTAATTCCATCACAAGTCATCAATCAAATTTATTTGTAAAATCGTCACCATACTAAGAAAAAAAATTCATTCGAGATCATTCTATTAATTTTAGCCGTTAAATAATAATGAAAAACTACTTTTCACATTCTTTTGGGTTTAGGAGTATTTTTGTCATTTTGTTATTTTAATTTTTTTAAAAAAATTAATTACTAAATTAATTTTTTATTATCATTTTGTCATTTTGTCTTTTTTTTTATACAATTATTCTTCTTATACTTCCTAACTTGGTATTATAATTACTAAATTTTAAAAATCAATTACCTTTTGTATTTTAACCTCTAGATTATAATTTTTTCGAAAAAAAATTAAAAATGAAAAAAGAAAATCCATAGTGAAGTAAACATGAAAATTAATAGTTAAACATTTTAAACCAAAAAGCGAAACTAAAAAATTAGCTAAGACAAGTTGTTTCTTCTAGGTTATTTGATTATTTTCAACTCGACTTAATTATTTTATTAATGTGAACATTAATAATCAAATAAGTCGAGTTGAAAATAATCAAATAACCTAGAAGAAACAACTTGTCAGCTAATTCTTTAGTTTCGTTTTTTGGTTTAAAATGATTAACTAGTAATTTTCATGTTTACTTCACTTTGAATTTTTCTTCTTCATTTTTAATTTTTAAAAAAATAAGTAATGAGATGCAATATTGAATTACTTTTAAAAAATAAGTAATGAGATGCAGTTTCTTCTTCAATTACTTTTTATAGCAATAAGTAATAAGATGCAATATTGAAAATTACACCCCTAACCTTAATAAGGTGAACCTTATTGCTGAAGTTAATTCCTTCAATTGCTGCTGCACAGTAAAGCTTCCGTTAAAGGAAGAGAGACATGTTAGCAGCTGTGTTATCTCGGGCTTGCAAAACTTCAATTATGCATACTGATTGGCATGTAACTTTATCATACAACCAGTTTATTTAGTACCAAACTCAAAGTTACAGGTTCTTCTTCGTCTTCCTCTCCACATGAGTTATAAGTGACCCTTGTCACTGCATCAGCCTCACAAGCATTCACATTACACAAGTTTTTGCAGATGATCAAATTCGAACCCGAAACAAAAACCAAAAAAAAAAAAAAAAATCAGACTAAAAGAAAATTAAAACAAAGTAATATTCTACATATATTTCGGAAAACATTTGGGACCACAGAAGAAAAGATCTAACCTGCGCACTCGAGTACTGTAACAAAATTGGACACTTTCACATAATCAATCATATCTGCTATCCCAGAATCTTTTGCCATTGATTACACCAGTGATCATCTAAGATACAGATTTTTGGCTTGTGATAACTGTTTTTTAGCAAACATTAACCTGTGATAGATAGATTTTCACTTCATCCCCATCTGTATTTGGTGTTTTGGACCAAAAAAATCTTCAAATGTTCACAAGTAACAGACAATTGGTTTCTAAAAATGAAAAACAAAAACACATTCTGAAATTTCATAACACCTAGGTAATCTAGGATCTTTAAAGCAAAATACAACAAAGTTATTAGAACCTACGTAGAGATTGAAAACCATAACATGAATATGTTCGAAGACGGGAAGATCAAACAAGTGAAACAATGGAGCAAAACCTGAATATGAGTTCATTTTAATAACATCTACAGGAGGTTGTCAATGAAAACACCAAAATCCCTATAATAAAGAGACCTTAAATATATTTAAATCTATACTATTGACAATTCACTATGAAAATACCTTTCTCAAATTTCTTGTCCCAATCCAACAGAACTATCGAGTAAGGCCTTTATTATTAGGGTATGCTCAAGAGAGGCGCCGGCTTGTTCCCTGGACAAAACAATAAAAACACAAATTCAAAACAAAAGAAATAGATTAGAGAACTGAATGTAAAAATTTAAGCTTCCAAATTAAATCGACATATAATGGCGACTCGTTATTAAACGTTGAACAATGAATAAATCCGTTCTGGTAGAGATCTCAAACACCAGAACTAAAAAACATAGAGATTAAACACCAAATCTAAACTAAAAATAGAGATTAAAAAAACTAACACAAACACCGGACACAGACAGGAAAAAAATTGAGAAAGAGTAGCTCACCGTAAAACGCTATTTCAGTCTCGAGTTCTTATGGATTCGACGAAGATGCTTTAGAAGATACTGACTTTCGTGGCCTTGGCTGCTTAGGCCCATTAGGTTTCTACACCAGCAAGAATAACCAACGTCAGTGCACTGGAAAAAAAAAAAGAAAAAAAAAAGGTGGAATCGCGCAATTGAAGGGATGCAATCATACGCTAAAAGGGCCGGAGCTGCTTCCAGTTTGATGGAGGAGGTTGCGCGTGTGAGCTTCAATATTGCCGGAATATGATGCAAAAAGGGGCGGTGCTGCTTACTGGGGATAACTTCTCTCGTTTCTAAAAACCTCCACAAAGATTGAAATTGAAACAGACCTGGCAAGCTTTAATGGATTCGACCAACATGCTATAGAAATCCAATATTCAAGATCGAAAAAAATCGATGACTGGTAAAGCCCATTTGGGGTGAAAACAAATAGTTTCAACAACTATCGAGTAAGGCTTTGATATATACTGATATCAATTGATAGGATTTAGAAAAGTGACTAAATTAAAAATTGGTGTTCGGGTTGGTTTCAAGAAAAAAAATTGTTGCTTGGGCGGCAACTTATGGGAAGAAATGAACATCTCAGACATAGTTTTCAAAATTCATCCGGATCTTAGAATCTTACGATTCTGCGATTCGAAGTTAGGAAATCGATCCTGAATCTTATGAAATCCTTCTTTATAACGGGACTTTATAGAATCTTTCAAAATCCCAATCCGGATGATAGAATATTACAATCCAACGATCCCGTTGGTTTTGTCAATATTTGTACAAGTTGTTGATTTTGTATAAAAAGAAAGGGAAATGATTAAAAAAGATATAAAAGTTAAAATTTTGAGTTAATGATATGTATGTGGGCACTAGTCTACTTCTCCTCCAAAAATCAAACAAGAATTAAACTAACAAATTAAAACTCACAATTTCGAAATTATTATAATATTTTAAATAATTACGATCCCGCTGATCCAAATTATTAAACATGTAGGTTTAGAGAGAAATGGAAGCACCAGAAGCTGACACGTCAGCTAAAAGGGGGAAATTGGGCGGGAGAACCTGCTCAAGGCCTTCTATTTTAGTAATAGAAATAATGATTATTATTATTATTATTTTTACTCAATTCTAGACCCTTTTTTCTTCATTAAGTTATTGAAATAACATATTAACTAAAGACTAATCAAAATGTCTTATAATAAAAGTCAGTCGGAACATTAACTATAAAAAAAAGAGAGACGGGAAAAAATCAAACGAAAGAGAAACGCGTAGATGCTTTTTTTTTTTCTTAATTAACTTGGCCGTTAAAGGAAAATCTGGGTACTTTCAAAAGTATTCTCTGTCTCGAGATAAAATCCTTTTGCATATTGGAGCGTATAAATTTTTGAGGAACAATGAAGGATTTACCCCCATGGCTTCGTATTATTACTATCTAGAAAACTGAGTACATTTCACTTTGACCCAGAACAGACAAAATTTCTGCCTATTACAAAACATACATCAGGGACGAGAATTGCCTAGATGGATTAAAGGAAGTAGAAGAAGAGTAAGACTAATAAAAGTACTAATGAGAATCAAAAGAATGAACCAATTAGACTATTTCTAAAAATCCCTATCTACGTTATTGACTATCATCTACTCGTACATAAAAGAATGGAGTCAGGCTTTCAAAATTGGCACGTTTCCTTGCTAGTCTTCTGAAAGGCTTCCGATTTCTCCACAGTAATCTTTCCATATCCCTAGGATGGCTTGAACCATCCACTCTTACCACCACATCTCCTTTTCTCTTCACAGATTTGGATGTTCTCGATCTTTTTCTCAAATCCGAGCGCCTTGGAGATGGCGTTTGGGGCTCCTGGACTTTGGCACTAGTCGATCTGTGCAGAAATAGAGCACTGTTTGTTTGTCAAACAAAAATCACTCTGAACATGATTGACAACAGAACTAAGATGATTATACAAAATGTTAATGTCATGTCAGAGTTCTTCACAAAGGGGGACAAAAAAGCGAGACTTGCCTCTCTTGTGCCCTTGGCATTGATAACAGATCTTGGCCGGCATGCGAGTCACAAGCTGGACAAATATAAACCTTTGGTGGAGAGGATAGCTTGATACAATCAAAGTGATACCATTCATCGCAGTTATCACAGGCAATCATTGGTCTTTGATCATAAGGTCTACGACATATGCAGTACAGCATACTTCGATCCCCCAACATCTGTGTGTAAATCGGACATAAATATGGGCAACGAACACAAAAACACGTCATGGTTACCACCTACAATGAAAAATCAAATAGGGAAGAGGCGCAAAGTCAGTCAAATGGAATAACTGCTTTTACCTTGAGTTCCTTTTCGCAAACCAAAGGCAGATTTTCACCCTCTTCTATTAGTTCAAACACTTTGTCAAGTGCCAGTGCTCCTCCATCGATTGAGACCTGTAGACAGGAAAAAGAATGAGAAATCCAATGGGGAAAAGCAATTCACACTTTATCATACAGAACAGCAAAAGTTGGTTGACCTTTTTGGCTGTATCAGCCCATTGCAAGCCAATATGTCTAGCTTCTGTCAGTTTCAGTCTGAAGTAATCATCGGGAGGAATGCATATCACCTGACACTGAAGCAGATAAAGAAATTCATTAACAAACTCTTCAAAGTGCCCCGGTGTATTTAAATGTAAATCGGAACTAGGGTGTCAACTATGGAAAAACTGAGCATAATCACAAAATGAAATCTGAATCATCTAGAATCAGCTCAGGAAGATCTTAAACGAAGATAATTATCCCATCTATCTGTGTAAATATGCCAGCACAGTTAGTACCATTCTCCACATCTGGCAACATTATAACTGCCCAATAAACTCAATTGAAAGTCAAAACAACAATAGCAGTGGTCCTAACAGCAAAATATCATGCCATGTCTTCAGCTTTGGACATTTAGAGTTTGGTCAACTAAATTTCTTTATAATTACATCAAACTAGAAGAAAGTAATCAGCATCCAATCTTATTTTGGTTACAAGCATGACTGCATAAACTTTCCATCTTTTACTTGAAAGTAGCCAGTAAGTAGAAATCAACATACTACACCTCGTCAAACAATCAAAAAGTTAGATACCTCCTTCACATGTCTCTGAACTTGTTGCATAGTGGGCTTTTGTGAACTCTGCAACAGCTTCTGAGCTCTAACTTTCCACGAATTTCTGGCTAAAACAAGCTCAAATTTGCTGTCCCCGAGAGCATCATGTACTTCTGCCGTATTCGTTGCCTACGAAAGAGAGGAATGATTTGATCAGGTTACGAATAACACAATGCGGAAAAAAGACAACATGATGCCGGGCATACTCCAACAGATGCCAAGGGAAACAAGTTGGTAATAAGCAGAAAACAAGATAGGGCGAACCTTCAATGCGGTGACAACTTTTCCAGCAACTGCCCAGAGATCACTGCCCTGATAAGACAGAGCAAGATCAACTATTTCCATAAAGCAAGCACTGCATTTGACAGCTTTCTCCACAATCTGGTGGAGTATGCTCCTTTCTTCAATCCTGGACACACCATCATTATCAAATTAATGCATAACATAGAACAATAAGACTGCGCATAACTTGGACAACTTGAATATGTATGGCGAGACATTATATAGATTAGAGAAGATGCCCACAAACCCTCAAGTATCCAGAAGAAATAGGGGATATGAGTTAAAACTCAAAAAAGGAAAAACTAATGTCATCAGAGAAGCCAAAACAGAAAGAAACAAGAACTTCAGAATAATAGTCATCCAGGAAAAATGAATGGCACAGACTTCTCTTAAAACAAAAGTAGGAAGTCATTACCATAAGCAAAGACGCTCAGCATCCGATAATAGCACCTTGAGCTTATTGAGATCAGGGATTTTCGGCCTGGTTTTCTGCGTGATGAGTATAGTTCAGACAAGGTTCAAGGCTGCATGAAGCTGCATTCTTGGAAAAATGCAAGACGCTTTTTGAAAATAGAGAAATGTAAAACTGAATTTACCGTGACACCACATTTGTATCCAGAGATCTTTCCGCTCCTTATGAAGTTACAATAGTGACAAACAGTCGTGGTACCACAATTAGCATCTTCAATTGCTGCTCCAATGCACTGCAAATGAAAACTGTACACCCAACAATATACAAAGAATTCAGACACAGTTTCAAGACTTAAAAACAATTTTAAATGTTTTACTTCATTAGTATCAGCATCCATTGCAACCCCCACCCCCACCCCCCACCCCCCACCCCCCGGCACGGATCTCCAAACAAGAGTATTAACATCATAATCAATCATACCCATGAAGAGTATTAAGAGAAATATTCCCAAAGGATCCTACTTAAATCCAGAGCTGAAAAAGAGGAAAAAAAATGTTACTCCGCGACCAAGGAGTTTACCAGTCTTTGCAGATATTGCAAATTGCAAGCTTCTGATCATCAATTCCCATGGAACAGGAAACACATAATGATGGCTCTGTTCTGCAGCTTTTTGACTTGTCATAAATGGCCAAGGATCTGTCCAAACTGTCCTTTATCTGCAAAAGGTTTTCACAGATTAATAGAGGACCATATAAGAGCTATCTACCATCTAACTCATTTTTAAAGGGATTGTAAAACCTCTAAAAGAGCAGTATTTAGCAGTATTCCATCTCCAGCAGAAATTCCAACAGTGTCATTGAGATTCTGCTTCCATCGCTCCACCTTTTGTACTTCAGACAAAACCATGTCTCGTTCTGAGCAATTGAAGGCAGTGTTGACACCAATTTCCTGAACAAAAATTGCTCAGTTGAACAGCAGAATCAGCGAGGAACAATGCCACATACACACAATAAGGCAAACACTAATGCAACATTAAAAAACAAAGGAACTGCAACGTTAAATTCCACTTCCAGAGGTCTAGTTCATCCCCACTAGAGAGAGAGAGAGAGAGAGAGAGAGAGAGAGTACTAAAACACCCATACTAAAGTAAGACAGTCTTCTAGTAATGAACCGTATATTTATGACAGTCGAATTAAGGCTAATCATATCCAACTGAAGACCTTGAATACTTGGAATTTGAATCATTACTAAATGCTACTTAGTTAACGATGAGTTTACCTCCCAGCTTAATAGCTGGAAAAGAGAAGTGTGTTTTATGTTTTTCTTGCCCTCTATGTCATCATTTTTATTAGTGATATCGATCTTCTGCCCTATGTATTCTTTTCTCATTTTTGGAAGGTAGGAAGTTCAATAACCAAGTGCTGTTTGTTACCTTCAAATGAAGCAATTTAGCCCATGATCGCTCATCGTGATTAAGCTTGAAAAACAGAGCCACTTGCTCCAGCCACAAGCTACAAAATAGACAACAATGACTCATAGCAACCCAAAATAAAATCTGAACAAGAATACAGTATGTACACACACAGTGTATATATCATGATCTTAGATTATGCATGTTAACAAGCTTGGTTTCTATAGCATTTCTACCTCAAACAACAGCATCACTATAGAGGCAGTAGTTAGGTAGAAATGAAAAGTTTTTATCTCTTGGTTCTTCTAAACTAAATCAATGAAGATAGTCAAAGACATCGAACAAAATTTACGCCAATACTGTTGTTTTTTAATGTAATCTAGCATCAGTTTCCTATACAAAACCAAAACCATTCAGATATGAGGATGAGGAAACTCACTTGTGTTTCTCGATAGCTATCTGAACTTGACCAGCCATGAGAGGGAATGAAATACAAAGCTTCTGAAAGTAGAGATATCACATCAACTTTATGTAACAATACAAATTCAAAGAAAGGAGAGCATAAGCCAAACAAGAATTGCAACAGCATTTTCTTAAAATCATCAAGATGTTTTTGCTTACATGCATTCAAATGGAAAAGTCGATAGTACGCTGATATGCATGGTTCTTAAAAGTAACAGGACAGGATCAGGACATAGCTTACAGAATACCCAAATAATCCAACAAATTATGTACCTGAGACATTTCAAGAATTTTATCAGCATCAATCAACTTGATCTGACGATCGCTGCACGGGGGGAGAACCTTTAGGGCTTCATTTAGCCATTTCATTCCTTCAAGTAGAGTGGTCGGTAATATACAGGATGCGTAGGTACCAGGCAGTTGGCTGGAAAGTTTCAAACTTGCCTCAACTTCCTACGACAATGTAAAACAAAAATCTAAATGCATTGACTAGACATGAAGACTAGGATAAGATATAAATGCATATACAAAACATTAAACGTTTTTCCTTTAGTCGGGTAGACATATTTCTGTGAAGACTGAAGAGCAAGTTTTCTTCTAAGAAAGAAAAGAAAAACAGGGCTGGCTTAGATGTTCGCATAGGATTATTATGTTTCCATGGAGAGATCCAGTACTGATCACCTCTTAAATAAATCCGAAATTTCTAGGATGTAACTACAATTAGGGCGACGAACAGTTGCAACTTTGCTACTCCATCAATAGATAATGTTAACAAAAGAATGATATGTTAATGCTAATTGCATACTACCAACCTGGAAAGTGGGAATCAAATCACAGAAAGCAAGGGCTTTAAAGCACCATCTGAGAGTAGAACATGCATCTTGCAGCTTTGAGATCAGAGCAAACTCAAGGCGGAACGAGAGACCAGCTTCTACAATGGATTCTAATGATGAGAGTTGATGCTTGATTTTCAAAACTAAACATTCAGTGGAAAGTCCAACATTATCATCCAACAGACTAACTGTATCATCAAGGAAAGAATTGGCATTTGCCTCCCACTTAGTATAGTTTTCTAGTACTCTTTGAAGCATTCCACGCTCTCTCAAGCATATCTTCAGCAACTTCGATTCTGAAACCAACTCCTGCAAAATTCTCAAGGGCTTCATATAAATGACTTCAGAATCTATGCGAAAGAAAGCATTTCGCACAAGGACAAACCTTTAAGGTGTCAAGCTTTAGCAAAGAAGTTGAGACAGGTGACACAGAAAAGTCAGGAAAGAGAAATGGTCTGGTCTTGCTCAACCAGGTGTTGGCCATTGAAAAAGCATTTGTCACGTCATTAAGAGAAGGTAGACAGACAATTATCTCCTCAGAAGTCCTACATCATCAAAGTAACTCATGAACCTCCAAATAGAATCATAAAGCATCTCAACAAAACAATGTAGGGAAAGAAAGAATACCTCAAAATATCCTCAAATTCAGACATCTTCGCCTCATTACTAAGAACTTCCTGTGCTCTTTCTTCCCAAACCATAGCAACGGCAAGTGCTTCAGAAATATCAACAAACAGCTTCTCCTTTTCAATCTGCAGCCTGAAAGATGTTGTTCAAGAATTATAAGTATAACTGCAGAAGAATAGAACAATCTTTTAATGGACAGGGGAAAAAGAACATACACATTGGCCTCCGCTATTAATTGCTCAAGGAAATCCAAAGTCATTTTGGATTCAAGTGCCTGCACAGAGACAAAAAAGAACTGCCCAGTAAGTTCTCAGAAAAAAAAGGAAGAAATAGGAAAAATGGAAAAACAGCGAGTAAAATGCAAACAGTTCAAATGGAAACAGCGCCCATGTGAACAGAAATTCTGAAACTAAAGTTTTGTTACTTTCCAAAACCTTACCCAGGCAAAGGGGAAAAAAAAAAAAAAAAAAGACGAAGAAGAAAAGGTGACAAGTTTGTAACTCTTAAAAGGATGTTTGCCCAGAATTATGAACAGAAAAACTATTAACAGCTCAAGGAATTGAAAAGAAAGGAATACCTTAAGACCTTTTACCCTGCAACAAGCCTTTTTTAACTCAATGCCAATATGAGGCAACTCTTCCACTGCATACCACAAAATGAACCAAACAATAAGCTCATACAAAATTAGAAGTAAATAAAGTACATAACATTGTCAGCGTCATATTTTCAGACATTCAAAACTTTGATTCTAAAATTGCAGGACCAATACCTTCAACTTTTAGTGACAGCCCATCACTCTGAATGGAAGTTAACTCATTAACAACATTTTCCTGATCCTCGCGGCAATTGATGTTTGCTAATATGTGATTCACACGTGATTTCCATGATATAGCATCATGATAATGTTCTCTTAAAAGCTTTAGCTCCGGTACGTCAACAGTAAAACGATTGTATTCACGAATATGCAGTTGAAGTTTCTGCCATTAAACAAAATAAATAAATAAATAAATAAACAATTGCTTGATATATTATCTTCCTTTCCTTTACACTGGATAAGGGAAATGTTTCTACAGAAGATCCAACCTGTAGACAAATAGAATCTTTCAACAGCTCACAGCACCGAGAACGGCAAGATTCGACTTGGCTTATCAAGTCCAACAGGAGTTCACCTTCAGGGAGTTGAACTTCAAGTTCCAATAACTGAAAGCCAAAAGAAGAAACATAACCTAAAATAATCAAACAAGCTGGGAGGATGACAGATTCGAGATTGGCCAAAACTACCTCAGCCTGCAACCTGTAGAGGACATCTGCTTCAACACTAACATCAGACTTCTTATTTGTGCATTTTCTGACATTTTCAACCCAAACCTGAAGAAACGAATTGAAACAACAATGAACATGAGAGCTCAACAAACATGAAAAGAAAATGACAAAGGGAGAGGAACAAGTAATAATTGAACATCATTTCTCAAGTAGCTTCCAGAACGAATTCTAGATACATCGATATACAGAAATCAGAAAGAATCCTGATGTTGGGATATAAGTAGCATACACCTTAAGAGATGAGTGATGTCTTACAAAATTGGGCATTCGTAAATCAATACAATACCTTTACTTTAGTCAACTTCTGGAATAATTTCTCACTCTCTTTGACATAGATAGGTGAAGAACGAGACTTGGCATACAGGCTTTCCCAATCAGCTATCTGAGGGGAAAAATTCAAATTGTGGGTGAGATAAAGCCAGGGATGAAGTCATTCACTTAATCACATACAAAAAAGTTAATGAAAAGAAGATCCACTTCAAACAAATTCAAAAACTACAACAATCTCAAAAAGAATTTAACAGGATCAAGTCAGAGTTCTTACCGAAACCGTGGAAGTAACCAGAAGAGCTTCCTCAATTTCCGAAATCAGTAGTTTACCCTTTTTTTGGTACTCCTGAAACCAACAATGAGCAGAGATAAATGATGAAAGAACTAACTGAGAACATATAAGAAAACAAGCAGAAAGTTAGTCCAACCTTGAGCTTTAGATGGCAAGGCTCGTTGCAAGGTACAGGGTCTTGAGACAGCAGCTCATCAACATGATCCATATGCACACGCCCCGTTTCATCCTGTGGATCCCGTGACCATGATTCTAGTTTAGAAACACTACTTCTAACAGCTTCCGCCCAGTTCTGAGATTGAATTAACTTCTTTACTGCATTCCGTACCTACATATGTAGGTTTCTCTCGTCAACAACAGAATCCCACTTTCTATAAAGTATGACATGAGCCCGCCCAACCACCTATGCCCAACTAAAAAATGTGACAAGAGAAAGCGAAACTAAAGCTCACAGGGTCCATTTCAGAACCAGCCCAAAGAAATTGCTGAGCTTCTTTTAAGGCACTTGCAAAAGAATCACGAGAATATGGCTTCTCAAAAATCTTGTTAAAATTCAACACCCAGTCTTCAGCAAGCTTTGCATGTGTTTTGACGCCACCTTTAACCTATAAAGAAACAGTCATGGAAAGTGTCAGTTATAAAACAACATTGAAATAACATTGAAACAAACAACCCAATGTTGAAGAGGCATCCATAAAGTTTAGCTACATTCATAACTAGGTTCAACTGTGATTGGCCAACATTAAACATCCTAAAACTCAACGTCTCAATTCGATACAAGAAGGCCCACAGAAACAGCAGTCCTAAGTTCCTTAGCTAATTAGCAAATTTGACAATTCATTTGAGGTTTTTGAATGCCAAAAGGAGCTAATATCATGAATTGTCCAGAACATCAAATGTATAAATAAGCTGCAAACACAGACAAAAACCCTCTCAAAGACTCGTTACAAAATCTTGGAAAAACAACTGTGCAGTTCCAAAATAATTAACAAGATAGCAATTCCTTAAAACATAATAGCAATTAGAGATAATACAGATGCATCTATCAATTAGAGCTGCAATGACTGAAATTAAATTTACTGCAAACCTTCTTCGACAAAGGAACAGAATCCTTAAAACAAGAGCGTTGGCCCTGTAACTCATTTACTTGGTCCCCTGGACGAATTTTGCCAGTCCTCAGCACTAAATCTTCCAACTCTGCTAGAGTATGGCGATAAAGGAGCCGGTGCTTGTAAGGCTTACATTCGCAAAGGTGTTCCGAGTGCTGCATTATATAGAGAAATACTGAGCGAGAACTAGGCAAAAAACAAAGAGAAATTCAGCAATTCCATACCAAACAGGGCCGCGAAGAACGCAATGCACAAAATCTTAAGAGTTTCACATTTTGAAACCAATAACTGGAAAGATCAATATATAGAGATACAAAGCATTTTTTTAAAAGAAAAAAGAGATATAAAGCATTATAGAGAACAAGGAAAATGATTACAACACTTCTCTGGCGGTGGCCAATTAAAGAACTCTTTCAGTTGTAACTAACAATACTTGGATATTACAATAACAAACAGCATTCGAAAAGTTGTAACACTCGTAACGAACAAGAAGTAGAAGGTTCTTTTAAGAAGGTCAAATCAAAATTAAGCCTCTTGACCAGCAAGATAGAAACCATAAATTGGGGGGGCGGCGGGGAGAGGAAAGAATGATAAACCAAATACAGTTCTTTGTAAGTCTATCACATGATTACTCACCTCCAAACAAACATGAGACGATGGTCTACAGCGGCAAACAACTGCAGCCAGATAAAGCAGTTGCTGGCATATGATGCATGTAGGATCCTTCACATCCATTATCATAATCATCAGTAATAAAAACCAAAAATTAGCAAAGTTAAAGCGTCATCCACAGGTCAACACAGCCAGAAATAAACAACAGAAATACCTCTTCACTACCAACATGTTCAGGAGACTTCCGGGCCTGCATGGGAGAAGAAAAAACTGTTCCATTTTTCCAAAGCCGTTCCCTCCAAGTCTTCTCCTTCTCATATATCCTGAGTAATTCCATTCTCAAGTACATCGATGCTTTCTCATGAAAGTCGCTCTACAGCAAAAAAGTACAAATCAGTTAACAAACGCAAACAAGTTCCAAAAATAAAGCTTGTCAATAGTTAAGCACTGGAGCAATAGATGTCATATAAATAAACTACGAGGATGGTGTAGTTACAGAAGCTACCAACGGAAACATCTTGAGCAAATCACAAGAGCCATAAAAATGTTTGGTAACAGGAAATATTGGCCAAAATTATTGGGTTGGAGGTTTTAACTTTTAGATTGCTTGATAACGCCAATTCAACCCACTTTAAGTAACCACAACATATAAGATAGTTACATCAAAGATAATCAGGCAACGTCAATTTCAAGACAATAAAAGTTGGAGAAAAGAAAGCTACGTGGACTTATAGAAATAAAACTTTGAGAGAAGCACTTAAAAACTTATTTATTCATGTCCCCAGTGTCAATCTGGCTTACATAAAAAGGCCTTGAAAATAAGATAATCATCAAAAAGAAGTACTCAAACATAACAAATCAAAAGCAAGAAAGCCAAGTGCTCATCAACTAATCAATTTCCTCATCAACATAGAAAGTCTTCTCAGAAGCTCAAAGCTTTAGACCACTATATCAAGATGGGTATTTGTACTACAAAAAGTTCTAAAGGAAGCCAGACACATTAACAGGCATAACAATGTTGAAACACCATAAAAGTATATTACACGTTCATATTAAAGCTGATAAAAGCCACGTAAGGAAAATCAGTTGAAAGCTAAAACTCAAATTTAAGAAAAAGGATACCAGCATAGCAACAAAGATGGCTCGCAGACAAAAAAACACATGGGCGAAAAAAGGATACAAAGAGAGAATGGTAGAAGAGAGGGGTGGTGTTGGGGTGGGTGGGAAAGGGGGAGAATAAACCTTTGCTACAACACAGAGAAGTTCCTCATGGGACAAAACAGCAGGTTTATGGTAAAGTTGGTAGAGCTCAGCCCCAAAACCACCATGAGGCAGCCAATCAGCAGGAGCAAAATTAACGGCTTCGGCACAATTTAATCCTGCATATTCAAGAAACTGGTCCTAAATACTGAAAACCACGGCATACTTTAAGCCTTCAATGAAGAAAATAATAAAACAAACTTCAATTTTACCCAGGTTGAAGCCTCCATGGTAAGACCTTGGGAAGGTAACAATGAAATTACCAGGCTCCTGCAAAAAGCAAAGAGTTTCAGCTCAAAAGGCAAGTTCCATTATACTGGAGAATATTATGTTTCAGTTCCACTTTAAGAACATTACAAAAAAAGCACTAAAGAAGAAGATAGATTACCAGCAGTTAAATAAATGCTTCTTCTATTCATTTAAGAATACAATGAGTTACTAGCTAATGACAAAGAACAATCAATGCAAAATCACTCCCCAGATATAATCTTATGTGAAAGCATCCCAAAACAAACGTCTTTCAGAAAATATGGAATAGGACACAAAACACACTGCAGAAAAGGACTTACCGAAGAAATAACTAAAACTCTAGAAACAACTACTTTTTCTCAACGAAAACAGTAGAAGATAGAAGGATAAAGGGTTCTAGATTTTTAGTATCACAAAAATCTATCACTTGATACTATTAACATATATGAGGAACAACATGCCAATAAAGAAGATCTAGTGAAAGACTGTGTAGCATAAAACACAATGTAGCATAATGCAAATGGGGTCAGTCCAGAATGCTGTCCTATATTCCTACCTAAAATGTAATACCTGCAGAAGACTGTAAACAGGAACACCACTATCTTGCAAGACACTAGGATTCAGCATGGTAACAAGCTGGAAAAGGAGATCTGGTTGCGCATCAAAGAGATCAGGAAGACTGTTTCGCATAACCTGCAAAAGCCAAACATGAGAACTTTCAATATTTATCAACCCCCAGATGCAAGTAATCACAAAAACTTAATGTAAGAGACCAGGTGCAATAATTTCAAAGCTCAAGATAAGTAGTTTCACACTTCAATGCAAAAGTTAAAGATAATGTTCTAGCTGATTAGGTGGAATGGTTAAGTGAGGTAAATAAAAGTAGCCGGTTATGAATTCATAAAATTAGGGACCAGTGTGAGGACAAATAACAATATGAGCCACTTCAGCGAATGAAGGTTTACAGAAACCTAAACCGGCATAAACAAAGACTCTGTTAGGACTAAATGTTCACACACAAACAGCATCCATCCTAAACAGATGTCTTCTGCTTTTTCAGACAGACAAGTTTCTTTACATGATCTCCAACCAAATCCTATAAGCAAAGATACAAAGCAAGCTAAGTTTTATTACCTTTTCAAAAGCATCAGCTTCGCTTCCCGGAACACTATACCAACATTTGGGCTCTCCCCTGAAAAACAAGTAGTGATGAGTTTCTAATTTGAAAACTGACGTAGTTTACCAAACACAAAATCTCCAACATCTTAAAAAGCGGAATTGGAGATGGAAAAGAGGGCCATATAAATGCCTTATCTAATAGGCTATCTTTGCATAGAATATATCAATTGTAGGTATCACTAATCGTTGAAACTAATAATTAGAATTCAGCAAAAAAGAAAAATGATACAGGGCCAGCAACTTGCAAGCAAAGCAGGGTAGTGCAACCTAGAAATGAATAGAACAGTGTGCTTACATAAAACCGAAAATGACATAAAACCACACACGGGTTAGACAGTTGAAGCACACTTAAAACAAATAATAGATGGCGCCTACCAGTGATGATAATTCATTGAGTAGAAGCAGTGGTCTTCAAAATGCCAGCAGAATGATGAGAATAGCATCCCAATATACAGCCAGGGCACCATCACACCAGCAATCCCATGATGTACTGCTCTAAGCATTGAACCTGGTAGTTTGGGTAGGTTATTTAAATTCCATGGGCTCGCACAGTACTCATCCCACACATCAACCTCAACAGATGATGGCCTTTGGTCTTTCACACGGGGGAATCCACTCCCATAAACCGAAGTATCCAAGTCACTGCCATACATAACTTCAACCTCACCAACTGATCCCTCTACAATTTCCCAGAATTTCTTCTCCAATTGCACCCGTGAGGTAACAGTTGATCCAAACCATTTCTTCTTGGCCCTCTCAGCCACACGCCTAAAAGCTTCCAAAGAAAACTCTTTACCAGGGACAAAACCAAAGCTATCCTTTTCAGAATTCACGCAATCTAAGCAGTACCAATTACCCACTGGAACTTGCTTTAAAGGTGGCGATAAGCAATGCATATGCCAACCCTTGTTACATCTATCGCACAAAAGCATCACTTCTCCATGCAACCCACTGCTGCACTGTTCACAGATTTGATCGTGTACTTCTTCCTTTAGTTTGCCAACTTCAACCTTGTCACCCTCCTTATTCTTTCGCCTTCGCTTGCTACTCGAGAATTCAACTCCTCCACCACAATTTTTCCTCCGTTGAATTCCTCTCTTACATGCCTTATATTTTCCTTTACTAATCTTATTATAATACTCTTCATAGTCACATAAATGCTCTATGTACAACTGACTTAATACATGCTTTGCGCACTCTGACATTTTCTGACTCGGGCGCACAAACCGGAAAACATCCCCCCACTTCTTATTCTTCACAACGTTATCATACCCTCCATATCTTTTCACAGCATTAAACAATTTACACAAATCCAAATCCTGCCCTTCAAAAACAACCCTTTTCGGCGCCTTCTTGCCACAATGGTCCTCCAAAAACCTAATGTACTCCAACCTGAAAGTCTTTGGATCGCAAGGAGGGCACCTTGCCTGTAATTGATGAATTGCTTGCGTTTTGGTCGGAAAAGTGAATGAGTCTACATCCAGAGCAAAAGGAGGCTTCCAACTCTGTGGGGGAACAATCTTACAAATCCCATATTTCTCAGCCTCTGGCCTGATCTTATCAATAAACTCTAAAGGGTCCTTAAATTCATCCTCAGTTGGATAATAAACTGGCCCTGACGGTATATTCAATGAACCGTCGGATAATACACCAGTACTTGGCCCTAAAACACCCTTTTCCACAGCCCTTGGCCTCCCTTTCCCCATTAATGTCACAATCTCATCTCCAAATATGAATCCAAAACTACAAAAAACACATGCAAATTCTACATAAATCCCCTGAACAATTGTCAGATAACCACATTATACGAAAAGGGTACATCATACATAACTCCACATAGAAAAAGGAAAAAAGTAATCTTGGTAAACAACATATTAAAAGGGATAATAATTTACCTTCTTCCGGAGGAAAAAACAAGGATTACGAGCTATGGAAATTCAGTTTTCCGATGATGATGATGAGGGATTTCTCTCTCCAAATTTATGTTTGTGATTTTGGTTTCTGTACTTTTTTTCTCTAAAAGTGAGAAAGGGAGTGTTTTTCTCTCCTCGTTTAAGACTTTGGTTGAGAGCAAGTTCGTGTTTTTTTAGGTTTTTGCCTTTCGTGCGCAAAAACCGAATTAAAATCCTCGGATTAATTACGTCATTAAGTTGGGGAAATTTACAGAAATGTTCCAAAGGTGGATCTTTTTTATTGGATTTATCCTGTTTTCTTTCTTTCCACACCAAAGCGCGTGGTGATATGATGAGTGTGATTGCCGCTTTTGAATACACAGTAACGGATATGATTAGTACGTGAGATAAACTTGAACAAATAGAGCGTGCTATTAATATGGGTGAAGAAACTGTCTCGGATTCATCACGACCCGATCGGGAGGTCACGGGAACGTGTCAAAAATGAAAGTCAGTTAAATTGACGAACAGGATTCAACCGTTTGAGTCAAGCTGAGCTTCCTACTTCAATCTGTGGGCGTTGATTTTCATTTTTCGAAATTATAATAGAAAAATCTGTGGGTGTGTTTTCTTCTCTCTTTTCTCCAGGTCCTTTATTTTTCTTGGAGGAAAAGTTCGAATTTTACCTCCATGTTTAGGAAAATTGTAATTACTCTTTCGGTTTTGTTTGTCCGTCATCTCATTTTACATTTTCAACTCATTTTACCTCTTAAACACAAAACTCAATACAAAACAAATCATCGTCCAAGCAACTTTTCAACTTACATTTTGAAATTTAACTTAAACTACATTTTAGCATAATATTTAGTATAGTGACCATTTATGAAATTGAAATAGTTCAGTGACCAAATTGAAAACTTTTACAATAGTTTAGAGCACCGATAGTCATTAAACTATTGTAAAGTCTTCTATTTGATCGCTGAACTATTTCAATTTCATAAATGGTCACTATTCTAAAACACCATCCAAACAACTTTTATATTTTCCATTATATTTTCCACTTAAACCACTTTCTAGATTTAAGTCAAAAATGAAAACAAAACTGATATCCAAACAAGCACTCATCAGGTGCAAATAAAGAAGCAATAACTTTATAGAATTAAATTAAATTATAATATGGATATACAACACTGAGAATATCGTGTTCCAACTACGATTTAACGTCACCGATCATCAAATCTTTATAAACCACCAAGAAGAGTAATTCTTAACGAAGCCAAATAATCAGTAACAAAGTTGGCTTCTCTTTCAGTTTTTTAAATATTGTATTAATTAAGTTCACTAATTATAAGAAACTTTTTGTACCACAAAAAAATAAAATAGAATAAAAAAGTTATTATGATTTACTAGCATCAACACAAGTTTGCAATGTCTAAATGGTATTATGTGAATCTCAAATAAATTAACTAACAAGATATATGACTTTTTTGTGCATATTCGAAATAGTAAAGTTGACAAATAAGATACATTGCTTTCTTTGTCCAATTTTACTTTGTCTAAGATTATTGCTTTACGGCTATATATTGAAGTTGAAATTCTCAGTAAGGGTGTCTGGTTCAAAAATTACTACTCCTTCCGTCCTATAATTATTGTCCACTTTGCCAAAAAAAATTTGTCACAAAATTATTGTCTAATTTGTTTTTTTATGGATTAAGTTACAAATTTGCCCTTTAACAAAATTTTGACCTTTGGCCATTCACGGCAATGACATCTCCGCTGGCCACCACTTCTCGTGAAATCCATCCCCACCGGCCACCACTTCCCGTGAAATCCTCGCCGTCTACCACCTCCTCCTCCTTACTTCCTTGATCTAGTGAAAAAGATTTCTCAAAGAATTTTCTTTTCTCAGAAGTAGATGATGATAGAGAAGATGATTTCTTCTCCATGTCCGATGATTCTTTTTCAAGGGAAATATCAGGCTTTTGTAACAGAAGATGACGATGATGATTTATTCGCTTCAATTGGTGACGATATTGATGAAGTTGATTCATTCAATTTTCATATCTCTGTTATTTGCCGATCGTCGTCGGTGCAGATCTCATTCTCTCTTCCAGAAGCCGCCATAACCCCCTGCTTTTCTTTCTAATTTGCAGCCCTAATTTGCGATGGTTTTGTCGTTTCAGAGCTTTTCCTAGCACCGGGATTTCACAATCCCGACGAAGAAAAAGAATAAAGGATTGAATAGTTCTATATTTTTTCAATTTTTGTTCTTGAGTTTTAAATCTTTAATTGAATGAATAAATTGGATTTGGGAGAAAACCGGTCAAAAACTACTCCCGTCATCGTCTTCTATGGCAGGAGATGGGCAGTACATAATTTGGTTATTTAATATGCAGGGTATACTTGGTTATTTAAGTCAAAATATTGTTAAGTTTGACCAAAAATAAAATTCTTCATTTTAACCAAACTGCACAATAATTATGGGACGGAGGGAGTATGAGTTTGAAAATGGTAGAAAATGAGATTCATATCTTACTGGTGTGTAGAGGGTTTCAAAACCTTAATTTATGATGCTTGGTTCGTATTCAAAATTAAATAGGAATTGACATAAAATTATATATTCATCCTTAACCAATGAAAAACTCTACCACCAATCTACCATGTTTCAGGCTTCCAACCGCCGTTCATTTGTTTCCATCAAACCAAAACAAAATTATAGGAAACCAAATTCAATTCAAACACTTTTTTCTGGATTTTCTTGTTATTTATCAATCCTATGGTGAGTTGTTAATTTGCATCAACAATTTCGCAAATCTACCATGTTCCGGGCTTCCAGCCGCCCGTTCACTTGTTTCCACCAAACCAAAACAAAATTACAAGAAACCAAATTCAAATCAAACACCTTTTTGTTGGGACTTTCTTGTTATTCATCAATCTGGTGGTGAGTTGTTAATTTGTATCAATAATTTCGCAAATTATGAACTTATGCAGTGGTGCAAATTGATACATCTAGATATGCAAGAAAATACACTAATGGGAATAAAAAGTTCAAGCGTGACAGCTGGAGCAATTCCGTATTGCTCTTGTGGATCAATTGGAAAAAAAGGGGGGGACGGGGGGAATGATTGTAAGATGTGATGATGATATTGATGGTGGTGGAGGAAGAAAGTCGAGAAGAGAGAAAATGAGAAGAGAAACCGGAAAAAAAAAAAGATAAAAGAAAAAAATAGAGCAAGTCTAAATAATAGGGAGTCATATCACTCAATCTGAAAGAATCTTATTATTAGGTTTGAATTCTTTTCTGGTGGGCCCTTTTATTCAACCAAGCAGCGAAGTTGGGAATCAGACCCGTAACCTTTGTAATCACACCCTCTTACCAGGCACCCCCTAAATGAAGGAGTTTGGAGTTCAGGTGCATAAGATGTTTTTCCTATCATAAAGCTCATTCACTGTGGAAATCTACAATCCAATTTTCTGTTATTGCTTAGATTATGAAAAATTATTGTTTCTATCCAAAAGTTTGAGGTGGCTATCAATGTTACTCTAAAGTAGTAACGTTAGTCAATTTTACGCGGATTGATTGAATATTTAGTAACTTTATCCAATTAACAAAAAGTTCATCAAATTCAACAGATTTTTGTTGATTTTTAATTAAATAATAAATTTAATCACAAAAACTTCCTTATAATTTTTAAAAAAGAAAAAATACCCTCAAATATATAAAATAATAAAACATTCTCTTTTTATTTTTTATTTTTATATTTTTTTGCCAGTTTATTCCCATTGTCTTTTTTTTCCAGAGAGATATATTTATGAAGCATATATATATTATTCACTTGGGCAAAACTCATGTACACAAAGTATGATTTCAGCATATAATAGCATTTTTTTAAAAAAAAAATTCACCTCAGTGGACTCTACTTAAATGTGGGTAAAACCCCCCCTTACAATAACATATATCAATTATCATGAATTAACTTGCATGCATTATGCAACATTTTCCACATGATAAGATTAGCAAAACTAGAACCTAAATCCTTTATCAATCTGAGAGAGTCATAATAATTTCATAGGAAAATCAAAATTTTCCTCTTTACTTGATTTAGGTCTAATCAACAAAATGATATAATTTTTCTACACCTCTCGTAATCGTTAAGTATTAGGTAGAACATGTGTATACATCTTTTCTTATTTTTTCCGTGTTACAAAAAGAAAACACATCAATTGTTTTTTCCAATTGAAGAAAAATTATTTCTGAATTTCGTCAACTTATACGTCGACAGACATGACAGTCACGAAAGCTAATTTCCCTTCCAGCTTCACTTTGTCAATATGTGCGTCCACCAGAAGTGAGTCGACAGAGAAGTCGACCACCTTCTACAGAACATTCTGTTTGTCATCATCGACCTATTCATTGGCCTGAGTGATGTGGATAAATATATCAACGAAATTATAATATATTCCATTTTCCATCTTTCCACGTTGATTTAGTTTTTGTCGGCTCTCCAAAATTATAAATCATCCCCAGAATTTCAATTAGTCCAAGAACGATTTTGTTGGCTCACAAAGAAAATATTTAATCTATTTTAAGATTGTTGGTAAAATTGTATAGGGCATTTGTGAAGTGCAACCAAATATAAGATATAGAAAAAGGAAAAAAAATTGAGGCTCGCGAAAATCACACTATTTTTAAAATAATTTACTCCCCTCACAAATGTCTCCGAAGTTTTATGGATTATTGTCTCCTAGGATATAACGGATACTGTATACTTTGCATGAAACAACTTCACGTTTGAACTGTAACTAGAAAATATGATAAAGACTAAGAAAAAATTGAGAAAGAAACTTGAATTAAGATTGGATTTTTCTGAAGTGTTATTCCCATTTTCTGTTTATTCAAAACCCATAGAAGTAAACTCATATAATATTCAATGATATATTTATTTAGTTTAGACTTTATTGTAAAAATTAGTTTGTGTACTTTTGTAATTCATGGTTCATTTATATATGCAGAGTGATATTTATTTATTTTATTATGGTTTAGTAATAAGGTTAACATTTTTTTGGTCCCTTTTTTTTGAATAATAATTTGACTTAAACGTCTGTTGATTGTTTTTGTACTCTTTTACCATAACAACTAATTATTTTTAAAATATGAAATCATTAAAATATAAAATCCTTAAAATTTATGAGACTTTCCCGGACCAATTGAAATAATCTTTTACATTTTATATAAAATATTTTAAAACCTAAAACAATCTACAACCGCTCAAGTTAAAAGAGTGTAAGATAGTCGAAACCATTTAACTTCCAATTAGATTACACTAAAATATATTAATAAATCATTCATTAGTCAAAAAAATCTTTTATTTTTATGGGGAATTGTAGTTTGAATGAAATGATTCTATTCTTCAAATAAGAAAAAAATTGACCAAAAAAAACATCCTTATTAATAAACTATATTACAAAAAAATAAATATCAACATGCTTATATGAATGCAAGTATGAATTTCAACTATATATGAAATAATTTTCACAATCGAGTCTTAAGAAGAATCTCATTGAATGTTATGTAGTATACTTTTAAATTTTTTTTTTTTATGAGAGTGAACAACAAAATAGATCATTTAACTATTGGATGATTTCTCCGCAGGGCATCAATCAAATTCATTTCCAAAATCGGCCATCTTACTAAGCCAAAAATTCATTTAAAGTCATTATGTTAATTTTGACTATTAAATAGTGACGGAAAGCTATTTTCAATATGTTTTTAGGTTCAAGGGTTTTTTTGTCATTTTAGGTTTTTTAAATTTTAATTTCTTTTAACAATTCTTCTTCTTATCTTCTTATACTTCCTAACTCGTATATGTTGATACTAGTATAATTACTAATTTTAAAGATTAATTTACCTTTTTTATTTTAACTTTCGATTATACATTTTTTTAAAAAACAAATTTAAAAATAAAGAAAAAAATTCGAGTTGAAGATAACAAAAACTAATAGTTTACCATTTTAAACAAAAAAAAAAACTAAAATAAGCTAAGAAAAGTTATTTCTTCTAGGTTATTTAATTGTTTTCCACTCGAATTAATTTTTTTTATTTTTCATGTTTACTTTAATTTGAATTTTTCTTTTCCATTTTTCTAAATTTTTTTAAAAATTTATAATCTAGAAGTTAAATACAAAAGGTAAATTAGTTTTTGAAATTTAGTAATTATATTAGTACCAACATATATATACATTAGGAAGTATAAGAACAAGAATTGTAAAAAAGTATAATTAAAAATAAATTTTTTTAAGAAATAGTACCAAATAACGAAATTACTCCAAGACCCAAAAGTATATGAAAAATAGTTTGCTGTCACGATTTGATGTGCCAAATAACCAAGAAGAAATGACTTGTCTTAACTAATTCTTTGAGTTTTTTTTTTCTGTTTAAAATGGTAGACTATTAATTTTCATATTTACTTCAACTCGTATTTTTTGTCTTCATTTTCTTTATTTTCAAAGTTTATATATAACCTATAAGTTAAAATTCAAAAGGTAAATTAATTGTTAAAATTAAATAATTATACTAGTATCAACATATATACAAGTTTAAAAATATAAAAAGACGAATTGTGATAAAAAATTACAAATTTTAAAAAAATTATGAAAATACCCCTCACCCAAAAGTATGTGAAAAGTAGCTTTCCGTCCCTATTTAATGGTCAAAATTAACAGAATGACTTCAGATGGATTTTGAGCTTAGTACGGTGGTCAATTTTGGAATAAATTTGATTGATGACTTGTGATGAAATTACCCAATAATTCAATGATCTGTTTTGTGGTTCACTCTTTTCAATAATAATAATAATAATAATAATAATAATAATAATAATAATAATAGAAAGGGACGGTTTTATTATTTTTATATTTTGAGAGGGTCATTTTGTATTTTTTGAAACTACAAGAAAGTTTTTGTGATTAAAATCAACCAAAAATAAATTTGAAGGAATTTTCACCAATTAGATGAAATCGGCTAAAAATTCAAACAATCGGTATAAAATTGACTAGCGTTAATTTTAGGGTAAGATTGACAGTCATCTCAATCCTTTGGGTAAAAGTGCCATTTTTTCCCTTTAATTTTGCATTAAAGGAAGTTTTGGATATTTATCACGACAAAGACATTTGAGAATTTCTCAATAAAATGGATAAATTAAGTAAATTTTCACCTTTTGTGAGAACTACCCCTTGTTGATACGTATATATATGTTGGCATATATGTATGAAAAATTTATTATGTAAGTTAGCTCGATCTTCATGGATTTGGATACATAAGACGGATATTAGTGTTACTCATCAACTTACTTTTTGTAATGAGAGCAACAATGCCCTATTTAAAATGTGGTAATTGTTTGGTCAACTTTTAACAATCTCAATTCAAATTATTTTACTTTAAAAATAAGAACAAAATCCTGAATCTAATTAATTAGTAATTAATTATATTTTTTCTGATTAAAAAGAAATTAATCTGAATTTAGACTGGAATTTTTTTGTCTCATTGTACTGTAATGGGCTAACTGTTTTCTTAGTGACACTAGTACTCTAGACCACTAACGATGAATGCTATTTTAGCCTAATTCTTAAAACTCTCAAAACTCTATAAAAGAAACAAGTTAGAAAGTTGAAGGACTAAAGAAAGAAAGGAAGAAATAACAAGGGCTTAATGAGAGGTTGAGGAAATAATTCAACACCTTGAATTATTCATGCTTCACAATGGGGGGCTTGGAATATTTATAGTTGTCAACACAAGCCCCTAGAGTTCTAGATAAATCTACATAAAGCATTACAAATTCTAAATCTAGAGAATTTCTACAACTTCTTTCACGATTCTAGAATGTTCCAGAAATCTCCATAACATTTTGGATACTACTACATGATTTTATCAAAATCTTTTATATATATATATATATATATATATAATGGAAGCCGACAGGCTTAGTTACAAAAGGCTCTATAGCTGTAGAGTAATAGCTGCTTGATCAGTTGCTAAGGTTTCAACAACGCTAGTCGGTGGTGTTGACAAAATATGTTTACCATTTGGACATGAGAAGCCAAATTTTGCTAACTCGTCGGCCACTTTATTTCGGTGGCGACAAACATGGATAAACAAAACATGCCAATTAAGGTGAAGAAGTTTTCTAACTCTACTGACTACGTTACTCTGGCAATATAGAGCAACCTTGCTAGACAAAAGCTCCACAGCTTTAGAACTATCCAATTCTAATTCCACTTTTCTAAAGCCAAGGTCCCACGCAATTTGTAAACCAAAGAAAGTACCCCCTAATTCTGCCTCCAGGCTGCAACATATGCATATATTTGCTGCAAAACCAATAATCCAAATCCCCTCATCATTTCGGATTACCCCTCCTACCGCCGACTTGTTCGAGACCTTGTTGGAGGTGCCATCCGAATTGATCTTGATCCAACCTAGTAGAGGTGGTGTCTAGGCCTGTTGCTGTGTGGTGCTAACTCGTCTGTTCAAACCATGTGCAAAAATCAGGTTCGAACGAGCTACTTCTTTTACAAGAGCGTGCGTTCCACACCTGATTGCCCTTACTGTCGTTATTTCCTCTCCGAAAATTTCTTTATTCCTGGAGTTCCACAGTTTCCAACAACCTATCCCGAACCACACAGACCAAAGAGTTTGCTCCTGCAAAACAGAGGATTTTAGATTAGTAGTTATCCATTCCTTAATATCCATAACATACCAGAAAGGAGGTCCCAGTGATGCATTGAGACTTCTCCATAGTTCTTTACTCCTGAAACAATCTCTAAAGATGTGCAGCAGGGTTTCTTCACCACCACAAAAGTGGCAACCACTGTCATCTGAGAGGTGCCTTCTTTTCCTCTCCATATTTGACATGAGTGATCCCTTCATCAATAACCGAAGAAATGATTTAACTCTTTCCGGCCCTTCCCACTGCCAAATCAGCTTCCAATGTTTCTGCTCCTTACCCCACTTGTCCTCTGTCAGCAATTTGTATGCTAATGTGGTAGAGAACTTTCCTGATTCCGTAAATCTCCACACCGGCCTATCCGATTCCAGCCCTCTTTCTGGTGGAGGCACCGCCCTGATTCTTTCTAATATTACTGCAGGTAATAATTGACTTAATCTGCACCAGTCCCAGTCACCATGATTATCCACATATTCTATAACTTTTCTGCTTCTGTCAGCTGCAAGAATCTGCCTCTTCGCTTGCAATGCTAGGGGACCAACATCCTCTACCCAATAATCAAACCAAAATTTAACTCTCTTCCCATCATTCACCAACCATCGAATTCCATTTAAAGCCACTGGCCACAGTTTCGACACTTGTTTCCAAAGGGATGTAGCTTTGACCCTAGAGATATCATTAGGAAGAGTCTCTAAGTTCACTTCGTACTTGGCCGCGAGAACATCCTTCCACAAGAATGGTTCTCTGGAAATCAAACCCCATGCAAATTTTAGGATCAGAGCCAAGTTGAAATCTCGCATTTTCCTCAGACCCAAACCATCTCTCCCCTTTGGTTGGCACACCTCATCCCATTTAATGAAACTCATCTTTCTTTCTCCCTCTTTGGTACCCCACAAGAAGTCACGTGTAACTTGGTCAAACTCGTCACAAATCCCCTTTGGAAGCACAGCAGACTGTATAAGGTAAACAGGGATGGAGGACAGTACCGACTGGCACAAAGTAAGCCTGCCCGCCATGGAGATTTTACTTGGATTCCACACCGCCGCTCTCTGACGATCTTTGGTCACCCACTCCCTATATAAAGCCTTCTTAACCCTTCCATAGATAATCTGAGTCCCTAAATACTTTTCGAGATTGTTAACTCTTTGGACACCACACAGATTACTCAACAAATCAGCTACTTTTCGAGATTGTTAACTCGTTGGACACCACACAGATTACTCAACAAATCAGCTTGATCAAGTGCAATATTAGGAGAAACATAGAGCACTGATTTTTCTTGACTAACAATTTGCCCCGAAACTCTACAAAACTCTTGCAGAGTACCACCAATCACTTCAATCTGCTCTTTTATTGCTTCCGCAAAAAGAATTAGATCGTCAGCGAACAAAAGGTGTGATAACTCCAACTGGTCCCTTCCAAACAGCAATGGTTTCCAACGCCCACTACGGACTTCAATGTTGATGGCTTGGGACAACCTCTCCATAGCAAGCACAAAAATATAAGGCAAAAGTGGATCGCCTTGTCGAACCCCCTTTGTAGGCTTAAATTTCTCTCCACCACACCGTCCCATATTACTTGTGTTGTACCTGTATGTAGCGAACTCATAACAACTTGCCGTAATACCGAAGGAATTCCCGCATCCTGTAAGGTATCCGCAAGAAAATCCCAGCTGAGCTTGTTGTAAGCTTTAACTAGGTCTACTTTAAGTGCCAGCCAACCTTTACTTCTCTTAGTTTCTCGCATTGTGTGTACCGCCTCCTATGTTACTACTATATTATCAATAATACTTCTGCCTGGGACAAAGCTAGATTGAGTAGGGCGAACTAACAAAGGCATCACCCTCCTCAACCTATTCACAACCACCTTCGCGATGATTTTGGCAGACACATTAATCGAACTTATCATACGTAAGTTCTGGAATCTTTCTGGGTTCTTCACCTTCGGAATGAGCACCACTAACGCTTTATTTATACTCGGGTCAACTTTTCCTGTTTCAAAAGTGTTATGGACTAAGTTGCAAACCGAGTTGTCGATAGTCCTCCAATTATGTATAAAAAGGCTTGCATTATACCCGTCGATCCCACCGGCTTTAAACTTATTCATTTCAGCCACTGCCACTCTTATCTCCTCATCATTAACTTCCCTTGCCAGTAACAGCTTGGTTTGTTGGTCTAAGGGTGGAAATAGACCCTTGATGCCATAATCTCTACTACCAGTACCTGGCCCAGTGTAAACTGTTTTGAAGAAAGCCGTGGCTTCCTCCCCCAGTCTTCGATTGTCCGACACCCAAGAGCCATCCTCCAGCTGCATTGCTCTGATTTTTTTGTCTATGTTTGCTGCTTCTAAACTTTGAATGGAAAAGCCTAGTGTTATGGTCACCCTGTGTCAGCGACACAGCCTTCGTGTTTTGAGCTCTTAGAAGATCTTCCTGAGTTACTAAAGCTTCGTACTCCTCTCTTAATTCTTTCTCCAAATTCCTTAACCTCGTCGGCTGAGTTGACACCAGGACCCTTTGTAAATCCCCCAGCCAAGCCAGCAGTCTACTCTTTCTCTTGTTAATGTCCCCAAAGACGTTGTATTTCCAATCATCTAGTAGCTTGGTGAGTTCCGACAGAGCCTCGGGGAACAACACATTAGTATTCCAATTCTGCCCTAGCCACTCTTCCCATTTATCATGTGCTTCCCACGCTACCCAATATTTGAAAAATTTCCTCTCACCCCGAAGGCTGCCTTTGGCATTAAACCTGATCAACAATGGAGAGTGATCTGAGTTCACTCGGGAGAGGTGTTTTATAACCGAATCAACAAAAAAGTCATCCCACTTTTCATTTACTAGAGCTCTATCTATACGTTCATGGATTGAACCCCCTTTCCACGTAAATCGGCAACCCTCAAAACCCAAATCAAACATCCCTGCTCCAGCAATCCATTCACAAAATCTACTGCATCCTTTGGATTTTCGGCCACCCACTTTATCAGCTTCCTCTGTGAACGCGTTGAACGCACCTACGACCATCCACGGTTCCTCAATCGTACCTGCCAACACAGTTAAATTCTCCCAGAGTATACGCCTGGTTAGCACTTGCGGGCTACCATACACTGTGGTCAACAAAAACGAGTAGTTATCTTGAAAACAGACTTTTGTATGCATAAATTGCCAGTCGTTGTGAAGGATTTCTACTGAGATTGAATCTCTCCAGAGAAGCCAGATGCCCCCAGAGAAACCCACTGACTCGATCCTATGAGAGTTCTCCATTCCAATACTCTGAATTATCCTAGCGGCATCATTACCGTTTACACGAGTTTCAAACACAGCAACAATTTGCGGTTTAAGCAGTCTAATCTTTTCTTTAAGCATTGCAATCGTTTCTTGGTTTGCCAAGCCTCGACAATTCCAAGCAAAGATTTTTAAATCCATTAATAACACAAAAAGAGGGGTGAAACTTACTTACTGGCGTCCGGAAGCTATTCGAAATCGGCGTTGGACCAGTGGTCTTCATTGCCCACCCTCCGTTGGTCCTCCACCATTGCATCACCGCTCAGTTCTACTTCTTCTATAGTTGATTCATTATGGTCAGGCGGTTTTTCCCCCTTACCCAGCTGGATTCTGAGCTTGGGTTTGAGGTGAAAACCATGCTTCGGATCAGGAGGTTTTCCAGCAGCCGGTGATGGGTTATTTATTGCCATTAAATCGTTTGAGGTAGCAGTAGAAGGGAGTGTTGGTTTGGGTGTGCGTGGATTGGGATGGGGAATTTGAATTGCTGAGTGTTTTGTGATTTTCCCAGCAACAACCATCGAATCTCCAGTGGAAGGGACCTCCGATTTCTCTTCAGTTACTTGATTGTTAGGGAGCGCGGTGTCGTTTGTTAGTGTCATGTTCTGTTGGGGGAAAGATTGTTCTACATCACATGTCAGGCCGTTGTGGGTCGTAGGTTTGTGAGATTTATTTTGGGTTGTATCCTGGGCCGTAGTATTGGGTTGTGAAGGCTTCTTAGCCCAAGTTTTGTCTTGAGCTGGCAATTCTGACTTACGTTTGATTGCCTTATTACTTGGGCCTTGTTTACAACCCTTGGATGCTTCTGTCTCCTTACCACCAACTCGGCCCTTCCCTGATGAGGAAACATAAGAGGAGTCAGCATTAAAATGAGTTACAGGAGTTGGACTTACCTTTCATTTACCGTTGAGGACTGTCGATTCAGAAGCCATATTCGCTAATGGTGCAAAAGGGTTGGAGGGGGCCTATTGGTTCCTTGCTTGTTTTTCCTGGGGGGTGGTTTTGTGGTTAGCCATTTGGGGGTTGTTGCTTCCCATTCTTCTCCCCCGTTTTAGCGCGTGGCTCCACTCGCCCATATTGGAGGATTGCTTGTATTGCATTGGTAGTCGCGCCACCCGTTCCCAATTTTTGTCGACCATTGAGGAGTCTGAGGGTCCCGTTTGCTGGCCAGCCGTTGGGGTTGTTGAAGGTTCGTTGAGCTGGGGCAAGTGTTCCGATGCCGCCGGAGTTGCCGGGTCTGACTTCTCGCCGGAGCTTCTCTGCACTCATCCCTGGTGTGCCCGAATTTACCGTAATCATAGCAAATCCTTCTAAGATCCTCATATTCAACTGTATAACATTTCCCGTCCACCTTCACTTTTCCGACTAGGGGTTTCGTTAAATCCAATTCAACCGCCAAACGGGCATATACCTCCCCCTCTCTACCTTTAGCGTATTGTTATCTGCCTTCAAGTATTTGCCCACAGGTTTTGCAATGTCTCTAAGAAGGTCCTCATGGAAATAATGAACCGGCAGTCCCGGAATCCTAATCCACGTTGCCACCGCTGATAAATTCTCCGCCTTCGGGTCGAAATTGATAGTATAAGGGTGTACAATTATGTAATGATCTACAATGGTCTACAGCCCGTTGAGAAGGGCATTGTAGTAATCCTCCTCATGTGTGAGCCGAATGATGTATACCCATCAACCGAATCCACAAGATTAATCCTCCCTTTTGGTTTCCAAAGTGAAGAGACTATTTTTTCAATAGCCAGGAAGCTGAAGTTCCTCCCCAAGGGGCGTATAACAAGTGAGTAAGACGTTGCATATTCCATCCTCTTTTGGATCTAGTCTGTAAAATTGATAACAGGCATACCATCTTCAACTGTATAAGTCACATCGTTTGGTTCTGTTGTGACAGTGACATGGTGGAAGCCTTTGTTGTTCTTCCCTTGTTGGTCTTGTAACAGAGACTCCCTAAAGGATGGGGCATTCCCTAGGTTTGGAGCGTTCGAATTGACGATTGGGATTTCCTTTGACGGAATTGAGGGTGCGTCATCTCGATTCCTTACCTTTTTGGTTGTTGGATTCTCATTATCATGATCCATTGGAATCGGATCTTCTGTCTCCATTGAAAGAACAGAGGAAATCACTCGTACGCGTTTTGGTTTTAGAGAGAAGTGGGAGGATATTATTTAATACTCTACAAACATCTAGATAGTTGTAGGGCTTTCTAGAATTTTTCAAAACTTGGGCTTGATCCGAAAAGTGTAATTGAGCCTAGATCCATTAATATTATTGGGCCAAATTACTTAATTTTATTCAATAATATTTGAGCCATGTTAGTAGGATGAGGAAAAGGAATAAGTTTTGACCGAATGAAGAAAATTTGGTTGAAGGAATGAATTTGAAAATGACGAAACATTGTTGAATCTCCATATTTAATTAAGTGTGAGTTGTTTCCTGTTAAACTTATTATTGCAATTGTAGCAACATATTAAGTGACAAATTGTAATATTAATATCAACCATAATGACGAGTGAATATGAGTTAATAGAAGTTAGACCTGTTTCAAGTTGTTTGACTTTATTTGCATAAATGCTCACTCAGGAAACTATGAAATGTAAATGTGATTGTGCGAATCCATTGTTTCAAGTGTTAAGCTAAAAGGTTAATGCCCTCTGATTTGTTAAACTTAAGCATAACACATTGCAATTTTCTTTATGCGAATAATTAGTTCCATTAATTATGTCAGAGATGAACCAGATTGGCAAGAAAAGAAAGGCTTACAAATTACAATTATTTAATTTCGTTAATTATGTCAAGATATAATGTCGATTATTGATGTCTACCTTAGCATAATAAGAAAGTTATTACATGAAGCGCATTGTGGATATATGAACTTAACGTATAATTTCCAATTTACCTTAATGAGAATATCTAGGGAAGATCACTACTACCATTTGCCCCTTAGTAAAACTTTTTGCATTATGTATTGTGACTCCATTAGTAGCGCAAGTGGGCTAAAAACTAAAATGGCAAAAAAAAAAATTTAAATTTGTTTTATTGTACTTTTTTGTGCCCATTAGTTGTGCAATTGATTATGGGAGTTTTATAATTTCATCCCACTATATTATATTACCTCACAAAAAACCAATTTCTTTCGTAAGAAAAGTGTTTTATGTCGGTGGAAATTATTTTAGATAACTGAAAGGGGAAATAAAAAAACCCCAAAAAAACAAATGAGGACACATATTATTAGACTCTAGTCGGACTTAAAATGAGATCTACACTTTGAATATCCAAATCCAGCTCTTCATATATTACTCGGCACAAATACATGTATTCGGTGGATGCATTCATCTCTACTCTCTCCTCTTTCCTTTCAGATTTCCATCAAAATTTGAGCTTATTTATACAGCTGTAGATTAGAGGGAAGGCAAAATCGAGGGGTCGGTTAGCGTAAGTGATTTTGACCGATTTTGAGCTGAATGAAGAAGCAATTTGCTTTACATTTTTATGCATAAATACGTGCGGTTGCTTGATAACTCTTTGTGGGTTTTCGTTTTAGCTTAGTTTTAGCTGATTCTAAACTGGGTTTCGTTTGTGGGGTTTTCTATTTTGAATGTGGCTTTGTTGACTTGGGTGGACTAAAGGGGCTTTTTTGTTTAGGAGCTGATTTTGTTGTTGAGGAACCTAGAAAGTGCAACTTTGTGATCCAAAATGGGGATCTTTACTGTCTTTGAGTTGACTAGCTGTTGAAAGGTGATTTCTTTATTTAGTAACCAGCATATACATTCCGTTAATTTCTTCAATTTAATGCATGATTCAGCTGAAAGATTTGAAGCTTTAGGTAGTGGGCAGAAATTGACTGTTAGATTTCATAGTTGCCGTCATTTGTATGTTTCCAAATGACTAGAGATTATTTAATTTCTCAGCATTCTTGAATAATTAAAGAGGGAAAAAGTTGAATTGTTTGCCCTTGTATGATTGCCTTGCTGAATTATAATTTTCATAGTTTCCAATATTTTTGTATGATTTTTTGGGAAGAAACAGAAATTGCACGTGGTTGTGCTTTATTGATGCATTATGCGATAGTTTCTTAAGTCAGTTATTTATAGTATTTGTGGTGCCCTAACGTTGTTGCTTGATTTGTCGTATTCGAGTTTGGTAGAATGAGCACGTTTGTATCCCACGTGTGAATGACGCTTACTGGTCAATACAATTAATATCTACTTTTTCTGGATTAATTCGGTTTGTCTTTTAAGAGGAGTGTAACCGTCGCAAATGTGATATGTTCAGCCAGATGGAGCATATATGATCTTCGGTGGTTTTATGCTTTTGAAAATCTTTAGTCGTTGACGCGTTCATCCAAAAGTGGTTCAGGATGGGCTGTGGATGTTCCAAATTAAGTTCTTGCTGGACTTCTGAACAAAATGGTGCCCGTCATGAGCCTCTTAATGCTGGTACAACATAGCAGTTGAATTTTTTGATTTGATAAAATGGCTGGTCAATGGGAACTGAACGTTGAACTTTTTCCATGATTTTGTGTTTATCAAATGCAGAGAATGAGGAGAAAAGTGAAGTTAGTGATTTGCCTGTATTTCGTGAGTTCACTGTTGAACAACTCAAGATAGCTACGTCAGGATTTGCTGTAGAGAACATAGTTTCAGAACATGGTGAGAAAGCACCAAATGTTGTGTACAAAGGCAAGCTTGAAAACCAGAGGCGTATTGCTGTCAAACGCTTCAACCGATCTGCTTGGCCTGACTCCCGTCAGTTCATGGTTAGTTTTTATGTGATTATTTATTTCATTTTTGTTTTAGTAACGTGTGTGTAAGGGTTACGCGTATTAAGAATAATCTCTTACTTATGGTGCCTAATCAATTGACTTGCTCTCTATTTTATAGCTAAAATCTAGTAATTGATGTCTATCTATACATGCATCGAACATATGCTGTTATGTATATGTATATGTCCATTTTTATAAATTATATATGTGTACACATGTGCAAATGTATATTTAGTGGATACAGTTGAACCGTGTGTGCGAAGGCAGAATTAACTTTCAACATACTCATTAAGTTAAAACATCTCAATGCACCTGCATCTTTGAAGTAATCAACCCATGTATGTGCTCAAATTCGTTTTGCCATTGTAATGCTCGCCGGTTTTCATACAGATCCTCTTCTTGCATTTCGAGAAGTATTTTTATTGATAGTAACTTTTTATCTTTTGAAAAAATGTGTATTTAGGAAGAAGCCAAAGCCGTTGGTCAACTGAGGAACCATAGGTTAGCGAATCTGCTGGGGTGCTGCTGCGAGGGCGATGAAAGGTTACTTGTTGCTGAGTTCATGCCCAATGAGACCCTTGCAAAGCATCTTTTCCATTGTGAGTTTGCTTTTTATCTTATCTTATCTTCCCTCTTTTTTCTTTTTCTTTTCTCTTTTCTTGATGCTGTTTATCATGGGCTATATGGTTTGTGCTACGTACAAAACCCTAAAGTTCGCTGCTGAAGCATGAATCTCTGAGTGTCAAACTGGAATTCTGAAAGATTTTATGCAGTTTTGTATTCACAGCATTAGCTTGTCGACTGTTTCCTTATCTTAGCACTTTCTGAATTCCAGGTTAAACTTTGTGAATAATATAAGCTGCATTTCACCATAGCTTTAGATCATGCCATTAATGTTCTTGCATGTTTTTTTTGTTGGCTAATCCTTGGTACGTTCTTTTGACTTGTTTTGAAGAAATTCACATTTTAGGTTGGTTCTATTATTCTTACAATTTTTTTGATTAAGCCTTAGCTAAATAAAGTTGATGATTCTATTTATGCTGTGCAACACAATAATAAGTATGTGGATATTGATACAGGGGAAACACAACCAATGAAGTGGGCAATGCGGTTAAGGGTGGCTCTATATGTGGCACAAGCTCTAGAATATTGCACAAGCAAGGGACGTGCACTTTACCATGACTTGAATGCTTATAGAATAGTCTTCGATGATGTAAGAACTTTATTCTGATGTCAGCATGTGGTCTTGCCTACACCTTCCCATGGATAACGAGCTGACTGAGAAACTGAGTCTCCGGTATTGTATATTTTCTATATCACAGGATGGTGATCCCAGGTTGTCATGCTTTGGCCTTATGAAGAACAGTAGAGATGGAAAAAGCTACAGCACGAACCTGGCGTTTACTCCTCCAGAGTACCTCCGGACTGGTAAATTTCTGATGCCAATGTTTCTTCGCCGCCCGGGGGTTTGAGAGAGGGGTGTGTCGGTCTATAAGATCATTTGTCTGAATTAATCTTGCCTATTCAAAACCTCATCGGCCAAAAGAGATGCTTGGCGTCCAGAGCTACTTGTCTGAATTAATCTTGGATCCTGGACATATGGGAAAGGGAAACAGCTGAACTTTATCATTTGTTCATCTGTATGGCTTTTGAACGTAACTTTTTATGGCCGTAGCTCTCATAGCCGTGAACTCAGTGAGCTGGTGTTTTCATGAAGAACCTATGGGAAGTTGCTGTAAATTCCAGGATGACCGTTTAGATGGTTATTTCTAGAAGCATCATCAAATTGTTTTACATTGATGTAGATGGAGGAAAGTCACAAGTGTCCGGTTTCATCTAATGATACTTTATTCTCAAGGAGTATTGCTTAGTTTAATATCGAACATGAACTGAAGGCTTGAAATATGTATGTTTGGGTGTGCCAATTTTTTGGATGCAAGTTTCAATTGTACCAGAACAAGCTGAAAAAAATGAGGTGACATGGATATTGTAAATTACTTTCTAGGGGAGCTCAAACTTTTAGCAGAATCCTCACAAGGCTTTGACATACTAATGCCTCATTAAGATATGGAAATTTTACTGGACTACAATCATTGGCTTTGCATTTCATTAGTACAGATGAATTAATATTTTCTGAAGCAAGCTGGGATGTTTAAATGGTGAATCAAAACTAATTCAAGATGTTTCATATTTATTTCTTTTTTCTCACTGCCTATTGTTGTTTTTTGGTTCTATCTTCTGGTTATCTACATGCTAGATATAAATCTTGATTTTTATTGGGAAATCATTTTGTTTGTAGGTAGAATAACACCAGAGAGTGTGATGTACAGCTTCGGTACACTTTTGCTTGACCTTCTCAGTGGAAAACACATTCCACCAAGCCATGTAAGCCTCTCCACTGTTAAATGACTTTTGGTATAAGAAATTAGTTTGCTGCTTGTTTTTTGTAATAATTATTTTTACTATCCCTCTCGGCTAATTGCCAATGCATTAAAAATTTAATCCTCCACTTTGGCATTCTGATTAGAGACATAAGTAATGACATAGACGTTCTCCTTATTTGTGTTGCAAATCTTTTCAGGCACTAGATCTGATAAGAGACAGGAATCTTCAGATGTTAACTGATTCCTGTTTGGAAGGCCAATTCTCCGGTGATGATGGAACTGAGTTAGTACGTTTGGCCTCAAGATGTCTGCAGTATGAGCCTCGTGAACGCCCAAATCCAAAATCATTGGTGGCTGCATTGATTCCTCTACAGAAGGAGACTGAGGTTGGTTTGTTTTAGTGTTCCGGAAATTAATTGCCTTCAAAGGCTTCTTGTGGTATTGGTGAATACATTATGATGGTTGTGTTCTCCACTCTGAAATATGAGTCGAAAAGATCATTTCTTTGTTGGGTGGATTCTTGTAGTCTATTCAGTAACTTCATGTTGGCTTGGAGAAAACTGGTAGTGGTGGATTTTATATCAATTTCAGTATGAAAATGAGAGAATGTATCTCTTCTTTGTTTACGAATGTAGCATCACGTTATCTCAGCAATGGCCTTCCATTCCTCTGTTGACATGTCAGTAAATTATATATAAGTATGGAGGTTCTGTAGAAAGCTGATATGATGGGTTTAGATAAGATAATATATATGAAGGTTTTATGATACTTGAAAATATGGTTGGTCTTCCTTTTTTACTTATTGCTTTGGTGGGAGTCGGTTTCTAGGTTCCTTCACATGCATTGATGGGCATACCGCATGGCGGTGAAGCTATGTCACTGTCTCCTCTTGGTGAAGCTTGCCAAAGAATGGATTTGACTGCCATGCATGAGGTTCTGGAGAAGCTTGGTTATAAAGATGATGAGGGAGCTGCTACTGAGGTATGTTTTAGTGGTTGTAAAGATTTCATGAAGTCCATATTCTATGTTATTTACTGTTGGCTTTAATCGTGTAAGGTAATTCATTCAAATAACTTTGCTTTATGGAATGGCTTACTCTGCCATCCTCACGGATGTTTCTTGTGATATTTTTTGGGTTGATGCATCTGGTAAAAAAATATAAATTTAAGAGTGACAGTTTGGTGATTTTATGGCCCTTTTTTTTGGCGGGGGGGTGGGTGGGTGGGTCATGGTGATGGTGGGTTGTCAAGTTTTTCCTATAATTTGCCAAAACCTGGTCAACTCTGAGAAAGTTCATATTTCAGCAATGTGAAAACCCTGAAATACCAGATAAGTGACCGTTTTATCTGCTGTTGCATTATTGATAATGTAATCTATCAGAGGTCTTCCCTTTATCCGCCACGGGACTGGGGAAAATGCACTCTAATTATGTGTCATGCATCATGGGTTTTATTTTTCTACCAGTTCTTCTCGTTCTTGATTTTTTCTTTCTTGCAGCTTTCATTCCAAATGTGGACAAACCAGATGCAGGAAACCTTGAATTCTAAGAAAAAGGGTGATGTTGCTTTCCGTCACAAAGATTTTAAAGCTGCAATTGAGTGCTATACACAGGTTAGATCTCTATATGCCTGTAGTAAGTCAGTTACTGTTGGTCTTGCTATACTGACTGGTACATTACTGTCAAATGTAGTTTGATACATTCATTCTAGACTGTGTTTCACAGTAGTACCCATGTGCCCCCCTTGTTCAATTCTGTCTTCACTTCATCCTTTTCTATTTCTATGTCTATGTACATGTTTCTTCCTATTCCTGGTTCGCTACTTTTATGATTTAATTGGCATTTGTCAAATATAAGGGGAGCTTGTGTTTCTTCATTTTCTTTGTGTTGCTATTTTGTAATCTTGGATGCGGCATGTTTCAAAAGTTTTCTTTTCATTTTCTCTTATAACCCTGGTTAACTATGGGTATGCTTCATTGTTGGGCTAATAATACCTTATATCCTTTATCACAGTTCATTGATGTCGGGACCATGGTCTCCCCGACTGTCTTTGCACGCCGCAGTTTGTCCTATCTCATGAGTGACATGCCCCAAGAAGCACTGGATGATGCAGTACAAGCACAGGTGATATCCCCTGTTTGGCACATTGCTTCATACTTACAAGCTGCCGCGCTTTTCGCTTTAGAGAGGGAGAACGAGGGGCAAATTGCACTGAGAGAGGGTGCAGTTCTTGAAGAGAAAAGGAATACAACTTCCTTGAGATAGGAATTTAACCCAGATTTTGATAATTTCACCAGAAAAAAAAAACTTGTCCTTTTGGGGCAAAAAAACAACAAACAAACTCAAATTATATCTGTGGTTTAAGGGTTCGGGAAGCTTAGAGGGCTCTTCTTCACTTGCTCAAGTTCGCAAAGAAGCTCAATTTCATGACCTGGTGGTGTGGTTTTGCGGAAACATTCTTTTGGGAACATGATTTTAGATGGTGGTTTTCTTTTGGTTAGGTTTGATAGAGTCTTTTCCTGTTGATAGTAGAAACTGAAGCTTTCCCAGTTATACAAGGAAAAAAAATATCTCATTGGGGATTTTTTTTTTTTTTTTTAATCTATGGTCATTGTTGGAATGTGGAAGGAACTATTTATATACTTTTCGATGAAAACAGAGTCAGGATATTTGGTGTACAGCGAGTGCTTCATTGCTTGTTCATCCTTTTGTGATTTGACTGTTAGAAGTAGTCTTGATTTACCTAGTCTGATGACGAATTTATCATGAAGTTTTACTTACCTTGATTTTCATTTTCCTAAGGAAGATTTCTTGACCTCCAACTCAATTGTCTTAAAATATTTATTCCATATTTTCTATCTTTATCAAAATTCCAAGGACAATTGGAATTCTACAAATCCATATTCAAATGAAGAAATTTTGAGCCATGTCGCTTGAATTGGTGACAACAACAATAGGACGAAATGCCAATTGAGACATGAGGGATTGATGCGCCCCGCGGGGGAACCAAAAGAGTGGAGGCTTATTTCCAAAGGGAAAAAAAAAAAGAGAGATGATAATGAGGTGGTTTCTTCTGCTTCTGGAGTGGGGTTTTCGAATTCGAGGATAGCTGGATAAGATTCCATCTTCATGGTCGACTTTTTTTTTTTCTTTGAAAGGATTCTCCGATTGAAAATCATTACCGTCAACACTTGCAAACTACACCCACTTTTGAATTCTTTGTTTTTAAAAAATAGAAAAGAAACAAAAATAATACTTCCTCCTCCGTCTCACAAAATAGTCCACATTGAGTTTTGAATTTTGTATTGTTTTTAGTATAAATTTGAAAACTCGATATTGACTATTTTTTTTTGGGACGGACGTAGTTTGTGTTAAATCTTGGCCGAACTCCAAAAAAAGTCCAAAATCTATAGGATCCAAAAAAAACTTTCCCACAAGTTTTATTGCTGTACCAAGGCAATGGGACACGTAGATGAGAGTTATGAGAGTGTAAAAAACTAAGCAAATCTTATTCTGTCATTTACTTGGAAACAGACTCCTAATAATAATAAATGGAGCCCTGGATCCGCGGCTTAACAGAAATTTACGAAAATGAAGTGAAAGAGGTGATAGTGATAGGTGTGGACCTGTAGTGCAACAAAGCTTCGGTGGAGTAGTCGCAAATTAGCTATGATCATCCAACATCACAGAAATGATAATCACTGTTATTCATCAATAAGCAAGGAACCTATTTGCTGCAAATTATTTGCTAGCAAAATGCTTATGATTCACACTTAAAGCCTATGATCTTTTCACATCTAGTTAGCGACATATCAAGAACATGTTTCACCTTGGCAACTTTGATTTTGTAAACTATGATCCATAATTCTTAGAGAATGTAGCTATACCTTTGATTAATAGGATTGAGTATTTGAGTTTTAAGGGCTGGAGGACGGATTGAAGATTAAGATTAAGAGAAATAGTCCAACAAAAATAGTCTCTCCGTCCAACAAAATAATCCACATTAAGTTTTGAGTTTCTTCTGTTTTTAGTACAAATTTGAAAATTGAATGTTGACTATTTTTTTGGAACGGAGGTAGTGAAAAGAACGGGGCTGGATTTGAGGTTGAAGGAGAACGGAGAGGAGCAATTTACGACTAAGGGTAGTATTGGAAACAAATATCTTTATTGCTCTGGTGACTAATTATTGGCCTGAATATCATTAGATTAGATATATTGACGAGAAAGGAAACATTAGATTGTCTTTATTGGATTCTTCCTACCATAATGTGTTGTTTTGATTAGGGCTATGTACATATTATTTTGTTAAAGAATATAATTCTTGAATAAATTATTTTTGTGAGGTGAGAGTTCGCGCTTAATGATTCACCTTTCACTAAACAATAAATAGAGATTGAGAGATAGTATATTTTTGTAAACTTTTTCAGACATTTTCTTGCAGCCAGTAAAAGAAGATTTTTTTTATAGTCTTGCAGTTGCAGTTTTCCCGTAGTGATGGTATTTTATTTTTACATTTTTTTTTTGCTCTCCTAAGCAAACATAATTTTCTTTTCCCGTATTGATGTTGCAAAATTGATGCACAAATAAGTATGGCCCTTTAGAACCGATAATTGATAAAAAAAAAAAAAAATTCAACTTCAATTTGTTTATACCTGCCATAATAATAAATACTCTATATACGTCTGCTCTCGTTTATTTTCTCAAAACAAGAAAACACTACCGCCGCCTTCCTGTCTCGTATACACTACATCCTTTCTCGCGCGCTCTCTCTCTCTCTCTCTCTGTCTCTCTCACACACACACACACTCTGTTCGACGCTACTCTGCAATTCGCAAACTCTCTTTCTCACGCACTCGCCGATCTTACCTTTCTCTCTCTCAGAGACTCACGCATTCGCCGATCTGGCCATGGCTTTGAATGATTATGAGCATGTCAGTTCGAACAAAACCTTTAAATGTTACCTATGCCCCAAGAAGTTTGAGAAAGTCTCTGCTATCGATAGCCACAATCGGCAGTGTCATAGGAGATTGAAGCAGAATTGCCCGATATGTCGTACCGTGTTCCTCAATAATGCCCTTGTAGCCGCTCATCAGGCAGCAGTTGCACCACCACCTCCTCCTCCTCCTCAATAGATAGATCAGTACTCAGTAGTTTTAGGGTGTCGTAGTTTTTTTTTTTCTTTTCTATTTTTCCCCTTTCCGTTGTCGTAGAATCTTTAGGTTTCATTTAGGGGTGATAATCTAGGGGTTTTTTTTGCCGCTTTGTGTTAAGGTAATTTCAAGATGATCGTTCTTTGATGATTCTTTTTCTTTTTCTTGATAATTATGTTCGGAAAACTTAATGAGATGCTTCTTTCCACTCGACAGAGCTGTTGGATTAGCATGACGAGAGGATGTCTTTGTTTTTGGCTTACTAGCGAGATTCTTCTTAGTGATTCCGGATGTGTAAGTCTGCTTAATTATATGAATTTCTGCCTCTGTTTCTTCTTGATTTAATTTAAGTTAATGTTTGTATTCCTTGATAACAATTTGTAGTCTACGGTTTATTTAATTTCATTGTTGTGCCAAGTTGCTGCCCTTATTTTGTAAGGGAAGACCCCAGGATTGTAATTGATCCCCTTGTTTTCTAATTTCTTTATGAAACTCTTTGGACTTCTTACTTATTAATGTGTTGAACATCATGTCCACGGTCTTCCTTCCAGATAGTTGCTTTCCTTGCAAACAATAGATATAGATGTGTGGTTCATTTCTCTGCTGTAAAATTGGTTGATTTGATGAATGGAGTCCCTGAATCTTCTTTGCATAGAAGAATGAAACTCCTTTTTTTTTTTTTCTTTCTTTTAATTCTCTTTCCTTTTTGTATATTTCTCCACACACTGTGAGTAGCCAGTAGGTAACTGATAATTGTAGGTCTTAACTGCGAGTAAAAGAATTAAATTAGTGTATAAATGATCAATGTACTTCCAATATGAAATATATACGTCGGGGTTTTTTCTGTTGATTCTTTATTGGGGAATCAGTTTGGCTGGTTTTAGATATTTTTGATTGGAGCATTGATAAAGTTTCAGAAGGTTAAGGACTTACTATTGTTACCCGAAAGTAGAAATTTCCTGAATCTAGAGCTCTTCTTATTCCTACCTTTTGCTTTCTAATCTGATTAGGTTTATCTTAATAAGATAGAATGCTAAGAATTTTCATTGCTATCAGCAGTGTTTGTAGTGTATAATCAATTTTGGCACCGTATTTAGTTTACCTTTTCTTGCTCACTTTGGTTTCCTTGTATACTTTTCCACAACCATATGCACCAGAGCTTTTCTACAGACGGATCTGATACTTACCATACCTTTGGCCAGATGGGTAGAGTAAGTGGCCTACCAGAGAATTTGTGACCTCGGAACCCTGCCAAAAATCTAGTGAACTTTTCTCTAGGATATGGTTTTTTTTTTTTATTTATTTCTTTTACAGGGATTTTATCAGTTTGCAAACATTTTCTATTATCATGGATAACAGACATTAGGGTCACTACCCCACCCTCTAATTTGTAGAGATGCCGTAGAAAAATAAATAATGCATAAATTTGTTGATGAAATGTAACTACGTTTGCTGTGAAATGTTATAGTTTGGAAATAGCAATATTCCCTAAAGACTGTATTGCACATCATTTATGGTTTCTGACTTTATGGCTACAAGTTTGCTGCTGCGTTCAGACTTATGAGGCACTTGCACCTGTATTTTTTTTGGTATGTTGTTTTCTGGTTAAAGAGATAAATAATCTATGTCATTATATACAGGAACCTGTGAAGCATTTTCTTCTTTACCCTCGCCCGGCACGAAATGATAACGAGTTTTTGCTGGTCACTGCCTCCGGTAAGGTTGGAGGTTGGAAAGTATCTGATAAACTGCTAAAGATTACTGGGAACCTGGCTTTCACTTTAGGTGTTATGTTATCCTGTCTGAGGCTTTATGCCTTTCTAGGAGATGAATTCGATGGACTTCTGGGAAGGAGCAAGCTCATGCATCCTTACCAGGAGTGGATTGACAATTATAATTCGGAAGGTTTTCAGGTCTCTACTGTTTCTCTTCTGTTATTATTTTGTTGTGTTGGCTCAATGTACTGTTTATGTATTTTTTTCCGAATTGAATCTCCATTCTTATCTGTGCTTCTATTCATACAGGCTTCTGCACTGCAAATGGAAGAAGTGCTTGATAAACTGTTTATCTGTCTTTCTTTTGAAGAGGCATCTGGTCAAATTGCTAGGATGGAGTACAATGAAGAGTATGAACTGTGTTTGTTGAGCCTCTTGGTTTTTGTTAAAGGTGATTTAATTTTTTATTTGATTCACACTGTCTGGATCTTGCTTATATAATTGACATGTATACGTGTTCAATGAGGTTGTTCTTATAATGAACTTTCACTTATGCAGCTGCTGAATTTTCATCTGAATGTGTGCAAAAATCTCTCGTGCAACTGTCTGGTTTTGAAAAATGGCCAAATCTGAGGGTCATTAGATCTGAAATGGTGGTGAGAATACAAAAAAGGGTGCTGGGGAGCATACTGTTATTGTGCTGATCTTATTAGGTTGCTGTTCTCTGCAGGTATGTTACTTATGTTCCAGAACTGCTAAACTTTGTTGCTAATATAAAGAATGAGGTTGTATTTGGATTCAGTGTTTTTTTTTTAGAGCAAGTGCAGTGCTTCTATTTTTGTATTTTTTGGGAAAGATTTCCATCCTTGAACTTTTTTGACTTCTTTGAATTCAGGTTTTCTTGGATATGTTAGTGTTTTCAGTTTTTGCATCTCTATTGTTATTTGGAAGAGGTTTTACCTTTGTATATAATATTTTTTGGGTCATCCCTCGTGGGTTTTGATTGATGGAAAGGAAGTTTGAGTTTGATTTTGGTGTATAACAATGGCCTGAGAAGTGAGAACAATGGGAAGAAGACAATAATGATAAGGCTTGTTTATTCAGCTCTGTTTTGCCACCCGTTTCAATGTTCACCCACAGCTTGTTAATTAAACAGTTATTGGTTCATATACAAGAAGGCGGCAGTTTCATATTTTAATACTCCCTCGTCTTATTTTTGTGCAGGCAGCATACTCATGCGCTTGACTTCTGAAGAGGCGTAGACTACAGAAAGAATGACTTGTTTTGCTTGTTCAAACCGGATGACAGGATTTTGGTTGGTTCGATGATTAGGATTAATGTGGGAATATGTTATCTGAGTAGAAGAAGGTATCTTGTTTCTTGGGTAGTGAAGGAAACTTGGAACAGTATGGAAGGGGCTTTCAGGCATTTTTTTTTACAGTGTCTAGTTGGATAGAGACATATGATTTCATGTTTTGGGCAGTAGCACAATTTTTCTGGACATATGATATATACTGGATATTTCTCAAACGTTTATATGACGTAATTGACAGGTTGGTGGCTGGTTTTATTATGTTAGGGCCACGTTTTAGCAGATAGTATTAGTTAGCTGGCTGCTGGTATATGTAAATGTGACAGTGATACTGATACCCTTGCCTCATTTAAATTCTACGATGTCATTCATTCGTTCATTCCATTTTTTTTATTTATTTTTTTTTTTTTGTACATGCTTCATTCCCTTCTTTTTCCTTTTCCAATTTCACTTGACAAGATCTTCACTGAACATCGAGTAAAACAGTCTGGTGGCTCACTTTAAAATTCGTTGAGTTGGCATGTCTGCTGGTGCCTTTTGTCTTTTAGCTATTCCGTTTTGACTAGTCTTACTGTTTATGGATTGCTTTCAGGTGAAAACAATAATTTTGGGACAGAGGGAGTATATTTTAATTTGTAGTCTCAAAATCCAGAGAATTTCTTGTTCCGGGGCTTTAAGAGTAATTAAACTCTAAATCATGGTGTTTTCCTTTTTAGTACTATACATCAACAAAAATTATAAACTACGGTTCAAACTTGTCATGATTACTCCCTTCCCTTTTGGATACAGATAGAAAATATAAAACACCTAGATTGAAGAAGCATATCCCTGTCAGGATTTAACTTCTAAAATAAAATTCAAAGTGAGCCATTGTTTTCCAATGCATGGTATATTATTGGGATAAACTTAATATCCAACAAAGGTATTACTTATAGTTTGCCATTTTTGTGCTTCTAAATTGAACAACAAGAATAATTTAACCTATTTTCTAGAAAATTTTATCAACTATTATTAATTGGGGATGGTGAATCTGAGATCAATTTATGTTGTTTAAGAATTAAATTGGCAAAACCGTTGATGCTTGTCATGGTGTTAATTTGGTTATTGAAAATTGTACCGGTAAATAAATACTCCCTCCATTCCAAAATAGATGTCATTGGAGGAATTGTATTAAGTTTAAGACGTCAATAAATATTTGGTTGAAATACTAAATTACATTTATTAATTCTCAATGCAATTTTATTTCCAATATTATTTAGTAGTACTAATACACTTCTACTTTAAACACAATTACAATTCCCAATGTAGGGATAATGTTGAAAAAAATAAGCAAAACATCCATCGAAATGCGAAAAACGACATGTAATCTCGAAGATATTTCCCCATTTATTCCCCATGTATTCTCATTCCGAGCGAATGCCTGACCCCTTCGAAAACATATTTCTTTTGCTTAGTAGTGATTTAGAGTCTGCCAAAAATCTCAAAGGTTGTAAATTTTGATCAGCATTAACGGTTTAGTGGAAATGCATTTAACGATTAGTCATCGGGCCAAGATCATGATTGTAATTACTAGTAATCAATTTGGCAAGATTACAACATGCTACCTCTGTTTTTTTATTTTTTGTTTTAAGGTGAACTTAAAATATTTTTTTATCTATCGTACTTCATTTCCAATGTAACATTAAATACAATTTTTTTAATTTTACCTTTATCTCTCTTTACTTTTAATAACATATTTTAATGACAATTACCTATTCTTTTACTTCAATTTCATATTTTTTAGAACTTCAATACTTTTAATTAGGGGCAAGAAAGACAATATCTTTAGAAATTAAATTCTCAATCATTGTTTTCTTAAAAGTTGTGCTAACCCTAAAACGACAGATAAAAAAAACGGAGATAGTAAGAAATAGAAAAAAAAACTAATGGACAAAGTAATCGAATGAGCAATCAATATGAACATGTACAATATGGACCGAAAGAACAATCATCCGAATTCATGCACCATCCGTTGAAGTTCATAGCAAGATAATTAAGCATTCACCCCGTTGATCAAAACAGCTATCAAAATAGTAATAGGAGTAAGTGGATGGATCTTTATAACATATTTATGTATCTCTATGTTGTTATACAAAGTGCAGAAAATCATTCCTTATTCTGAGGAGCCGAAGGTAAAAAACTGGATGAAAAACAAATGAATAATTGAAATTCAGCAAAACCAATGTGATTGGCCCTTTTCCAGGCTGCTATTGCAAATTCCCTCTTGCAGGAAGGCTCAAATGAGATTGATAGTAAAGGAGAGTAGGAGACATAGGGCATCTTCAACGCATCCGCTAAATCGAGCGGACGCGTTGGATTTAGAGGAGTTCGGTGCTCCAACGGCCTCCGCTCTACTCCACTTCTCCGCCAAAAGAGTTTCGCTTCTCCGCCAAGACTGAGGGCATTTCCAATCCAAAGCTCCTCTAAACTCTATATTTAGAGTTGAAACAGTGAAATTTCACTATTTTTACAGTTTAAACAGTGTCACATCTCCAACCCATTCCCTCTATAAAATCCCTCTAAAATGAATATTCTCAGTATATTCTATTATTTATTTTTTTTTGTAAAACTAAATTTATTATTTATATTTTATTCTATTCTATTACTAAAATAAATTACATTTAAGAAATTTTATAATTTACACATATGATCGTTAATTTAAATAATAATTAGTAATATTAATTATTAAATTTAAATTACATAATTTTTATATAATTAATTAATAGTAATTTTTTCACCATATATTATGCCAAATAAATAAAATTACAAATAGTAAAATAACAAAAACATTTGGCTCAATGATAATAATAAAACACCATTACTAATATTACATTTAAATCATTAAAAATACATAACAAATACAAGTCGAAAATATTACAAACATTAATTTAACAACAACACTTTAAATTAATTATGATTATTAATTTTGAGTTCTACAACTTAAATAATAATTAAAAATGAAATAGATATGTAATTAAATTATAATAATTAAATTAATTAAGATCTAAACTATTAAAAATGGTTAATAAAAACAGTTCAAAATATAACAAATTGGCAAAAGCAAATGAAAAGCCCAAATAAGTCTTTTAGTTTGGCCCAAAAAAAATCAAAAAAAAGGGGCCAAGGTCGACCCGCTTTAACGGGTGAACAGTCTCCTTCAAGATTGAAGGAGTAGAGGCCCTTTTGAAGGAGCGGGCTTGGGCAGAGCAGGCTTCGTTGGAGAGCCCACTCCGCTAAATCCAACGAGTCCGCCCAGTTTAGCGGACGCGTTGGAGATGCCCTGAAGGAGCACTGTTCCACCGCTCCTCTATCCTGGTGGTCCCTTTTCTTTATTTTTGATTTTTTAAACTAAATTTTTTGGGCCACTTTTAGAGTTTTTTGTTGGGCTTTTGATTTTTATGGGCAAATTTGATTCACCTGGGCCGTAGTTCTTTGACCTTTGGGTTTTCCAAGCCTTGTTTTTTATATCTAATTTATACTTAATTTCTTAAATAGCAAAACTAAAAATATAAATAAACATAATTTATGTGTAAATAGCAAATTGTTTAATTTTTTACTAATACCAAATTGTTTAATTTGATTTATTTTCAATAAACAATGTTTGGTATAATTAATTAAATAATATATTGAAAATTTTATCTATTAATCAATAATATTTTATAATATTGATCATATATCTAAATGAATGATTTTCACTAATTAAGAATATTAACAGATTAAAAATACTAGTAATAATAAAATGAATTATTGATAAAAGAATATACAAAAATATTTGTTTAGAAGAGAATTATAGAGGAAATGAGTTGGAGATACTGACACTGTTGAAACTGTAAAATTAGTGGGATTTTACTGTAACAACTCTATATATAGAAAATTAGTGGAATTTCACTGTAACAACTCTATATATAGAGTTTAGAGGGATGTTGGCTTGGAGATGCCCTGAGGATGTGCATCTGCATTTGCCCGGATACCTCCCTCTCCTCCTTGTTCAGTCTTCCAATATGTGCTATTTGAACTGTCACGCAAGTTTCTATTATAAAGCGTAATTTATTTTTGCTTTTGTTGGGTGACGATAGTAATAGGAGTCCAAACATCAACAACACGTTCTTATTTGAAACAAAACGTTGATCTTTATACAGCCTTGTCACTTTGTAGATAACCAATCCAATAGAATTGGACAGATTTGTACCACCATTGCGACTTATTGTTTCAAAACTCAAAAAATTTTGTTGGTGCTCTTGATAATCTGGAAAAAAAAATGATGTCACTGGATTTTAACTATCCTCTTATCTTTAAATGGATGAACTCACAAATGTAAGGTTTAATTATAGATGATTATAATTCATTCCTTGTGTATTTTCTAACAAATTTTTCGTGCATTAATCATTACTCTTATAAAAAATTAGTGCCTACACTTTTTCAACCTGAAATTATTTTCATATCAATTTTTGTGCTTATTTTTTTCAAATGAAAGAATTCGTCATGAATACTTTTTTATTTTTTTTTTGGTTCCAAATTTTTCTAATTGGCCATAATCAGGCTAAAACTTAGGAGAGAAATTGCTGATTTTTCCAAATCATTTTGTAATTCATCAATTTTGTCCCATTTTCTATTTAATTTTTAAATTTTAGCCCAATAGCTTTTTAGTTTCACTTTATTTATCTTAGTCAAAACTTAGTATCCAAAAATATTAAATTTCACCATATATATATAAAATTTCGTGAAGAAAAACTGACGAGGAAGAAGCCGAAAATCATGAGAAGTGGAGCTGGAATGGCTGGACCTGGTATTACAACCGGTAACAAACTCTATAAATCTACAGGATTAACCCCTTAGCTTTTGGTGGTGACAGGATTGAGATGAGTGTTATATGGATCCATGGAATCAAAGGCAGCCCAATTCACAAAATTGCTCAAGATATTCGTTAAATGGAATTTGACCAGCCATGGGAATGTTTTGGATAATCTTGATGATCCGATGACTATTGCTGAAGATGGGCATGAGTATTGAGTCCATCTCTTGCTCACCTGATTTCCAGTGTTTTAAGGAATCATGGATTTTGCTCAGGGAAAATATGTTGAATTTAGTACTAGGCAATGAATCTAAAGTCAACTGTGCTGCAAAGCTTGTTGCTAAATCTTGTGGCCGTGTAAATGGAAACCTTGGGATTGGTTTATCTTCGAGATGGCCTCGAGTCTTATTGGAATTCAATGAATCATCAACAGCAATAAGATGTCATTGTTTAGTAATTGGACCAAAACAGCACTTGATGAGGCCATTTTTGTAATGCATGAAAATGCAGTTCATACAGTTCTGCTTCTGATTTACACTAGATTACCATGCAGAGAGAGAGAGAGTATAACAAGTTCCCAGGTGAAGAACTAACCATTACTTAGGGTTACTTATGTATATTTGATCAAGAGAAATGGCTTGCGACAAGTCAAGGTAAATATAACTTCGAACCAGTTAGTTTTGGACCAAAGCTGCTGTGGGAAATGGATGATGAAAATAGCACAAATGTTTGTTATGAGATCTCTTAATTTGACTGCAAATCCTTGAACAGGACAACTTGGCACGCATAGGGCACAACTGTGATGATGAAGAAAAGCTGACAACAGATGATCTACTTTTCTCTCTCTAGTTTGGTATGCAGCAAGTTATTTGTGTGGTTTCCTAATATATTTAAGTACTGGATGACAATGCCTCTGTGCTCGGGCTCGAGGGAAGTGGTGATGCATGCTCACTATTTGCAGAAAAGTTAAGACATATGAACAAACAAACAGTAGATGGTGTATCAAACTACTTGTATGAGTTGTATCCATTCACTTCTCTGCCTAATTCATTTGGATGATGAAATACAACAGATAATTGGCAGTGTACATGAAAGCCATGCACTGATCAAATTTCTAAATTGTCATGTGGGTAATCTTTGGCTCTATTTGAAACATTAAGGGTTTTGTTTTACAAAGGAAATGCGAAAACGGTGTAGTTAAAATGCAAATCAATAACCAGAAAGAGTGAAACAAATCCCCACCAAAGTTGTAATGTAATCACATAGGGCCAGATCTGTTCTCCATTCACTTTGCATCATATGGCTCAGCTTCAAATTTGGAAGAGCAGTAACCAAATCCAAAGAAAATAACCATCAAACTAGTTATATTTCCCGTCTAATGCCTACTCTCCTTTTATATCACTGTTAACTTATTTGAATCCTATTTCAGCATCAAATCTACATTCTCCAATAAATGGGTGCTACTTCCAAAGATGCATTCATACGAACAACTACTTGATTGCATCCAGGCACCAGCAGCGCCAGAAGCCATGGAAAATAGCAACATACAAAAACTATGAAGCACAGGATATATTACTGTTACTCATTGTCCAATGAAATTACTTCCACAGTAGGATATAATTGTATTAAAAACAGAATTAACAACTATCAAAATGATACTTTTATAAACTTTGCATATTATTGAGTGCACTCGAACCAAAAGTGCCTACTAGCGGCTAAAGTTGGTTCACACATACACCTCGAGAATTGAAGAATAAATGACCTTAACTAATACAAATACATACAACTCTCTAAATAACAATTCTGAATTCCCCTCCCAAGAATGCATTTTATTCATACATGAATCTTATCTTGGATAGAGGCAGCATAAACAAAGCACAAAACAATAAAATCCTCCAGCAATTTGCAAGACACAAAATCATGACAATTTTGGCTATAACTCAACCACAAAACAAACAAAATCCTAACAAACAAAAGCCTTAAGTGCTTATTAGAATGATATCCAAACTGGCGGACTTATAAAGCTAACAGACTCGATGTTACTGAAACGCTCAATACTTCCATCTTCAAGATGATAAATTCCCATGTCTTCACCGCCCCCTAAACCAAGCCGCCCTCCTCCTCTTCCAAGCATCTCCCTATAGGTGTAGGCTTCCCAACAATCGTCTGTAAAATAGATACAATTGGACTTAATGACATCCGGAAAGGCAGAAGCCACGATAGCGACAGCCGAACTATGGCCAACAAAAATAGCATCGTTTCCCAAACATGTGATCTCTTCCCACTCGCATTTTGTCACATCCAATTGAATCACCTTAAAGTTGTTGACCCCATAACTTTGATCATCCTCCTCGTTAAGTAAAACACCATCCCGGGTAATAGTTAGTAACTTGCCGCTAGATGATTCCACTAGATATGCATCTCTATTGATGAATGATCTAGGATTGGTACCAAAGACACACTTGAGTTTGGATGAGGATTCATCCCACGCCCATACATCGCCATGTCTATCCACCGCATAGAAGATTCCATTGTAGAAACGAACATCCCCAAAATGGTGTATGCCTGGCTCAATACTGGTCCATGTCAGGTCGCCAGGCCTCCAAAATCCCAAGAATTGACCCCATTCGTGAATTACCATAAGAACAAAACTTGATGCGTGTGATGGATTAGCTGACAGAGCAACTCTTTGTATAAATAAGAAGTCAGAAAAATCAGTGTCTTGGTTATCAGGGAAAGTTGTGCAGCTGGGGAGTTGGATTTGAGAACGAGTCAGAGGTTTCAATAAATTGAGCTCCCCTGAGCTCGAAACTGTCAAAACCCACCCAAACCCGGCTTCCATGCATCGTTTACCTTTTGCCTCCGGGAGTGACGATGTCATATTAATCTTGTTTTTCGAAAGGCTATAAAATTCACGTTGGTCGCTATCTTTTTTATCCGCAAGCATAAGCAGGGGAATCCGAGACGACGAATTAACAAACTTATCTTCGGTTGCCGCATCTCGCCAAGAAGCACAAACTCCTCTGAAAGCCATGAAATCTTCAATGGACAGCAAATGCTTCACCAAAGCTTCCAACATCTCCCGAGGAAGACCCGACCAGTCTCTAAAGGGATCCATTTAATGGTAGTAGACCAATAGGGAGTCACAAAAACCAAATTTTTCCCGAACTAAGGTACTGAGATCAACCTTAAGACGGCACAAGACTTAGATTTTCCGCGCGGCCAAACAGGAATCGAAAAATCAGAAGATAATTGAATCAAAGGAAGGGGATGTAGATCTGGTCACATATATATAGACAGCAAGCCCTATTCTATATTCCCACCGGGATACGGATTAGGACACGATTTTTGGGATCTAACCTTAACTCGGAAAGTACTAGGAACAACACCCAAACAAACAAGGAGTTGGAACAAATACCTGTTAGAGAGATCTTCGTCTTCGCCCTGCCGAACCCCGCGGATTTCCTTATCCTTGTTACTAGTAATGGCATCAAAAAGTTTTCCCGTTTCGAATTGGGTTATGTTTTTTTTCTTTAAAATCACTTGTTGCAAAATCATTATTACTATTTTTTTTTGGGGGTTAAAAAGAAAAACATTTCTAGGAAAAATAGTGTTTGGCTTTTATACTAAACATCCGGGTTAATTGCATTTTGCCCCGAGATGCAATCTTATTACAACTGATGCCCTTCCCTTGCCCTTTGAAACAGGTGCCCAACTTTGAGCCATCAAATCTCCACATTTTTTTTTTATTTTATTTTTGTGCTGATTTACCAGGATTTTGCCTGATTTTTACCTCCACATAATTTATTCTACTAAGTTTCCCACCATATATAGTTAATTAACAAGCGTCTCAAGTATTTTCGATTTTTTTTCTTCCATAAATCATGTTCCTACTGTGAATTTGTCAAAAATCTCCTTGCAAAACCATGCATATTGCTCTCTTATGAGGCTCTATGATCCTAATAGCAATGCTCTTTGCAAGGTTGCCCTTTGTTCTCTCATATTGTTTTATCAATTGTGTTGGTTCTGTATATTTTGCTTCTGCATTGTTTGCTATTGTTTTTTTTTTTATTTGGTTCTTCCAATCTGTCTCAGACTGATTTTTCTTCCTGGGTATTGGGTTTTTTTTTTGCTGCAGATCTTAAAAGGAGCTATCAGAAAAACCTTGGATTTACAATTGAGCGCCAACTATGAAGTATATAGATCAGTGATTAGGTCTAAAATCGAACAGGTTAGCACACTATTTTTTACGGTGACCTTCTGAGGCTGTTTTTCTGTTCAAACTCTCGCTGTAGAATGTGATTTCATCATGAAATTAAAATTTAAATATGGGATTAAATTTGTTAGGTGGACAGTGGGGTTTTTTTTTTCTGTGGAGAAAGTGATGCTCTACTGTTTATTGTAAGTTTGGTAGAAGATGTTTAGTTGAACATTCTAGGCATAATCGCTGAGATGTTTTCCTTTATAGTCCAGTAAACCATAGAATCTAGACCCTTGGAGGGATCACTGGAAATTGCAATATTGTTGGATTTGATTAAGCAGATTGTTGTCTAGGTAGATAATAGTGAAAAATCGGGAATAAATATTTGCAGGTTTGTCATACTGATTCAGTTACTGGTTTAGGATTTGGCAGGTATGGTCAATTATTTGCAGCTGGAGGCTTTGTAGAACTAGTTTCAATTAATTGTACTCCCTCGTTCCCAAAAAAAATAGTACACATTGAGTTTTGAGTTTTGTACTTGTTTTTAGTAAAAATTTACAAACTCAATGTTGACTATTTTTTTTGAGAGGACGGAGATAGTAATATTTTTCAAATCAATTCTTACAATCTAATCAAGAGATATGCGGTAAGAACTTGGGTAGTTATCTTTAAAGGTGTATGTTAACTAGATTATAAGTTCCTAAACCAGGGAAAAAGGACTCGTATCAGAATTTAACAATGGAGATATCTTCAAGTGTGTTTGTTCCACATCACTTCTGCTGCAAAATTTCAAAGTTAGATGTTTGTTTCTACATGTCTGTTGGTTGATGTTTCTATTTTTATACCGCACGGGTACAACATGATGACCGTATTTACCCAAATAGGCTGATGGTTAGTGTTTGAGCCTTTCAGGTGGAACCCCATGGCTTTTGTAATGATCTCGTCATGATGTTAATTATTCTACTGTTTTTCATGCTAGTTTGGTACAACGTTCACATATGGAACAACAAAAAAAAAAAAAAAAACAAACAAAAGCCTTAAGTGCTTATTAGAATGATATCCAAACTGGCGGGCTTATAAAACTAGCAGACCCAATATTACTGAAACGCTCAATACTGCTTCCATCTTCAAGATTATAAATTCCCATATCTTCACCGCACCCTAAACCAAGCCGCCCTCCTCCTCTTCCAAACCTCTTCCTATAGTATAGGAGTAGGCTTCCCAACAATCATCGGTAAAATAGATACAATTGGACTTAATGACATCCGAGAAGGCAGAAGCCATAAAAGAGACAGCAGAACTATGGCCAACAAAAACAACATCCTTTCCCAGACATGTGATCTCTTCCAACTCAGCATTTTGTAACATCCAATTGAATCACCTTAAAATTGTTAACCCTGTAACTTTGATCTTCCTCAACACCGTACAACACCATCCCGGTTAACAATTAGTAAGCTTGCCGCCAGATGATTCCACAAGATATGAATCTCTATTTCTGAAAAATTTAGGATTGGTAGCAAAGGCAAGCTTGAGTATGGATGAGGATTCATCCCATGGCCATAAAGTACCGTGTCTATCAACCGCATAAATCGAAGGTGCGCGATGGATTGGCTGCGAGAGCCAACTCTTATGATAAACATGAAGTCGGAAAAATCGGTGTCGTGGTTATTTGGGAAAGTTGCGCAGCTGGGGAATTGGATTTGGGAACAAAGTTAGAGGTTTCAACAAATTGAGCTCCCCTTGAGCTCGAAACAGTTAAAACCCACCCAAAACCTGCTTCCATGCATCGTTTACCTTTTGTCTCCAGGAGTGACAATCTCATGGAAATCTTGTTTTTTCAAAGGCTATAAAATTCACGTTCTTCGTCGTCCATGTCTTTTTTATTATCCTCTTCTGCAAGCATAAGCAACGGAATCCTAGAGGACGGATGGACAAACTCATCTTTCCTAGCTAGCTGCATCTCGCCACGAGTACAAACCCCTCTAAAAGCCATGAGATCTTCAACCGACAGTGAATGGTTTGCCAACTCTTCCAACATCTCGTGAAGAAGACCTGACCCCCAGTCTCTAACTGGATCCATATCCATTGATGGGTGACCCAAAAGGGGAGGATTCCAAAAATAGAACGTCTGAGCATATCTATATATATATATGTATATAGACAGGAAACCCTCTATTCTAGATTCCCATCGGGATCCGGATTTGGAACCGATTTTTTTTTTGGAAAGTAGGAAGCAAATCATTGTATAAAAATATTACCACAAAAACATGTAAAAATTATTAGAAAAGTGAGTGGATCATTCAATTATGCAAACAACAGAGAAAACAAAAATCACTCATGTATGATGTCCAAACGTCTGTATTAACATTCACTCCATGTATTGTATAAAAACAAACCAAAATCACAACCTTGCAAGAATTCATCATTCACTAGGAAAAAAGAACATTCTCATTAGGCTTCCTCAGCACCTTCAAGTTCATCATCATATTCTTCATCATGATCGCTCATCGCATCTTGATATTGTTGGTACTCGAAACCAAATCATTCATGTTACTTTCACCTCGGTGAACTCCACTTCATCCATTCCTTCCCCACTATACCAATGCAAGAAAGCCTTCCTCCTAAACATCATCGTGAATTGCTCCGAAACACGCCTAAACATCTCTTGAATCGACGTCGAATTCCCCATGAAAGTGGAAGACATTGCCAACCCTGTTGGCGGGATATCGCACACACTGATTTCACGTTGTTTGGAATCCACTCAACAAAGTAGGACGAGTTCTTGTTTTGCACGTTGATCATCTATTCATCCACCTCTTTTGTGCTCATTTTGCCTCTGAACATTGCTGGCGCTGTTAGGTATCGGTCGTGGCACGAATCGGCCGCGCACATCATGTTCTTGGCATCCCACATTTGTTGAGTCAGTTCTGGAATTGTGAGGGCTCTGTATTGCTGTGAGCCTCTTGAAGTTAAGGGTGCAAAACCAACCATGAAAAAGTGTAGACGAGGGAATGGGATCAAGTTTACGGCTAGTTTTCGAAGAACGGAGTTTAGTTGTCCAGGAAAATGTAGGCAACATGTTACACCACTCATTGTTGCTGAAATCAGATGATTCAAATCCCCAACTACACCAAAAAAAAAAAAAAACAGAACAGTGAATCGCTTTGATTGAATGTGGGTACAGAGTCCATTAGTCCAAGAAACAGAATTTCAATTTTTCCAGGTCTTGTTTCATGCATGATTTACATTCACTATGAGAAAAAAAACTATATATGTGGTCTGCGAGCTAGCTATATGGATTATATGTCCCCGTCGTGCTCAATCAAAAATACGTACATTTATTGACAGTAAAAGAAGGCTGAAATTTTTGGGGAACTTACAGCTTGGATTAGTGAGCTTGAGTGTTCTGAAACAGATGTCATAGAGGGCTTCATTGTCAAGAACCATACATTCATCAGCGTTTTCAACCAACTGATGAACAGACAGGGTAGCATTATACGGCTCCACAACAGTGTCTGAAACCTTAGGAGAAGGAAACACCGAGAAAGTCAACATCATTCTGTCAGGATACTCTTCCCTGATCTTAGATATCAGCAAAGTTCCCAAGTTCTCTATTATAAAGCGTAATTTATTTTTGCTTTTAACGGAGGGTGACGATAGTAATAGGACTAGTCCAAAACATCAATATTTGAAACAAAATGTTGATCTTTATACAACCTTGTCACTTTGAAGCTTGAAGACTACGTTTACGTTATCACATTCAATTTCCTCAAATTAGCCACTACACTAAAAAGATTAAACAAAGATGGGCGGACAAAATTGTAGTTCTATTTAAAAAATTCTCATTTTACTGAATTTAAATCACAATGTTCATCGACATGGCACTCAATCGCTTGGCTTTGTTTGTTTCCTTTTCTTGATGGTGTTTTTAAATTAAAATATTATTAACTATCTCATCCCATCATAACTTTTTTCATTTTTAATACACATGTTTACATTCTCAATAAAAAAACACCTAAAAACACACACTTAATTTTTGGTACTCACAAAACCTAGTAGCTATATCTCTAATATCACCATGCCATTACGAAGAAAGTTTTGTGATCATTCCTATGCCGACTATCCCTTATACTACTTGTGTTCTCTCCACCTTCATTTTCCTCTTCAGCCACTTCCCTTAAACTAAAAGTGAACAAACTATTTGTTAAGATTAGTGATACGTGCACAGAAAATTATAAAAGAATTTTAACCGGGAATGATATAATTAAATCTTAACTATCTGTAAAGGTAATGTTTAACTAAGGTTTAACAATAGATGACTATGATTCATTTCATGTATATTTTTCTTGTTAATTTTTTTCAGCAATAATCATTACTTTTTCGTTAATTTGGAGATTTAGTTTCTATTATACTCCTACTAGTTCAATTTAATAGACTCATTTAGTGGTATATTAAAAAAAAAGAGTAGTGATATATACATTACACTTTATAGAATATTTTTACAAGAAATGATACCACTGAATTTTAACTATCCTCTTATCTCTTTAAATGGATGAACCCACAAATGTAAGGTTTAATTATAGATGATTATAATTCATTCCTTGTGTATTTTCTAGCAAATTTTTCGTGCAATAATCATTACTCTTATAAAAAATTAGCGCCTACACTTTTTAAACCCGAAATTATTTTCACTTTGGGAGGCTACTAAACGCCCTAAAAATGTCCCTTGAGCGCCCTAATATAACACCAAAAGACCTTTTGCCCCTACATGATTTTATAAATTAAGAGTTTTAATTTCATTCTTTCAATTCCTATATCAATCTTTCATTTCAAATTCTCTCAATCCAAACTCTCAAAACCTTAGATTCAATGGTGAACGAATGAAACGGCTACGGAAAGAACTACGGAAACTAAAGGTATGTAAAAATTTGAATTATTTTTAAAATTATATTGAATTTGAACTGTTTTTCTTTAAAAAAAAACTAACCAGCCCAGGTGCGAGGGACATCCGCTATGGGAAAAGTAAAGCGGCGCGCAGATCCGCGCTAGCTCTATAAGGAGTGGCGCCGGGGCAAGTAGAGTTGGCGCGCATATGCACGCCAGCTCTGTAATGCGCCACTCCTTATAGAGCTGGCGCGGATCTGCGCGCCAGCTCTACTTGCCCTGGCGCAGATCTCCCTCGCCGGCGTGGGTGGGGTGGCGCCCCTTTCTTCGTCGCCGGAAGGGGGGAGGGGGGCGAGAAAGGTCTCGCTAGATGGCTAGCCGCCTGGCGAGATTTACCGGCGCCGGTCGTATGCCGGCGCCGGTTTTTGTTTTTTGTTTTTGTATTATATTAATTTTTTATATTATTTATTTAAATTTAATTGTTATTTATGAATTGTATAGTTATTTTAATTTAATTGTTACTATTAGTAATTGTAAATCTTATGAAATTTAGTTTAATTATTTATTATTAGTAATTTATGATTTTATAGTTTAATAGTAGGAATTTATTTTTATTAGTTTAATTTATTTAGAAAACATTATTATTAAAAGTATATGTTTAATCTTTAGTAAATAATTTAGTTATAATACTTTTGTAGTTTTAGGAATTCAATTGTAGTTTTAGTGAGCTTCATGGTTTTTAAATTAATTTGGAAAATTATGAAAGTTATTATAATTAATTTAATTATAGAAAATATATTTGTAGAATTAGTCGGTTTAATTGTAATTAGCCTCAAAAAAATATTTGTAGAAAATTAAATAAATAAGTACAAAGTTAATAAAAAAACGAGGTTAGTAGATAATTAGAGTTATTAAAATATTTATTTTATTGTGGTTAAAATTAAATATTTATTTAATTTTGGTTAAAAAATAAAAAAATAAAAAATGTAGATATTATTTATTGTACTTAGTAGATTTAATAAATTGTACACTTAAGATGTATAGTAGATAATTTTATAATTAGGCTTTTAAATAATATAAAACTGTATTAAAATAATTAACCTAAATTATTAATTTTTTTGGGACGCATTCAGGATTAATTAAAGTTACGTGTAAAATTTAAAACTTTTGTAGGATGGGATATCGCCTCTTGAGGGATCTGGACATCGGCATGCAGTTACGCGCTATCTGTATGCAGAACATCGTATGGAAAAAGAAAAAAACTTAAAGAAAGTGAAAAATGTACATCCTACGTTTGGCCCGCTTGGTGAGTCAGCCAACGTAAATGATGATTTTGAGGGAGAGGAAGAAGCAGAGGATAGTTTTGAGAGTGGGGGGGAACGATGTGGATGAGGAGGATGAGGCAGACGTGTATTCCTCGTCTGAGATGAGGGATATACATTTTGGAAGTAACTTAGTACTGAACCCCATTGGTCGTACTGATGATCAGACTCCAATTCACCCTACCCGGGAGGGAGGGAGGGGGGAGAGGGGGAGGGGAAGACCCTTGTTGGATTATCGGTCCTGAATTCAGCTTACATTCCTGGTGGTTCCAGTGTTCGTGTCGGCCCACATAGTACTCTTTTTAGAGGTCCCGATCGCTCTTCATCATGCCGGCCTACAGAGTACTCTTTTTAGAGGTCCCCCTCTGACTAGTCAGCCTCGTTCCCGTTTTGGTGGCGCATCCATTGGTGCCTCTAGCCGTCCTGAGGCAGCTGCAACGTCATCAGGTACGTATTTGTAAATATTTCAGCATTCATTACTGCTTGGTCAATTTCTTAATTGCATTCGGTTAAGTATTTATCAACTATTCTTTATTCGGGTTTCAGGTACTAGCAGACGGTCTAAGGTTTCTAACGAAGAAATTGATGATTGGGTTGTGACGGACGACGTACCTGGCGCGCCATGTGATGTGTCGGTGATTCTTAGTTTTTTTGGCCACACTGCTTATTAGTTCTGGAATGGAGAACCAAGAGATTACCTGACGATGAAGCCAGTGAAGAAGAGTTTGTCTAGATCGCATGGATGGTATGTGACGTTGCCGGAGAACGCACAGTTGTAAATTTAGAATACCGGTTTGTATCATCTGATTGATACCATATATGATGACATTGACCTTGCGCTTATTTCTGCATTCATAGAGAGGCGGCAGCCTGGCACAAATTCTTTTCACTTGCCGTTTGGGGAAATGACCATAATGATGCATGATGTGGCACACATTTTGGCGATTCCACTTGATGGTTACTTGTTGATCCAACCTCCGGAAGTGGAAATTTTGAAGATGCAGGTCGCGAGATTGCTTGGTATGCCGGTGGCTGAGTTAAAACGTGCATGGAGCCACGGAGGTGTGAGCGACATATTGATCGAGGAGTGTTGTCGCAGGGTCCTCCCCGCTGTTCAGGTTCAAGCTTGGGTGTGGATCTTGTTAGCCTCGACACTCTTCCTTGACAGGAGTGGGGGCAGGATCAGTGCTTCGCTTATGAACGAACTCCACGGAGGTATCGAAAATATTGAAGCTTACTCCTGGGGATTCGGTACACTAGCATTCCGCTACCGTCAGCTTGGGATTGCTAGTCGAGCAGGGTGTACCACGATGGCTGGTTGTATGACCCTTCTCCAGGCATGGATATATGAGTATTTTTCATGCTTCCAGCCCTCCAAGAGGCGGGGACGTCGAGGTGTTGATGGTTGGTCCAGAGCTTGAGACTGGACACCAGTTAGCTATAAGGGCCCGAAGCCTATTCAGAGTCGTCTCCAGCAGATTCGTGCGCAACTCGATGCGATGACTGAGCAAGAGGTAGTTTTCTATTTTGTTTCTGTGTATTGTGTAACGGGTATTTCATTGTATACACTATAATAAATTTTGGTAACGTTCGCAGGTCGAATGTGAGCCATTTGGTCGTGAATAGGCGGCAGCATATCCGAGGACCATCTTCAGTGGGTGGATTATGTACCACGACTTCCACGAGCTATACATGCTGGAGAGAGTGCTACGCCAGCTCGGTTACGTGCAGTACATACCTCATGCACCGCTCACGCCGGTCACTCAATTTCGCGGGAAAAATGCGCACAAGTATTTTGTTGATCGTTCAAGTGCCGAGACCTGTAACTGTTGGGTTAGATTTACGGAGTCGGAGTGCATCAGCCTCAATCATTGTATGCCGGTATCGTCTACTGAGGTAGGACAGGCCACTGTAGATTAACTCGACTGGTACAGGAGCTATTCACATCCATTCCTACTGCCGACGTCCGTCCCGTCTACATCATGCATCCCAGTGAAGAACTGCACCACTTACGTTAGTTCAACACTCACTGGAATTTTATTTTAATAACACATGTACTATCTTGAAGGGTTTAATATGGTTTTATTTAATATTTGTAATGGATGCGTGAGATGGAGAGGTTGACTCGAGATTGCATCGACGATTTGAAGAAACTCGATCTGGGTCTTGGTGAGGAGTGGGATACTCGCCTGGATGATGTCATCTTCCGTCTCAGTCAGGCCCCATGACATTCTACTCAGTGCTTTTTTTTTTTGAAACATTTATGTAACGATTTCGTTTTTGTGAACCTTATGAACTTATGTTGATCTTCAATTTTATTTTCATTTATGTGAACATTTATGTAAAGAGATCATAAAATGTAATAGAAATTTCACCAATTGCATAAAAAAAATATATAAACGACATATCACCCGAGATCACAAAATTCCCGTGTGGGTCTTATCGGGACCAAAGTACTCCATAGCTGCATTTTGGGTTCAAGAGGTACTTCCCAACCAATAAGACTACTATCACGATCATGCCGCCAACCTGGGATGAATAGGGGAATCGGAAAATCACCCTGCAGATTGAGTCGAATGAAGTGCTGGTAAGGCTCAAGGTGGCATATAACTATCTGGAACTCTGGTCTTGTTGCCCTGCCCCGTGCGATCAGTGGTAGCACAGTCCAACAGGTGCCGTTTAGATTTACAGCACCGTCTATTCTGAAGTAACACACAACAACATCGAAAGTCCTCTGTCGACATCCAATGACCTACGGAGGTACCAGTCCACCGTATACGCTCTAGGCTTTCAGGTAATTTTTCCCACCTACAAAGACAAGTAAAGGAAGGTTTTAAATAAAACAACATTGATGCAAGTGTATTAAAACCGCTCACAAAATTAAACTGACTTCATACCCGTAAAGGTTCCCGCACAGCCCAGGGTTATTTATAATTATTTATAACCTCATCATACACTATCTGTATACACTAAACATGATTATTCTGCCCTCCCAACATGCAACTCGCAAAGACGCGGAAACCACAATTGTCGTCAGGAGCGACATCAAGATATGACTGAACATGATTGTGGAGTATCTGTGGAATCTTATTCTTATGCCTAAACTTGAAAAAGTCTGTCTGCATCACATCTTTAACCAAGTAAAATAATAACATTATTTCGGATTACATATCGTATTTAATAACAATATAAATTATAATCGTACCTCCACCATTGGGTTTAGAACCCGACGTGTGGCCTCTACTGGAACTGCTAGTGTTCGTCCCACCTTGCCCAGTCCATGTACCTACTCGCGCACGCCATGAAACAAATGTGCTTTAATTAAATGAAAATAATATTTCGCACATTTAAAAAGATAAAGTAATCCGATATAATGATCTTATACTTTAAAGATAATTAATATATACTAATAACAAGTTAAATTACATTATTAACAAAAACTCATTATTTTAACAAAAACCCTAAACCCTAACACCTAAACCCTATACCCATTAACATACTACCTAAACAACCATTTAACAAGAAACAAACTATTTCATACGAACATACTACGTAATTAACATAATTAAAACATATAACAATCTAAATACATTATTAACAAGAAATTAACTTATTTAATATAACAACCGCAACATATGAACAAAATACGTAATTAAAAAACATTCTCTAAATATTTAAATTTATTATTTTTTATAAACTAATATCATAAACCCTAATTAGCATAAACTCTAATTTTCTAAACAAATATTAAACTACCAAACAAATACTCAAATAAAATAAATACATGAATTAAATAAATTTATTAAAATAATAATAATATTTATTAAACTAATAAATATTAAATATATTAAAAAATTATTAAAAAATGATTAAATTAAAAAAAATGGGGGGCTCCACCAATCGAGTGGTTGGCGAGCATTTGCTCGCCAACCCGGATAAAGGTGGCGCCAAATTTGACACCACCACCTTCGCCTAAGGCGAAAGCCGTCTCGCCTCACTCGCCCCCCCTCCCCCCTTTTTCGGAAAAAAAAAAACCTTACCTCCATTTGCAGGGGCGTGGCCATCTATCGAGGGCGCTCAAATGAAACAATAAGGGCGCTCAACAGTTCGACCCTATTTTCATATCAATTTTTGTGCTTATTTTTTTTCAAATGAAAGAATTCTTCATGAATACTTTTTTTTTTTTGGTTCCAAATTTTTCTAATTTGCCATAATCCGGCTAAAACTTAGGAGAGAAATTGCTGATTTTTCCAAATCATTTTGTAATTCATCAATTTTGTCCCATTTTCTATTTAATTTTTAAATTTTAGCCCAATAGTTTTTTAGTTTCACCTTATTTATCTCTATTTATTTTAGTCAAAACTTAGTATCCAAAAAATTATTAAATTTCACCATATATATATAAAATTTCGTGAAGAAAAACAGACGAGGAAGAAGCCGAAAATCATGAAAAGTGGAGCTGGAATGGTTGGGCCTGGTATTACAACTGGTAACAAGCTCTATAAATCTACAGGATTAACCCCTTAGCGTTTGGTGGTGACAGGATTGAGATGGGTGTTACATGGATCCATGGAATCAAAGGCAGCCCAATTCACAAAATTGCTCAGGTTCCGTTTGGTTAGATTGAATTGCAATTGAATTATAATTATAATACTATTAAATTGAAAGAGAGTATATATATATATATATATATATATATATATATATAATTCTTGAATTATAACTCGAAACGACCCGATTATGACCGCGTATTTTTTTAAATCCTTGAATTTGGATTACAATTATTTGCTCTCATAAAAGAATTGAAAATAAAGAATTGAGCCGCATCTTGAATTATAATTCCAATTCTTGGACCTATATTTTTACTGACCAAACACAAGAATTGGAATTAAAGAGTTCAAATTCTAATTCTTGGCCCCAATTCAATGCAACCAAACAGAGCCTCAAGATATTCATTAAATGGAATTTGACCAGCCATGGGAATGTTTTTGGATAATCTTGATGATCCGATGATGCTGAAGGTGGGCATGAGTATTGAGTTGAGTCCATCTCTTGCTCACCTGATTTCCAGTGTTTTAAGGAACTCATGTATTTTGCTCAGGGAAAATAATGAATCTAAAGTCAACTGTGCTGCAAAGCTTGTTGCTAAATCTTGTGGCCGTGTAAATGGAAACCTTGGGATTGGTTAATCTTCGAGATGGCCTCGAGTCTTATTGGAATTCAATGAATCATCAACAGCAATAAGATGTCATTGTTTAGTAATTGGACCAAAACAGCACTTGATGAGGCCATTTTTGTAATGCATGAAAATGCACAGAGTTCATACAGTTCTGCTTCTGATTTACACTAGATTACCATGCAGAGAGAGAGAGAGTATAACAAGTTACCAGGTGAAGAACTAACCATTACTCCTCTATTTCAAAATGTAAGTCTTGTTTGGACGTCAACTTACATTTTATTTTACCTCTTAAAAGCAAAAAGTGTTTCAAATTGAAAACTAAATAGGAAATAAAAATGTTATTTGGATGTTAGTTTTGAAAAAGTATTTTGAACTACATTTTGAAATATCAAGTACAAGTCATCACTATACAATTAAATACATTAATTATAGTCACCGTAAAAAGAATTTTTCCAAAAACAATCACTCAACAACCAATTCGCCAAATTTGTCACCTGGACTATTTATAGTTATAAAATGGTCATTACACTAACAAAAAGTGTTTCAAGTTAGAATTTAAAATGTAAATCGAAAATTGTTTGGATGATGTTTTCTTTTCCATTGGGTTTTGTGTTTAAGAGGTAAAATGAGACAAAATGCAAAATAGAAGGTTGGCCAAAGAAAGCCGTCTTTTTAGACTTTGCACGTAAACTAAGGAGACAATCATCAAACAATTAATTTGTATGTGAAATATCTGTTTTACTCCTCATTAAATACATTGAAATTATAAACAAGACTAAATGAAAATAGATTAGCATCGATAAAAGTTGGAAAAATAGTCATTAATTTACCTAAAATTTGTAAAATGACCTACATTTTGAAAAATCTCTAAACTTAAAACGACCTACAAATTAAAATGGAGGGAGTACTTAGGGTTGCTTATGTAAATTTATTCTTTAGCTTCTATTTTGTCTCCTGGCTTTCAGACTCGCCGGATTTGAAGGGCGAATTGACAGCTGGAGTAGCTTCAAGATTGTCGGCTAACTGCCTTAGTAGAGAAGGGTTGGACTGAACTTGGCAATTACTCCCTGCATTTCAAAATGTAAGTCTTTCTAGACTTGGTACGTAAACTAAGGAGACAATCATTCATCAATTAATTTAAGTGTTAAATATCTATTTTACCCCTGATTAATTACATTGGAACTATAAACAAGACTAAATAAAAATATATTAGCATCATTTAATTTGCTTAGAATTTGTAAAACGACCTACATTTAGAAAATCTCTCCAAACCTAAAACGACCTACATTTTGAAATGGAAGGAGTATGTTTTAGTGGTACAATGTCTAATTAAATGCATGGGTGTCGCTGAAGTATATAATGGCACAAGCAAGGTGGCACTGGAAGTTCCTAATTGGACTTAATGACAAGGTGAAGAAAATTTGATCAAGAGAAATGGCTTGCGACAAGTCCCCTGTGCTTGGGCTCGAGCCTCGAGGGAAGTGGTGACGCATGCTCACTATTTGCAGAAAAGTTAAGATATATGAACAAACAGTAGATGGTGTATCAAACTACTTGTATGAGTTGTATCCATTCACTTCTCTGCCTAATTCATTTGGATGATGAAATACAACAGATAATTGGCAGTGTACATGAAAGCCATGCACTGATCAAATTTCTAAATTGTCATGTGGGTAATCTTTGGCTCTATTTGAAACATTAAGGGTTTTGTTTTACAAAGGAAATGCGAAAACGGTGTAGTTAAAATGCAAATCAATAACCAGAAAGAGTGAAACAAATCCCCACCAAAGTTGTAATGTAATCACATAGGGCCAGATCTGTTCTCCATTCACTTTGCATCATATGGCTCAGCTTCAAATTTGGAAGAGCAGTAACCAAATCCAAAGAAAATAACCATCAAACTAGTTATATTTCCCGTCTAATGCCTACTCTCCTTTTATATCACTGTTAACTTATTTGAATCCTATTTCAGCATCAAATCTACATTCTCCAATAAATGGGTGCTACTTCCAAAGATGCATTCATACGAACAACTACTTGATTGCATCCAGGCACCAGCAGCGCCAGAAGCCATGGAAAATAGCAACATACAAAAACTATGAAGCACAGGATATATTACTGTTACTCATTGTCCAATGAAATTACTTCCACAGTAGGATATAATTGTATTAAAAACAGAATTAACAACTATCAAAATGATACTTTTGTAAACTTTGCATATTATTGAGTGCACTCGAACCAAAAGTGCCTACTAGCGGCTAAAGTTGGTTCACACATACACCTCGAGAATTGAAGAATAAATGACCTTAACTAATACAAATACATACAACTCTCTAAATAACAATTCTGAATTCCCCTCCCAAGAATGCATTTTATTCATACATGAATCTTATCTTGGATAGAGGCAGCATAAACAAAGCACAAAACAATAAAATCCTCCAGCAATTTGCAAGACACAAAATCATGACAATTTTGGCTATAACTCAACCACAAAACAAACAAAATCCTAACAAACAAAAGCCTTAAGTGCTTATTAGAATGATATCCAAACTGGCGGACTTATAAAGCTAACAGACTCGATGTTACTGAAACGCTCAATACTTCCATCTTCAAGATGATAAATTCCCATGTCTTCACCGCCCCCTAAACCAAGCCGCCCTCCTCCTCTTCCAAGCATCTCCCTATAGGTGTAGGCTTCCCAACAATCGTCCGTAAAATAGATACAATTGGACTTAATGACATCCGGAAAGGCAGAAGCCACGATAGCGACAGCCGAACTATGGCCAACAAAAATAGCATCGTTTCCCAAACATGTGATCTCTTCCCACTCGCATTTTGTCACATCCAATTGAATCACCTTAAAGTTGTTGACCCCATAACTTTGATCATCCTCCTCGTTAAGTAAAACACCATCCCGGGTAATAGTTAGTAACTTGCCGCTAGATGATTCCACTAGATATGCATCTCTATTGATGAATGATCTAGGATTGGTACCAAAGACACACTTGAGTTTGGATGAGGATTCATCCCACGCCCATACATCGCCATGTCTATCCACCGCATAGAAGATTCCATTGTAGAAACGAACATCCCCAAAATGGTGTATGCCTGGCTCAATACTGGTCCATGTCAGGTCGCCAGGCCTCCAAAATCCCAAGAATTGACCCCATTCGTGAATTACCATAAGAACAAAACTTGATGCGTGTGATGGATTAGCTGACAGAGCAACTCTTTGTATAAATAAGAAGTCAGAAAAATCAGTGTCTTGGTTATCAGGGAAAGTTGTGCAGCTGGGGAGTTGGATTTGAGAACGAGTCAGAGGTTTCAATAAATTGAGCTCCCCTGAGCTCGAAACTGTCAAAACCCACCCAAACCCGGCTTCCATGCATCGTTTACCTTTTGCCTCCGGGAGTGACGATGTCATATTAATCTTGTTTTTCGAAAGGCTATAAAATTCACGTTGGTCGCTATCTTTTTTTATCCGCAAGCATAAGCAGGGGAATCCGAGACGACGAATTAACAAACTTATCTTCGGTTGCCGCATCTCGCCAAGAAGCACAAACTCCTCTGAAAGCCATGAAATCTTCAATGGACAGCAAATGCTTCACCAAAGCTTCCAACATCTCCCGAGGAAGACCCGACCAGTCTCTAAAGGGATCCATTTAATGGTAGTAGACCAATAGGGAGTCACAAAAAACCAAATTTTTCCCGAACTAAGGTACTGAGATCAACCTTAAGACGGCACAAGACTTAGATTTTCCGCGCGGCCAAACAGGAATCGAAAAATCAGAAGATAATTGAATCAAAGGAAGGGGATGTAGATCTGGTCACATATATATAGACAGCAAGCCCTATTCTATATTCCCACCGGGATACGGATTAGGACACGATTTTTGGGATCTAACCTTAACTCGGAAAGTACTAGGAACAACACCCAAACAAACAAGGAGTTGGAACAAATACCTGTTAGAGAGATCTTCGTCTTCGCCCTGCCGAACCCCGCGGATTTCCTTATCCTTGTTACTAGTAATGGCATCAAAAAGTTTTCCCGTTTCGAATTGGGTTATGTTTTTTTTCTTTAAAATCACTTGTTGCAAAATCATTATTACTATTTTTTTGGGGTTAAAAGAAAACATTTCTAGGAAAAATAGTGTTTGGCTTTTATACTAAACATCCGGGTTAATTGCATTTTGCCCCGAGATGCAATCTTATTACAACTGATGCCCTTCCCTTGCCCTTTGAAACAGGTGCCCAACTTTGAGCCATCAAATCTCCACATTTTTTTTTTATTTTATTTTTGTGCTGATTTACCAGGATTTTGCCTGATTTTTACCTCCACATAATTTATTCTACTAAGTTTCCCACCATATATAGTTAATTAACAAGCGTCTCAAGTATTTTCGATTTTTTTTCTTCCATAAATCATGTTCCTACTGTGAATTTGTCAAAAATCTCCTTGCAAAACCATGCATATTGCTCTCTTATGAGGCTCTATGATCCTAATAGCAATGCTCTTTGCAAGGTTGCCCTTTGTTCTCTCATATTGTTTTATCAATTGTGTTGGTTACGTATATTTTGCTTCGCATTGTTTGCTATTGTTTTTTTTTTTATTTGGTTCTTCCAATCTGTCTCAGACTGATTTTTCTTCCTGGGTATTGGGTTTTTTTTTTGCTGCAGATCTTAAAAGGAGCTATCAGAAAAACCTTGGATTTACAATTGGGCGCCAACTATGAAGTATATAGATCAGTGATTAGGTCTAAAATCGAACAGTTAGCACACTATTTTTACGGTGACCTTCCGAGGTCGTTTTTTGTTCAAACTCTCATTGTAGAATGTGATTTCATCATGAAATTAAAATTTAAATATGGGATTAAATTTGTTAGGTGGACAGTGGGGTTTTTTTTTTCTGTGGAGAAAGTGATGCTCTACTCTGTTTGGCTGTAAGTTTGGTAGAAGATGTTTAGTTGAACATTCTAGGCATAATCGCTGAGATGTTTTCCTTTATAGTCCAGTAAACCATAGAATCTAGACCCTTGGAGGGATCACTGGAAATTGCAATATTGTTGGATTTGATTAAGCAGATTGTTGTCTAGGTAGATAATAGTGAAAAATCGGGAATAAATATTTGCAGGTTTGTCATACTGATTCAGTTACTGGTTTAGGATTTGGCAGGTATGGTCAATTATTTGCAGCTGGAGGCTTTGTAGAACTAGTTTCAATTAATTGTACTCCCTCGTTCCCAAAAAAAATAGTACACATTGAGTTTTGAGTTTTGTACTTGTTTTTAGTAAAAATTTACAAACTCAATGTTGACTATTTTTTTTGAGAGGACGGAGATAGTAATATTTTTCAAATCAATTCTTACAATCTAATCAAGAGATATGCGGTAAGAACTTGGGTAGTTATCTTTAAAGGTGTATGTTAACTAGATTATAAGTTCCTAAACCAGGGAAAAAGGACTCGTATCAGAATTTAACAATGGAGATATCTTCAAGTGTGTTTGTTCCACATCACTTCTGCTGCAAAATTTCAAAGTTAGATGTTTGTTTCTACATGTCTGTTGGTTGATGTTTCTATTTTTATACCGCACGGGTACAACATGATGACCGTATTTACCCAAATAGGCTGATGGTTAGTGTTTGAGCCTTTCAGGTGGAACCCCATGGCTTTTGTAATGATCTCGTCATGATGTTAATTATTCTACTGTTTTTCATGCTAGTTTGGTACAACGTTCACATATGGAACAACAAAAAAAAAAAAAAAAACAAACAAAAGCCTTAAGTGCTTATTAGAATGATATCCAAACTGGCGGGCTTATAAAACTAGCAGACCCAATATTACTGAAACGCTCAATACTGCTTCCATCTTCAAGATTATAAATTCCCATATCTTCACCGCACCCTAAACCAAGCCGCCCTCCTCCTCTTCCAAACCTCTTCCTATAGTATAGGAGTAGGCTTCCCAACAATCATCGGTAAAATAGATACAATTGGACTTAATGACATCCGAGAAGGCAGAAGCCATAAAAGAGACAGCAGAACTATGGCCAACAAAAACAACATCCTTTCCCAGACATGTGATCTCTTCCAACTCAGCATTTTGTAACATCCAATTGAATCACCTTAAAATTGTTAACCCTGTAACTTTGATCTTCCTCAACACCGTACAACACCATCCCGGTTAACAATTAGTAAGCTTGCCGCCAGATGATTCCACAAGATATGAATCTCTATTTCTGAAAAATTTAGGATTGGTAGCAAAGGCAAGCTTGAGTATGGATGAGGATTCATCCCATGGCCATAAAGTACCGTGTCTATCAACCGCATAAACTGAAGGTGCGCGATGGATTGGCTGCGAGAGCCAACTCTTATGATAAACATGAAGTCGGAAAAATCGGTGTCGTGGTTATTTGGGAAAGTTGCGCAGCTGGGGAATTGGATTTGGGAACAAAGTTAGAGGTTTCAACAAATTGAGCTCCCCTTGAGCTCGAAACAGTTAAAACCCACCCAAAACCTGCTTCCATGCATCGTTTACCTTTTGTCTCCAGGAGTGACAATCTCATGGAAATCTTGTTTTTTCAAAGGCTATAAAATTCACGTTCTTCGTCGTCCATGTCTTTTTTATTATCCTCTTCTGCAAGCATAAGCAACGGAATCCTAGAGGACGGATGGACAAACTCATCTTTCCTAGCTAGCTGCATCTCGCCACAGTACAAACCCCTCTAAAAGCCATGAGATCTTCAACCGACGGTGAATGGTTTGCCAACTCTTCCAACATCTCGTGAAGAAGACCCGACCCCAGTCTCTAACTGGATCCATATCCATTGATGGGTGACCCAAAGGGAGGATTCCAAAATAGAACGTCGAGCATATCTATATATATATATGTATATAGACAGAAACCCTCTATTCTAGATTCCCATCGGGATCCGGATTTGGAACCGATTTTTTTTTTGGAAAGTAGGAAGCAAATCATTGTATAAAAATATTACCACAAAAACATGTAAAAATTATTAGAAAAGTGAGTGGATCATTCAATTATGCAAACAACAGAGAAAACAAAAATCACTCATGTATGATGTCCAAACGTCTGTATTAACATTCACTCCATGTATTGTATAAAAACAAACCAAAATCACAACCTTGCAAGAATTCATCATTCACTAGGAAAAAAGAACATTCTCATTAGGCTTCCTCAGCACCTTCAAGTTCATCATCATATTCTTCATCATGATCAGCTACTGCATCTTGATATTGCTGGTACTCAGAAACCAAATCATTCATGTTACTTTCAGCCTCAGTGAACTCCACTTCATCCATTCCTTCCCCACTATACCAATGCAAGAAAGCCTTCCTCCTAAACATCATCGTGAATTGCTCCGAAACACGCCTAAACATCTCTTGAATCGACGTCGAATTCCCCATGAAAGTGGAAGACATTGCCAACCCTGTTGGCGGGATATCGCACACACTGATTTCACGTTGTTTGGAATCCACTCAACAAAGTAGGACGAGTTCTTGTTTTGCACGTTGATCATCTATTCATCCACCTCTTTTGTGCTCATTTTGCCTCTGAACATTGCTGGCGCTGTTAGGTATCGGTCGTGGCACGAATCGGCCGCGCACATCATGTTCTTGGCATCCCACATTTGTTGAGTCAGTTCTGGAATTGTGAGGGCTCTGTATTGCTGTGAGCCTCTTGAAGTTAAGGGTGCAAAACCAACCATGAAAAAGTGTAGACGAGGGAATGGGATCAAGTTTACGGCTAGTTTTCGAAGAACGGAGTTTAGTTGTCCAGGAAAATGTAGGCAACATGTTACACCACTCATTGTTGCTGAAATCAGATGATTCAAATCCCCAACTACACCAAAAAAAAAAAAAAACAGAACAGTGAATCGCTTTGATTGAATGTGGGTACAGAGTCCATTAGTCCAAGAAACAGAATTTCAATTTTTCCAGGTCTTGTTTCATGCATGATTTACATTCACTATGAGAAAAAAAACTATATATGTGGTCTGCGAGCTAGCTATATGGATTATATGTCCCCGTCGTGCTCAATCAAAAATACGTACATTTATTGACAAGAAAAGAAGGCTGAAATTTTTGGGAACTTACGGCTTGGATTAGTGAGCTTGAGTGTTCAAACAGATGTCATAGAGGGCTTCATTGTCAAGAACCATACATTCATCGGCGTTTTCAACCAAGCGATGAACAGAGACAGGTAGCATTATACGGCTCCACAAAGTGTGTCGAAACCTTAGGAGAAGGAAACACCGAGAAAGTCAACATCATTCTGTCAGGATACTCTTCCCTGATCTTAGATATCAGCAAAGTTCCCAAGTTCTCTATTATAAAGCGTAATTTATTTTTGCTTTTAACGGAGGGTGACGATAGTAATAGGACTAGTCCAAAACATCAATATTTGAAACAAAATGTTGATCTTTATACAACCTTGTCACTTTGAAGCTTGAAGACTACGTTTACGTTATCACATTCAATTTCCTCAAATTAGCCACTACACTAAAAAGATTAAACAAAGATGGGCGGACAAAATTGTAGTTCTATTTAAAAAATTCTCATTTTACTGAATTTAAATCACAATGTTCATCGACATGGCACTCAATCGCTTGGCTTTGTTTGTTTCCTTTTCTTGATGGTGTTTTTAAATTAAAATATTATTAACTATCTCATCCCATCATAACTTTTTTCATTTTTAATACACATGTTTACATTCTCAATAAAAAAACACCTAAAAACACACACTTAATTTTTGGTACTCACAAAACCTAGTAGCTATATCTCTAATATCACCATGCCATTACGAAGAAAGTTTTGTGATCATTCCTATGCCGACTATCCCTTATACTACTTGTGTTCTCTCCACCTTCATTTTCCTCTTCAGCCACTTCCCTTAAACTAAAAGTGAACAAACTATTTGTTAAGATTAGTGATACGTGCACAGAAAATTATAAAAGAATTTTAACCGGGAATGATATAATTAAATCTTAACTATCGTAAA